ACACGCGCGCGCACGCGCGTTATTACCCTGTGTGTCCATTAGAGTGATGCAAAATTTGAAATTTTCGCTCCACAATACTTAAACGATTCCAAATCAGATCCTGACTAACCTCTCAAAATTTGAACTCATTTGGTGAGAAACTGAGATGGCACAAACCATTTGAAGTTTGTATGGGAATTACTATGGTAAAACCAAGATTTTTGTTCATGTCTATCTAATAATTCACCATATCGGTTTGCTTCAAAAACTTTCAACTGTACTTGTAGGAAATTTGCCCAGCTACAACTTTGCTGGAGACCATTTTTTGATAAAATGCAAGGATCGAAAGTTATCAATGGTTCAATGCGCTGATGTCTTATGATCATGCTCAATTAACTGATCAGCAGGCAACATTGGTGTTTCTGGGGCGTTGAATAGGACACCAAAATCATGGCTACTATGTCACACTGCAAAATACAGTGTTGCCTACAGAGCAGCTGCTTGATCATGTCATAAGTTTATCAATCTTTTAAATAATTAATAACTTTTTCCTGTCTCGTTTTACATAGAAATGATCTGCAGCAAAGTTGTAGCTCAGAAAATTTTCTATAAGAATGGCTATAGAACCGTTTCGCAGCTCAATATGGAAAAAGACTAGAAGGCAATGAACAAAAATTTTAGATTTCCCATAGTAATTTACATGTAAACTTCAAATGGTTTGTGCGAAGTCTGTAACTTTTGGAGGCTAATCAGGACCCGATTTGAAACCATTTAAGCACTGTGGAGCGAAAAAGTCAAATTTTGCATCATTCTAGTGTCCATCTACCGTTCTCCGCTGCGTCCCACTCCCGTTGCCACTTAGCCAATGACTCCACTCTCACAACTTTCCGTACTGTTCCAGCTTCTCTCCGCCTGTAGCACTCGGTGTCCTCCGCCAAGGTGATGCCGATAGGGATGCGGGATGACGCTGCGTGTCCGAACCGATATCTCAATTCTAGATGCTCAATAAAACTCACACTAGCAAAACAACCTTCGAACTTCTTCAACCTTCTTTCATTCTTTCGCATCTACTTGCATGGTGCATCATCTTTTTTGCAGGAAATCTTCAGAATCGTCATCAATCTTCGTTCTATCTAGCTAACCACACCAAAACAAAATCTTTCCTGCATCGTAGATAGAGTCGTCCCCTCGGTCTGAACGTACCGCTTAAGACTACTCGTGGAATTTTGTTTTCCTGTAATTTTTCCCACAACTTTCTTACATCTTCCACGGAAGTTTGTTCCAGATTTATTATGATTTTTTTTTTGTATTACTTTCTCTGGAAATTTCTTCAAACTTCCAGCGGATGATTTCTCCAATTTATCCTTGCAGTTTATTCCGAATTTCTCCGGAAATACTATGGTTTCCTCCTCCTCCATCAGTGAGACTTTCAGACTTGCCCTGTTACTTCTGACTTCTGACCAAACGATTCTTACGATTTCTCCTAGGATCTCCGTCAGAGATCCTTAAAAAAGTCCTGCTGACATGCCCCAGAAATCCTGGATGTAAATCTCCTGACAGAGTCAGCTGCCTCTGGAAGTTTCTTTAAACTTCATTCGGAAACTTTTTCCGATATTTCTGGAAGTTGAGGTTGTAATCAACAATTTTTTCCACAATAATGATTTTATAATATTTCAATTACTCTTGTCCGCTTGTTACGCTGTCGGACATAGTGTCAGACATAGTGCGCTGTATTCGCACAATGATGCGTTATTGTGCGTTACGCGTACGTTATATTTAAAGTACAGGACGAGAGTAAAATCCAATGTTAACGTTGTTATGATATACTTCGTAGATTGGATACTAGCGACACTCACGTCTCTTCTGAAATTCTCAGTTAGACTACTTTCAGGAATAATGCTGGGGAGTAAACATTGGTTCAAATCTAAACAAGAGTAACAGAAGCATGACTGTCGCTATTTCTGGCCACGCCCATCTTTACCATAACTAGGGATTGGGAAGGAAATGTTGATGTAATACTTACTTAACGAGAGGCCACCGACTTAGCGACACCCTCATAAGTCCTACGGAGTTGGAGGGTTGGGTAGGGTATTCGGTTAGGATTCACCTCAATTTGGCGATGCAACCAAAAGTATGTATTGTTTATTTGTTGTTTATTTAATCTCTCGATAGCCGGCTATCGAAAGAACATATTCAATTTTAAGAGTCATGACGGAGAGCTTGAGATTAAACCCATGATTTTCTGCTATGTAAGCAAAAACGATCCCATCGAGCATCTCAGAACCATAACGCTTCGCGACAATGCAGGACTACGTTTTCGCTTGATATGCAAATAGTTTCCGAGGTTAATGTTCAATATCAAATATACAAATGATGGTGGCGATTTATTGTGCTGTGGAAGAGCTTGGGGTTAAATCCATGATTTTCTGCTCAGTAAGTAAAATCGATCCCTCCAGGGTCATCGAGCAGGGGCATGAAGTAGTTCGCCCCCATCCAGCTCGTCCCAAGAGGTTGAGAAGCCCTGCACAAACCCTCGTTGTGCAAAGGCAGGAGTGACGCCGGGTTCTTAGAGTGCTTAGCACTCTAAGCGGTCACATCTGTCCTAAGCTGCCCTGTTGGACAGTTGGCTGGCTATCACGTCTGCTCTAGAACTCAGGCGAACAACGAACAGCGAACAACAAGAGGAAGGCTCACTGTGCAGTAGCGAGTGTCACGTCGGACACAACACCTAGTGATGCGCCATAGCGCAACCGGCCCCCTCCCATGACGTAATGCTTTCGGGCGGTTCCGGGGAAGGCAAGGGCCTAGAGCTCAGAGTAAGGTTTAGTGGGTCGGGAGAGCTATTTCTCCCATCCCCACACCCTGAGTTTATCTTCTCAGGAGTCATAATCATCATAATCCACAGCGCTTCGCGTCAAAGTACGAATATATGGATGCACTATCTATTATTGAATCACTATTATTTACGATAATTACATGAAAGAAATAAAATATAAACTACAAACAAAACGTGACTACTAAAATCTCAAAAAGATATCCTCACAAATATATTTCACGCACCCAGGAATCTCAAAACCATCAAACGCTATAATGATACTCTGCACATGTTAGACACAAGAAGAGGCCAAAAAGTAAGCGTCCGACACACAAAACCCGCCAAATTCACTTGCAGTCACAATCAACGATTCTACGAATCGCAAGCGCTCACGAATCATAAAACCGCTGACTGCGACAATCTGAAGGTGAAATTGACAGGCTCTATGCGTCAAACAACCGCACTGCAATCTCCTCCCGCATCCAACAACACAAATCTCCATTACATTCTTCTTCTTCCTCGCATTTCAAGCTTATTGCGTATGGCATATTAGCTTATTGCGTGCTCTCAACTTAGTGTTCTAAGATGCACTTCCACAGTTATTACTTGAGAGCTTTCGATGCCTGTACCATTTTTGCATTAGTATAATTGTGTGGCAAGTACAATCATACTCTATGCCCAGGGAAGTCGAGAAATTTTCCAACCCGAAAAATTCCTAGATCGGACCAGGAATCGAACCCAGCCACCTCCAGCATGGTCTTGCTTTGTAGCTGTGCCTTTACCGACTGAGCTAAGGGAGGTCTCCATTACAACATCTAACGAATTCAAAACTCCGAAAATCACACATCTATAGCAAGTGAGTGCCATTCTTCATGATACACTTTTTCTGCCTATCTTTCTATTAGTCCAGTGGACATGAATTAGCTTCGCAACTTCGAAACTTCTAACTGGGAAAATTTTCAGATCACAAAAAATACTTGAAAAAAACTTTCAAAGGTAATTACAAGGAAAACAAATATTGATTATTTTACGTAAAAACGAGCAAGTAATATTAAATCTCTTGTATCGTATGCGAATGCTAATTGACTGTAACAAAAATAATATGCTTAAATAAAATAAAATATTAATAAAATTAATGCAAAATTTACTAGAAGATCATTACTTTATTGGTGAGAAGTTTCTAAAAAGCCCTTCCAGTTCCTCTGTATACAGAACAAATCTGATACTATAATCAGAATTGCTCAGTCTGCATGAAGCAGCCGATTTCATCAAGGAAATTCTATTAACAACCAAGAATTAATCGTTTGAGGCATACTGATGCATTATGAAGGTGATATGTGTCACTATAGGAAATCATCATCGTTGCAAATATAAAGAAATTAAACATAACCCTTTGCTTCAGTACCGTCAACCTCCATGTCCATGGGGAGGGGGACGAGAGTAAAATCCAATGTTGCGACAATATTAGTCGTACACGAGATTATCGGAAAAACTCAAAAACTCAAATCTCATGCATGAGTTTATGCGTCTATGAGTTTTGCCTCACAAAATTCAACGTCGCAAAAATCACAGATGAATTTTCAGGTTGAAAAATTCATGCCTTTATAGTTTGGCGATATTCATTGTTATTACTATTGTTTGTGCATCAGGGGTGAGAAAATAACACAATATGCATTAACATGCTATCCATTGACGTTTGAGTAGGTTTTATGAGTTCAAAGGGTTTAAAGTTTTCGGTTTTGTGAATGTGAGTGCGTGAACATGCATGAGAATCTCAAGCGGGATTTTTGTTTCTGCATTCGCACGGGAGTTTATTCTCGCTTTGAGTCTCAATGAATGAAATTTGAAAATGATTTTCTGAACACTGCTTGGGATACTTTCCAACCTTTTCTTGTAACATAAACGTAAAACATACTAGGTATTAGGATATCTTAAGAGTTCATACAAAAGCTTGTAATACAAACGATCATTTGTAGCTATGCGTCACGAATACATTTTGGATTGTCTTCCTCTATAACAAATAAACCTCGGAAAACGAAATGACGTGCTCGTTCAGTTCACCACGATCAACCAAACATATGGTTCATTTAATGGATTGTGCTGCAAACATGTGGGACGAACTAATACCAACTTGTAGCAAACGTTCATACAGCAGTGTCAACAGGTTATCCATTCACAGTTTTCGTGCAGCTCAAACTATCCGGTAGTATATATTTAGCCTCTTGCGCAGAATTCAGCTTTTGTCCAGTTGTAATCTTATTGTTCAATCTAAACTGGTAAATTAATCTTGTAAATTACTCGCATGCATGCAGTCGTCAGAATAAGTTAGTTAACCTGCTAAAAGTTTAACTGCTGAATGGTTTACAGTGACTAAGGCCTCCGTGAATAAATAATTAATTATAAGAGAATACATTTCCAGCCTTGACTGCAACGTCATGACTCACGTTAAACATTTTGGTCTTCCTCGATAGCTTTCTGAAGTTGAAAAGCGTATCAAAAACCGGTTTTTTTGGCATCAAGTGTGAGAATTTCGGGCCATAATGAACGGGCCAAACAATGTTCAGTTACTATGCATTGCTGATCCACAGGTAAGAATGACAATGGTAAATCTAGAGTAAGGGTGTACCTTCATCGAGAATCTCAGTAACGAAAGAAATTTAATTTCCATTGAAGTAGACACGCCCCAGCACAAACGAATCATTTCATTGCTTTTTATGTCGTATCATCATTCTTCTCATCTTTCTAGCGAGCACTTGCTGCTAGTTTGGCTGAGGGAAATATTAAACATTTTCAGTACGCTCTGAACTGGGGAGCTGATCCGAATGTACGGGACGATCGCACTGGATTTACAGTATTCGAACAAACTTGTCAGAAAGAGGGTAGTGCGGAATTCATTTTGGAATGTCTGAAAAATGGAGCCAATGTGCAAATGGTAAGACTTTGTTTGCAAAGCATTTACACATGTTGAATAAGTAAACAAACGATTTGTTTAAATAATGTTAATTATAGATCTTACAAAATCCACTCTGATTTCTCTTTTAGCAAAACGCTAATGGCAAGTATCCAATCCACTTTGCAACATCATCGCTAGATCCCAACAATATTCTAGTGTTATTGAATAATTCGACGGTTAACATTGACGTGGCTTATCAAGATCGAACGTCTCTGCATATGCTGTTCGAGGTGATAGATCAAAACAACTGGAGTAACGTTTTTCTATGCATCAAAGTATTGTTGAAAAATGGAGCAGATTTCAACATTCCCAACGATGATAATCGCACACCTCTTGGTGTGTTTGTAAAGAACTCGAAAAGTTGGAAAACGAAATCAGAGTTTTGGAGAAAGGAGATATTGGAACATTGTCTCCAACATACGAGCGTAGACGTTGACTCGTTTAGAAAAGGTGAGCTTCGGAATAAAATAGTAGAGTATTTCCCGGATACTATAATTCCCTCCTACATAATGGAGACTAATTTGGTGGTACTCATGTCCATGTTAAAGTCACACAAGGATGCAAAGTTTGATGTGGCTTACAAGCAATATAAGGATAAGCACAAACATGATACAAGTGCGTGGAAACAAGACTTGAAAGAGCTAGTGAAGGCTGCCGTCCATTCTGGAACGTTAGCATCGGTGAAGAAACTCGTGGAAGATGATTTCGTATTTGATTCAGATTCTGAACTACCAGAACTTCTAACCAGATGTTGTAGTTACGGAAATTACGATGTACTAAATTATTTGCTGTCAAAGCTCGGGCACACGGAGACTGATATCAAACAAATCAACAAAGAACCGCTTCTGTCACTGGTCATTAAGGAAATAAATATCCTCAAAAATAAGGACAAATGTCCATTTTTTAAGTGCCTCAACTGCTTGCTGGGTGATCAACGTATTGAAATCGATAAAGCAGATCAAAAAGGATTCAGTGCACTCCATTATGCAGTCAAATACAAAGTAGACGCGGCAGTGGAGTTACTCCTGAGAAATTCTGCATACATTGGCAAACAGAACATGTTCAAGGAATTGCCAATTTATGAAATGAGCCCAGAAGTGTTGGAAAACTACCTCGATTCGTGCTTAACGGCCAATGAGAAACGACCGGGAGATGATGCCTATGAAATCAATATTGATTATTCATGTCTGGTTCCACCGGAGTATAAAAAGAATTACAGTGGCAACAAAACTATCGCCACAAACTGTTTCGCGGATGAAATGTTACCAATCATGTACATGTCAAAATCATCAGACTTGAAACACCTATTGAAGCATCCCGTCATATCAAGTTTTGTGTTGATAAAGTGGCTAAGGCTGAGTCTTTACTTCTATATAAATTTCTTGATATGCACCCTATTCTTTCTGTCGTTTACTTGGTACGTTGTGGGTTGCTATGGACAGGATGATGTCGATCGTTTCCTCAAAGAGACATTAAGATGGTTGTCTTTAGTGGGTGCCACATACATGGCGCTGAGAGAACTTGGACAAATGATGCTACACAGGAAGATGTACTTTAAGTCACTGGAGAACTGGATGGAAATAGTCTTAATCCTTGCATCATACACAGTCCTTTTGAAGGAGGATTTCGAAAGCGAAATGAGGCAGGTTATATCTGCTATCGTTATTTTATTATCTGCCGTAGAATTTACCCTACTGGTAGGAACGTTACCAGTCCTCTCGATATCTACACACATGGTGATGCTGAAGACGGTATCTAAAAATTTCCTGAAGAGCTTGGTATTGTATTCTATAATACTGATTTCTTTCGCATTTTGCTTCTACACATTGTTCAATGTGAGAACTCCGAAAAACGATCAAGATGCCTCTTCCACGGCAGCTGAAAAGAGTGCAAACGAAGAAGAAGAAGAAGAAGATAAGTTCAATACGTTCTCTGATATAAGAACTTCTCTATTGAAAACGATGGTTATGTTGACTGGTAAGAAAATGATCATTATAAAGTATTCTTACTTTTGCAATTGATGACTTCTATGTTTCATTACAGGTGAATTTGAAGCTGCAAACATAAAATTTGACACCAACAGCACCAGTTACCTCATATTTGTTCTATTTATATTTTTTGTTGCCATTGTGATATTCAATCTGATGAACGGTTTGGCCGTTAGTGATACTGCGGTTTGTAATATATTATTAAAATACTTGAATTTGCATATAAGTGATGGATTTTATAGGCGATCAAAGCTGAAGCTGAATTAATAGGACTGTCACAAAAAGTTGATGTCATCTCCAAGTACGAGAATGCGTTAAAAACAACAGACATCAATGGATATCTGTAAGTGCCATTACTTCCTAAAAAAAACATTTAAAAAAATTAACACATTCATTTTTTTTTTCAGTACCAAAGCCATATTCAACCTATTTCCATCCACATTCCTTCAATTGTTCCCGGAATACTTACCCTTGCATTACGTCATCGTAATGCCCAATCAGTCTAACATCATACTCATTCCACGACCGAGCAGCAATGTCTTGTCAGCGTCTCGAACCGACGTAGAAAGTCACATAGAGCTATTGCCACTGGATAAACAACCGGAGGAGAAGATCAAGCTTACTATTGGCTGCTGCGTCTTGCCTTCATTCTCCCGAATGGATGGTAAAATATTGAAATATGCCAAGGAAATTTTACATTCTCGCAATAGAAAGAACCAATCGATGGAAAAAGATCAACTATACGAAATAAAATTGGCAAAGATGGAACGTGACATTGGAAAAATCCTTGCATATTTAAGCAATTCCAATTCAAAATAGCATAATATGTGTTTATTTATGAGCTGCCTATAAAATAAGGCACATACTACGTAATCATGTAAATTTCGGTGCTCTGAGACTGAAATATACAAGCTTCACTTAAGGCATAACCACAGACAAACAGACATAAAACATTGAATATTTCTCACTGTAAAACATCGTCGCTAAAACATTACCGATATCTGTTAAGTACACTGTGGTAGGTAGTACGTTGAACAGATGGCGGTAGTGTGTTAACGTCAAACGCAAGGGAATTGACTATGCGCGCCACAGGTGGCAGTACTACCAACTACGATACTTTTAAATTGTCTGTTAAATGTTTGTTCGATGAACAACTTGCGAGTGTTATGTCTGTTTGTCTGTGGCATAACATTCAAGCATTAAAGACGTGAAATGCAGTTTTTTTTTAAATTATTTATTATGGTGATTTTTAGCCACTTCTGGGCTAGATGAATCTAAGGTATTTCTCCTGGAGTTGCATATTTTTCAGTCTCAGAGTGCTTAATTATACATAACATTCAAAGCGTTTTTTTTTTAATATTACTTCATACGCGAAGTTTGCGATTTTCAGATTTGGTTGGAAATGTTATCTAACATGAAGCTTTAGTGGGATAATTTAGTAACAAGAGAATGGTCTTAGAAGAGGGTAGGTAGATAGTTCCGTTCATACTGTCGTACTCAAACGGAACTATCTACCTTCCCTCTTCTAAGACCATTCTCTAGTTAATAAATTATCACACTAATTCTTCATGTTAGATAGCATTTCCAACCAACTCTATATATAACATGTTTGTTTACGTTTCAATCTATACTTCAAACTCCGTCACGTGTATAATTAAATTGTTCTAAGTGTGAAGTTTATTTAGTTTATTTATTTATATTCCATTGAAAGGCAATCTAATGTTTTTTTTTTGTGAAAGTCACTGCAGTTCTATTTTTTTTATTAACTTATAAGTTGTTTTTAATAATTAATCTGGACTTCAACAGAATAATAAACAATCGCTACAATGTGCATCCACTTTGTGATTTGATTTTTTACAGTTACTTCAACACTAGGTATGGATACTCACCACTACGTCGAGGCCGTCCCCGTTGTGGTTTGATGTATTGTGATGACACTTCTGGATGATCTTGCTTGAACGCGGTTTAATTTGCTAATTACGTGAGTAAGCGTAATTATTCGTTGTGCGTTACCCACTACCACTTCATTACCTACCACCATCCTTAGTTTTCACGTAGCTCGACTGAACGGGAATCCCACCGAAAGTAATGAGGCATTGCACAATTGATCTCGCGGTAGGAGTCTGGAAATTGATGTACTATACCATACAATGACTAACTGATTACGCTAATCATGAATCATACATTTCATACACTTCTCTGGTGATGATATCATTGGCTAGAGCTGACCCAATCCTTGCAATCACACTTAAGCGTTCAGATACCTCTATAGACTTCACTGAATGCCCAAATATTAAAGGGCGGTTCTCAAAAAAAGTTTGTTTACTAGAATACAAATAGGGTAAATGTCGGCTTCGGCACCCATTGACTGTTTTCGGCAACCAAAATTTAAACGTTAATTTCACTATGTTTTCCCATCAACACACTTCCCTGAATGCATCCAAACGATTCTTTAGTCTTTCAGCTTCAATCTGATTGTATGTGTACGTCTGAGCAGTCCTGTTATGCCAGATTTGTATTCAAATGAAGCATACGTACTCTAAAATGGGGTTGATTTCAAGTTGCCGATAATAGAACAGCTGGTTAACACGCAGTTCTAATGGGAAGGTTGCCGAAGAAAACGAGGCTGCCGACAATAGTCACACTCACCTGAGAAGTTTGGAGCGTTGTAAAAACCCTTTCAAACAGTTCTGAAGAATTCTGTCGATTAGAATGGATAGAGAAGCAAGCAGCAGATGAATGTAAACTAACAGACACGTCATATATGTGCGTGACGCTGGGAAAATGCTAATAGAAGTGCGGACACTGCTTAGATTGACGAGAATACGTAAATTCCCCTATCTTATTTTAACGCCAAATTAATGATATTTGTTTTCATAAAACAAACTTCGTTAAGTGAAATATCGTTTTTGGCAGTATCTAGAAAACTATCATACTGAGATTTTTTTGACTACATTTTTGGATTCAGCGCACGATTATACTTAATCATAGGTGAAACTTTGATTTTTTTTCCATGATTTGTTTTCCGTCGATCTTACCGTACTGAGTACCAATGCTACCGACGCCAGGAAGGCAGCTCCCACACCTGGACCCTACGTATCGACCCATCAACTCATAGACCGGGCTTTACTTCCCTTCCGAAGAAAGGCATGATTAGAGATTTTATGCCTCAGAACATCCCGGCGGCGCTGACTGGGATTGAACCCAGGCCTGCTGGGGTGAGAGGTAATCACGCTTACCACTACACCACCGGCGGCGCTTATTTGTAGACTAGTGTAATCATTATAACATTATAACATTTTTTATCTCTGTGGTCTAAACAAGACATAACCGAACCGTTCGGTATGGTTTTACAGATACGTCTGGAAAATTGTGGTAGGCCCAAAAGTCTGTATTTTATACGGATAATCTGACAAAGGTAAATGGCAATCAAATCCTCTGTTGTTTTATAAATCTAAATCGCCTCTTGAAAAATGTACCAGATGGACGGAAAGTATTATTTGTTGTATCATTTTCACAAGGCGATGTAAGCCAGTAACGAAGTCAACCGGAAACTTGGCCTTGACTTAAAAGTACATAGCTGAAGGCGCTAGAAAAAATATAACTATTAATTAAAACTATGTTAATACACTTAAACTCATGATAGATACTGACAATACTTTCGTCCTGACCTTGTACATAAATTCTCTAGAAAAACATCCTTACTTCCACGCGCACTTTCACATTACGCATTTAAAAAGTGTTTTGATATAAAGTTCTAGTAGGATGATTCATCCACCTGTTTACAGAAGTTCGGTGAAAAATCACTTACATATGGTAACTTCCCGAATAAAAAATACAAAAAGTAAACCTTTAAGATATACAGCGCCATAAATTCCTATGAGCACAAGGACATTTTTCGGTTGTAAGATTAAATAGCATGTCCAAAACAAAACTTCAGTATTGTGCATGGAGGAAGATGTTAGATCAGTTGGTTATTTCTGCTATAAGACGCTTTTATATTATTTCTCAATATTTGCTTAGAATAATTAAACGCGTTTTATGGATGAAAATTCTGATAAGCGCAGCTTTCTTTTTATATTATTTTGACCACCATTTTTCAGAATTGTGTCATAAATTCGATTCGGCATGGAATCAAAGAGATTTTCCAACATTATTAATGGAATATTATGCCATTCATCCCTTACTGCAGTTTGTAGTGCATTAATGGTCGAAAAGTGCCGGCCACCACTGTATATCCGTGTTGCCAGAATCCCCCAAAGATAGGGTAAAAGTAAACGTCGCCAAAATGTGTTCAGCTTCCGATAATTAAAGTATTGTCGAAAAACTGGAGGCAGAAAGTTTTGATTGAAGAAATTTTATTGTCCACGCTTAAATACTTATTTTCCAATTAGAAGATAAAGGAGATTTCTAATGGGTTTTCTTAATTACCACAGTAAGTAAAAACACGACTAGTTCCAATCGCTGTCGAGATAGAAGTGTCGACCTCAATCCATATATTTTCGATCACACTTTCATACGCATGCGTTACTCTGTAGTCCAATTCAAACCACAGTTGATTTTACAGCAAAGCCTCGCTAAGGCGTACACGACAGAAATCAGGTTAATAAATTTGTTAAATTTTTATGCAATGCCCGAGCCAATTACTGAAGCATTTCTTGGTAAGTATAGCATCCTCTTTTGTATGCACTTGCAGCTTCCTAACATTCGTATTAGAATGCTTTTTTGATTATTCATGAACTCTTGATCGCTGGGAATGCTTGCGAATATTTGAAGTGAACAAAAAGGTGAACAAAGAGCTTTTTCACATTTACATCGCTGTGCAGCAAATGTAAATTTTTGAGGGAAATTATATGTGTCCAGTCTAGTTTTTTGTTTGCTAATCTGGTTTTTATAAATAACTTAGGGTTATTCCTGAAAAGCTTTTAATAAATTGAGTTCTCAAAAATGTCTTATTTAAGATACTTTTAGAACTTTTTATACCGCATGATTTTACTGGAGCAACCAAATTGCTACCTCTTGTTGAAAAGTTATTAAAGATCTTCGTGAAAAATACGCCCATTTTTAAAGTTAATTAAATGAGTTAAACAAAAATGGCTCTCGTAGATTTTACACCATACATGAATAAAATCACGATCTATCAAATGCAACTAGTAACATAAAAATCCAGATGAATGTGGGCGTTGCCGCTTCCGTATCCGCTTGGTTTGCAGACCTCCGTCGCTCCGTATCGATGAAAATACGCCAGAGACACATCTTGCTACTGCTCGATCCAGAGTTGTTTAAGAGATGAACTCGACAGTGAGCATTCATAAGGGCGTATACGCGATGATCGATTCTCTTCATCGATTTTCTCTTTTCTTAATAACTCGCTAGATTTAACGTTTGTCGGTGCGTTTGTTGTTGCTTTTGAAAGCCAATACAACCTATTACAACTCTACATTGAACAAATTCTACAAAATTGTTTCGCTTAGCTGTAGCAATGCAAAGAGAAAAACGATGAAGAGAATCGATCATCGCGTATACGCCCTTATGCATGCTCACTGTCGAACTATAGCCTACGACTAAAAATTTCTATAATAAAGTATTCAAAAACAAAAATCCAGAGTTGTTTGGTATGAATTTAGCTAGGACCGTCTGTAGTATCCATCCAGAAGCAATATATGTATTCATTGATTTTAATGTAAACCAGTATTTAATTCGGGTTTGTATTTTAAGTAGGGTAAATGTCGGCTTCGGCACCCATTGACTGTTTTCGGCAACCCAAATTTAAACGTTAATTTCACTATGTTTTACCATCAACACACTTCCCTGAATGTATCCAAACGATTCTTTAGTCTTTCAGCTTCAATATGATTATATTTGTAGGACCGAGCAATCCTGTTATGCAAGATTTTTCTTCAAATGACGCATACGTACTACAAAATGGGGCTGATTTCGAGTTGCCGATAATAGAACAGCTGGTTAACACGCAGTTCTAATGGGAAGGTTGCCGAAGAAAAAGAGGTTGACGACAATAGTCACACTCACCTGAGAAGTTTAGAGCGTTGTAAAATCGTTTTCAAACAGTTTTGAAGAATTCTGTCGATTGGAATGGATGGAGAAGCAAGCAGCAGATGAATTGAAACAAACAGACACGTCATATATGTGCGTGACGCTGTGAAAATGCTAATAGAAGTGCGGACGCTGCTTAGATTGACGAGAATACGTAAATTCCCCTATGTATCTGCATGTGTTTCATATATTGCTTCTCATGGGTACTACGCCACCTTGATGGCCATTGCCGACTTCTCGCAGTCATAATCGACGTGGTATTTCAGCACGCGCTTCGAGGCTACGGCATGCTCCCCGACGGTAAGTTCTGCCCGCTGCACCTATCTACCTACATCCTACAGCTTCGCTCCTTGCATCAAGTTTTCATCCGTTTGGATCGCCTCGGTTGCCAACATTTCCACCTCTTCTAGCGTCTCGCCTGTTGCCGTTAAGACGACGTGTGTGTGTTATCCTCTATCCCACACCCATCCGGGGGCGTTGGACAAGTAGAACTGCGAATAATTTGATCAAATCTCATGCTCCGTAAAGCTGGGTTTAGATAGGGCAAGTCAATTGATCAAGTCAGTTGAATTCAACTGACCTGAACGCGAATTGAACGTGTAAACCATGCCATTCAACTGACTTGATCAACTCACTTGAATTGAAAAAAGTTGAACCAGACTCAACTTTTCAAGCCAATTGAATTCAACTGAGTTGATCATTTGACTTGCCCTATGTAAACCCAGCTTAATTGTGCCCTTCATGTTGTGAAGACTAGTACTTCAAAAAGGGTAACTCAAGAAGTTAAGGGAATAGGATGCACTAGATATCCACAACAGGTACAGCAAAAGATCACATAGACGCCCTAGACACTTACTACTCAGGGGGTAGAAGGTCAAGAAGAGCCACCGCCGCCAACTAAAGCTTGAACCGGGTACCTGAGACTCCACGATATACCCGCGGCAAGGGTCAGCAGATGATGCTAGAATGAAATATGTTTTATTTGGATATACAAAATGTTTGAAGCCATGCGTTATCAACACCATAATTTGCATCACCATAAATACACTTTTCATTGTTTCGATTGTGTCATCACCGCCAACACAAAACATTTCGGATGGTGTTCACTCTCTCCCTTTTTCTCTTCTACACTACTGCAATGAAACGATGAAACGCTCACTTGACATCCTCCATTCCGCGGACCTGATTTTCTCATATAATGGATATGAAATTGAGTTTTTGGAAACCAAAGCAAAATGGTCATTATTACCACCCTAGTTTCCATCACAGACCACACAATTTTTTCGATTGAGTTTCACTGATTTTTCACATTTGATAATGCACTCAACACTTCTAGTAGAAGAACCATACAAATTTCACTCGCGATGCCACACATTTCTGGACCGGGAGTACAAGCGAAGACAGAAAAAAAAAACAAACAACGCAGATAGCGACATCTCTTCTGATGCTTGCAAACATGATAAATCTGTTACCTTTAAGACGACGACGTCCGCAAAACCAACGATCTCAACACCTTTGGACAGCTTTAGACCGTTGGAACAATGCCTATTTGTCTCAGTGTATAAAAAGGTTGTCAATTGAGACAAGGAAGTCGAACAAGGTCGTATTCGGTCGAGGTAGGTTTGACAGTTATTTTTGACAGAAAAACCCGAGTAAGTACGGGCAATTTCTAGTGTCATTATACAGACTGTACAAATTCTACATTGATTAATTGGGTCTCACAGCTTTTGAATGAATCGTTATAGTTGTGTAGGTATTAAGCAACATTATTCAAAAACGGACGAATCTATCTTTCTATGTGACGCTGTAGAATACGTACCCACGAATGGATGACCACAAACATATCAACCAAAAGCATTGGGTGTGGAAAGAAAGTTTCAAGCGTTTTAATTATTGATGTCGTAGTTAACCAGCGTCCAGCTTTCACCAGTATAACAAAGGCGAGCAGCGTATCAAAAGGTTTATTCCAGGATTACGGTCTTTGTTCCTCTTTGCAGTTTATCGGGAGCAAAACTACGGGTTGAATTTGAAAAGCTAGTTACTATTCCCATGATTTAACAAGCCTGCTTGCAGATGAGATCGTTCAGTTTGTACCATTTGCTAAGGTTGGGACAGCATCTCAACAGGCTTATGTCAACGATTGAGAGCTAGCTGATATGCTCTCCAACGCATACGTCGGTTTGTGAATATATCTAGATAGAGCTGGAATTAGGGCGTAACAGCTTTTGTAAACAATGACTTCTCTCGATGATTTCTAGGAATTCAAGGCACGCCCACGCAAACTAACATAACATTCGGGTAGAGGAAGTCGTCCCCTACCCGATGGTGATGTTGATTTGAGTTGGCGAGCCTTGATTTTCTAGAAATCATCGAAAGAAGTCATTGTTTACAAAAGCTGTTACGCCCTAATACCAGCCCTATCTAGATATCTTAGCTTGATGGTCACCAATAGTTCAGGTGGAAGATCTTATAACACATAAGCTTTGATTAAAAGCAAATCATCGATGACTGACGAAAAGTTGGTATGTTAATAAAAAACGAGTGACTGGTGCGAGTACTGAAAGGTTAACACAGGAACGCCGCAGCAGGGCATTCAATTTGCTGCTTCGCGTCAGCAAGCAAATCCAAACTGCATTGAGATGACAAAATGACGTAAACGCCATCATGGTAAATTTTCAATTTTCAGTGATGAACTAGCCTATGGCTAAAGATCTCTTAAATAAAGATTCAAACAAAAATCAATTTTCATCATATTTGAGTTCTACATCCATAATGACACACACAAACACCCAACACTTGTACAAAATTTTATTTTGAAGCATGCAGATAAAGTGATGTTATCCATACATTTTCGGAGAATCAGTGAAAAAAATTACTATTTCTACACATAAGTGTAGATTGTCTACGCGGGGGGAGGGGTTGTCCTATCGAAAAACAGTCAAAGTAGTTTATGATTAGCCCCCAACTGTTGTACGCTCCCCTTTATCTTTTATTTACTTATCCCATAGAAGCATACAATTTCAGAGAACGACCAAGCGCAACCTGTTGCGTATTTCAATCCGTGTAAATCAGAATTATTCCACGTATAAACTAACGGTTTTTCCTCATCCAGTGAGGTATAACGATGTACTGGAATCATGTAAACAAATCCCTAGAATTTTGCGAACCACCCGCTTCGGCATTCAGCTGTTGCATCTCTTCGGTGGAAAACACGTTTGTTTACATTTAATACGCATGCGTTCCGATGGATCGGAAAATTTAGTTCTCAATCGTCTTTTGCATTTTCCAGTTCACTTTCAGTGTTCAAGTTTCATCAAGTACCCAACACGAAATTCAGATTTCAAAATCTCAATTAAACATTTCCTGTGAAGTAGAAACAAATTTTGTAGTGCCCTAGTAGAACTTCGTTGTCTTACAAGGTGAGGAAAAGTTAAATTATTTAACTGGAACATAAATCTACCCATGAAATCGTTATTTGCAAAAAGCGATGAAACGCCCAATGTGAGCCATCTTGGATTTCCTGATCAAGATCATTTTTTCTCAATTAATCTCCTGAGTGGAAAAGGTGAAAAGGACAGCATTTTCCGTGAAAATATCGATAGATCTAGTTCTAGACCTAAAAATTGAGATCCCAGCTACAAGGTATACAATAATAAGTCAAATGTCCATTTCCGGTACGTTAAATTGCATCGGAGGGTTAAGCACCTGAGGGTAATCAATCAAAGCTCACCATAATCTCTGGGATTAAGAATTTCAGGAGATGAATAGAATTTGCAGAATGATCAACAAATATCGCGAGAAAGAAATACGCGTTGTGTGTGTATGTGTGTGTTTTATAGTTTTTAGAGTATGTTTTATAGCAAGGACAAAACCACAAGGTGTGCTGGTGCTAGTGTACTAAAATCGTACTAAAAAAATTGTCAACACAATGTAAACAGGTTTCAGCATCTACATATCAGCATATCGTTTCTAAGGTGTTTACATTTGTGATGGTATGCTGGTGTTAGTGTACTAAAACTGTACTAAAATTTAGTCTGCATAATGCAAACAGAGCGTCAGCAACTACGAGCATGAGATTTCAGGAGCAACTGAAATTCGTTCTAGTTGGTTGAGTTGGTTGAGCTGCTCATATACATTCAAAAGCGAATATCTCAATAAAACCAAAGAAAAAAATGAAAAACAGAAGATTTTTATCGATGGGCCCAATCTTTTAATCTATATACCAACATTAAAGCCATTCCCCCGTTTCCAGTATATCATTAAGAAACGAAAAGCCTGCTAAAAGTTGCAAAAACTTAAAGTCATAATTTTACGTTCATAATTCTAAGTTAAATTAGACGTTTTCCGCGGATACAACATACAGTGTATCTCAAAATTGAGCGTACAGATGTCCTTAAAGTTTAGAAAAACAGCTGTAAAAGCCCAATTTAAAGAGATACGTTTTTGAATTTTTGGTTGCTGAATCATCATACATTTATCAATTATTGGTACAGTAATGGGCTTATTTGGTTGCGTTTCTTAAAGGTAAGAGCTATTTGAGAAAAGCGCTTTTTTCTTGAAATACCTTATTATCTTAAAATACAATGAACTAAACTTCTTGAAATTTTTCTCATTTTTAGGTGTTGTTAAGATTATTAATATTCCATTAACATTTTTCTAAAATTCGTCCAATAGGTAAAAAGTTGAAAATCGAGCGTTTTACTAAAATAAATCTAACTTCATACAGGTTCTACAAATAAAGTCCAATCCTATAGCGAAAAATCAATAAATATCTGAGATTTAAAAAAAAATACTACAAGGGATAGTCCTATGGGGTTGTACGCAATGGTGGTGTAGGACTACGTAGTTTTATATAATAAATCTTATTTGTTAACTACAGCAGGAGCTTGTGTTTTGTGTAGGAATAGAAATTTGAGCGGGATTCCCTCTGTTTATACTCTTTAGTATGACGCGCTTGACATAGATGGCCCACTGCGACTCACGAAGAGCTACTGATTCCGATCAATAGCGGTGCGGCTTCTTCCGAGGGGGGCGACTCTATCTACGATGCAGAAAAGATTGTGTTTTGCTGTGGCTAGCTGCACGCACGCTGAGTAGATAGAAGGAAGATTTATGTCGATTTTGAAGATTTCCTGCAAAAAGATGAAGAACGATGCAAGTAGATGCGAGAAATGAAAGATGATTTTTCGAAGATTGATTTTAGATGTGTCGCCCCCTCGGCTTCTTCCTCCTTCTATGGATGCTCATGTGGGCTGCAGCTTGCTGCTTGCAGGCAGCCTTTCGTTGCGTATTGGAGAACACCACCGCTCACAACGCGGTGATTGAATAAACACCGTATGGTTAGGGAAATCGCTTTTCGTAGGCAATTGGTGAAAATTTTAACTATCATAGCAACAGTTGCACATTTGTGCAATTTTCAATAGTGACATTTTGAAAAATAAATAAGGTCTTAAATTTAACAAATCTGCAGAAATATTTCTGATTGATTGGTGTTAAAATTATTGAAATTGGTCCAGGCGCAACTGAGTTATTAACGTTCAAATTCTTTCATAATTTTGTTACATGTTACATTTTCGGTTTTCAAAAAGTGTACCTCCCTATAGAAATCACAGACGTAGTCCTACGTCAAAAACATTCTCCACAACAACTCTCCACAACTCGATATAGAATTATAGAACCATAGTCAAAATGCATGTCATGGCTACTGTGATGGTGATTCCTATGGGATGGTTGTTCTATTACTCGATGGCCCCTTCAATTCTAGTTGTAGAGAGTGCACTGTACGTTGTATTTTCTTTCGGTTTTACAAATAAATTCAATATCTTCATAGTATGATAGAATGATATACCAAATATAAATATGATCTTTCGTCTCTGATTTATTTTCCAGACAATTTTTCCTCAACTATGTGATCACCCTGCAATCCTGTTAATATAGATCTCTATCAGAATGATGAATGCCTATTCCGAATCACAATCGGACGTTGATAATGAACAAAATGTGGGAACGAGGCAAAAATCTAAACAAGTCCTTAACAGATGTCCTGATAAGCGAAGTTCGCTTGTCAAACGCAGTGTTACCACAAAGAACAATAGAAGACCCAGCGTCAATAGTGCATATAACGATAACTGTGGGAATTATAACGAGTCTTGCAGTATGCGCAAGAAGGGAGACAAATCCACTGGTTCAGCGTCATCTACGAGTGGTACGATGCACTCCTCGGGAAGTAGCTGCAGCGATGGCGATACCTCATCATCGTATGGTGAACCCAATCTTCCATATCCAGGATTTGCAGAGTACTCGCTCAAGTACCTCAGTCAGGATACGAAGCCGAGAATATGGTGCCTGCAGTTGATAACAAATCCATATCCTTTTCAAAAGTTAATTATTGTTTATCACGGCCAGCAGCCTTGACTGGAGATTCAAAGCACTCTCTCTGGAGATGAACTAGCCATAGGCTAAAAGAACTAAAACAAATCAAAGCACTTAGAAGCATATTTCGTTTCATATATTTTTCAAAACCTTGAAAACTATTTTTTGTAACTACCTTCGAGCATTATTAGATATAATTTTCCTCAACTCTTTGTAATACGTGGTTCGAGCGAATCTCCATGTTGGTAATTCTGCTGAACTGTATTACGCTAGGAATGTACCAGCCATGTGTGGATGATGCCTGCGTTACAAATCGATGTAAAATTTTACAGGTTCTGTTTTCACATTGCTAAATGTTAAATATACTAAATATTTTTAATTGTTTTCAGATATTTGATGATATTATATTCGCTTTCTTCTCCCTCGAAATGACAATCAAAATAGTAGCTATGGGTGCATGGGGGAAGGGTACCTATCTAGCTGACTCGTGGAATAGGCTCGATTTCTTCATCGTGCTAGCTGGTGCTTTAGAATACTGTCTTCAAGTGGAAAACTTAAATCTTACTGCGATCAGAACCATCCGTGTACTTAGACCACTTCGAGCGATCAACCGAATACCGAGTAAGTAGCACTTCATTCTCTTCTCAGCTCTACCGACGTATTATTAAATTTAAATACCGGTTGCAGTGGCAGCACTGTGATAGAGTGTGTATTAAGTTTTAACAATCTAATCTTAATAAAAAACTCATACTTTAGATAGTAGATTAATTCACTTGCGAGACACTAGAGCAATCAATTATTAATTTTCCACTTTTCAGGTATGCGAATACTTGTCATGCTTTTGCTTGACACCTTACCCATGCTCGGTAACGTATTGCTGTTGTGTTTTTTCGTGTTTTTCATTTTTGGAATTGTGGGTGTGCAGCTGTGGGAGGGCATCCTACGACAGCGTTGTGTCATAAAACTCCCAGATAATGTGTCGGCTCCAGAGTAAGTAGCGGATCTTTAGTTTTCGCCCATTGAACGTTAGTCGATGTTTTTCTCTTAATTTCTGGTTCAGTATTGTACATTTTTGCTTCCACAATTAGATCTGTATTTCATGAGCAGAGCCAATCTAATTTCTCAAAATGTATTATACATATATTTTTACATACTATTGCTTGTTTCCATCGTTTCAATTTTTAATCACAACTATACCGAAGATTTGTAGACAAATAGACTAGTTATTCATAAGACGCCGTTTTGATGATGTTGTATGAGGGTAGTTCTTCTAGCTAATCTAATTCAAAATATGAATTAGTACAAAGGATTAGCATCAATATTTTCTCCATGACATGACATAAGTACAGGGTTGCCTCGTAACGTGGGTAGATTACCTTTTCATGGTATTTTACGAGAAGTAAATCTACCACCGATTCGTAGTCTTGACTACTTCAAACTAGCGGAAATTTTTCAGTAATCAAAAAAACACATATTAGTCCTTGTTACTTTTTATACCTTGTTAATAGTGATAAGTCCTCGGGTTGTCTGGAGCGAGGATAATCTTAAAACATGGAAACATAGGTTAGTTAGTCTTGATCTATATTATCTAATCTTATATTCGATGATGCCTATTTCTTTCTGATGGTCATTATTGGTGCCATTGCTTAATTTTTTTTACAAAGGAATCCAATTTTGACTGACAAAAGGGGCGCCTTTGAATGGTGCTCTCACTCTTCAAAGGGTATACATCGCGGGACCTTTCAATTAGGATCGATTCCTTGCGATGAAGTCAAGAATAACAACTATATCAAAACCGAATTCCTCATCATTTCTCAATAGTTATGCACATGCACTAAACTAATGGCACATGATATACTACAATAGATCAAATTACTGGTCGCAATGGTTTTATGTCCCGAACAGAGGAAACAAAACATACTAGGTTTCAGCAACGATGTGGTTTAGCGTATGGTTTTATTTATTTATTTATTAATTGTCTCGCGGTAACAGATGGCCTCAACTTTGGGTTGGAAAAAGAATTATTGATCCATTAATTAATAAAAAAAAAAACTCAGACTTTGGTTGCCTTCTTGAGGCACCAGGCTACGTAAGGTCACTGTCTATGACTACCGGTCACTTAATATGACTACCATTGATCTTGTTTGCGAATTCTAATGTAATTTGAGGTGCCGTATGATGGATTTTGACCCAGGTCAGAAACTGGCAACTTCCCTAGGGGTACCCGGAACATGTCCTGATGTAGCCAATATGGTTCTGGGCACTCAATATGACCACCACTGATCTTATTTTATAGTTATAATTATACACATTTTATGTCGGTTTAAGTCGTATGACCCATATTCACCGAAATGTGTTCCGGCCATTTCTACCTACCCAGTTGACCGATTTCAAAAGCATTATATAGCGTTATATAATGTTACACTTGTTGGATGCAATTTCGTTCTATGATTGCTGATAAACACACCGACCTTTATATCGTGTTACACACACAGACATTGTTCCTGGCCACGGGTGAGAAGTCAGTTGTCCAAGCGATGTATATAAACTAGGGTACCAATCAATGTATGAGAAAAAACTGACTATCGAATTTTACAACCGGAATATTTATTGACTAGACACAAGACCCTATGCAAAATTTGGACTCAATCGGAGATGACTTATGGGTGCCACAAAGCGGTCAAAGATTGATCTATTTTCATCTGAAAAATCTCCCAAGGTAGGAACACAAAAATATCGTAAATTTAAATTTTCTTTGATGACAAATTACTTAAAAATGGAGATTTTTCAAAATATGTTTTTCTTTTTAGCTTTGCAGCACCTCTAAATCATGTCCGATTTAGCACACATTTTTCATGGGGTAGTTTTTCGAGCCAGCAAACATTAAGTATAAGGTCCGTGTGTAAAATTTAAAATGGCCGTTTCCATTGGCACCCCAATATATGGACACTTTAAAATGCATGGCTTCTCACATTTTTAAGAGCATAGAAATTCTAAGTCATGAGCCACAATGCTAAAGACGCCGCAATGTTATAATATGAGCCTAAAAAAGAACCAATTGCATCTTGTACGTGGGAGAAACAAATGGAAATATGATTTTCTCCTTCGAAAATAAAGATAGGGTTGGGATGGGAAATTGGCATTTTCGAAGCGCGAAAAAATATATTGTGGCACCAAAATAGTCAAAGAGCTAGTTCAAATAATCATCAAACTTGATTTTTGCTATATTTTATGCAGATCCAATCGGTAGAAGTTCTCAAAATTCCCAAAAAATATTGGTTGATCATCGATGATCACTTGGAAAATACATACATTTAGGCGTTCCCCAGCTAAATATGGTTCTTCCTCAACTCAGTGTTCTTGATGCATTCCACGGTTTTTAATTGAGAGCTTTCTCTGTCAACCAATGTATGTACTTTTATAATGTGTGGCAAGCACAATGATACTCTAAGCCACGGAGAGTCGAGAACCGGGAATCAAAACCGCCGCCTCTGACTTAGTAGAGCTGTACTACAATTACTTTATCGTAAGACGAAAAGTCAGATGAAACGTGACAAAAAATCTTGAAATAACAAATAGAACAAGATTAGAATATAATTTACGCTTTATGTATAGTGGAGAAAGTTTTTTCGACACATATAGTTGCATCCGTGTAAAAACGTGCATACCAGAGAATCGAGTAGAGCTGTAGAGAAGAAAGTCAAACGCTTATGTAGTGATTTGAAAACAATTCATATCGATTGATGCTTAATTCTATCTAAAACATATTTCTTATATTAGCTATGTTCACTCGTATTACTTCTATTAGAATATAGCTCTATTACAGTTTCCTAACGATGGCACCAAACTACGGTACAGAATCTAGAGTATATATATATATATATGTATATTGATATAGTGAATACTAGTATCAATTACATCTAACCACGTTAGCTTCAATAAATTAGGGTTCATGAGAAACAAGCAAATATAATTTATTCATGCTCGACTAATATATTGTCTGCTAAACATCTCTACCTTATATTAAATTTTGTAAATAGTTTGTATTCTTGAAATTTCTTTGTAGCACATTTACACAACGTAACCTTTACTATAGAATTGTGACCCAAAAGCAAAGGAAATCTGAGTAACGATTCGTTTCAAGCCCGTTAACACTAACCGTTGCTTAGTTATCTAACATCTGTAGCACTAAGTGGATACGACTAACAATAGTATAATGATGGGATGTAACATTTTCAAAGCGTAACCCAATGCTCGCACTCATCGCCAATCGTATCTAATTCTGGAACGCTGTAGGGGAAGTTCGGTGAAGATGAAAACAGCAGGAAAGGTGGACACTTGCTGAATTAAATCAAAAAATCTGTATTGAATAAATTGAAACCTCAGCCTATAACATAAACTAAATGAAGAGGTTTGTTCATGTAAAAAGTATGCATCGAGAAATTAATTTTAACATGTTTTTCGATTTAAAAGCAGCAAGTGTCCTACTTTCCTGCTGTCAGTCTTTACCGACTTTCCCTAATAATTATTGTAGTCATCACCGATTTATTGTTAACCTAGAAAAGCATCGCAGCAATCCCCATCGCTACAATCTGTCGACGCCTGGACATAGGCTACTGCTATTGTGTTTATCGTTGTGAATAATTGGTGACAACTTGATGCTGTAGTGAAACATTAATTTTTGTGGAAATAGAATCCAGCAGTGCAATTTTCAGCATTCTGTTGACTAGGAAATAGTTTGAAAATGTATCATACGGACAAACTTATCAGCGGAATGTGCTGAAAATAACTGTTGAAATATTTATAAAGGAAACGACTCTAATGTTGACCTCTGGATCGAAAAGTTGTGACCGTCGAAAAATATCTTCTATATTCCTATTTTTCAACAACCACGCGTAATCTGAACGGCACAAATGGTTGCTACTATAAAAAAAGCAATACAAAATCAGTTTGCATTAACCCAATATTAGGATCACTTCTTATCAGAGTCATCTTCTTAAGATCCGTAGTAGCAGTGAAATTCAAGAGTAATGAAGCCCGAATATAATTCTCACAGCGTATTGTAAATACTACTTGATAACTAGGTGCCACTACTACAATTATTTCCACGTTGATTACTTTTGGGAAGCTCCAGTCAGAACTAACAATGAATTATATATATACTCATGACGCATATATTCTAACATATGCCTAGTGAATACACATAAATAACATCTCTGAACAAAATTTAATTCCAACATGTAACACAAACAGCACATACTAATCAATTACAGAAAGCCATATTCGAAGTGAAACTTGTTGAACCTTTCTTTTCAACTAATGATGCCCTCTGCCAGAAAATACATCATTCAGGCAGGATATACTTCTGATGATAATCTTATACTTATAATTTGTATGCTTCTGTTTCCATGAGCTTTTTTCGTCTTGATTTCAACCGAAAACTGTGTTCTATTTTCGAACTTTGGTTTCCTCGTGCGTGCTATCCGGATTGAACACAATCTTTTAGTATTACCCAAATTTATCGCAAACTTCCAATCATTGCCATCTATTGCAGGGCTATTCCAGATGAATACAGAGTTCGAGTTCGTCTTAATTCGTAAGAGTTTACTATTCGATTCGACGGTGACATTTTGTTTGTAACGGTGTCTTCCTAGATACAATGTTTAGATGTCTTCTACCAACTATCATAATTCTCATCTCTAAAGTAGCTTTTTCGAATTCAAATTCTACAGAAAGCACTCAACTAGAGTAGAAACAGTAAATGTATTCATGTTGTGAAATAAGAACTTGTTGTTTAGATATATTTCAAACAGGTAAAATTCCGAATTCGGTTGCATATTTAGTTACTATTTTGATTTGAAATTTCAATTAAAATGGAAAATACACAGCAAAAAATAATAATAAAAAAAAAATAAAATTTTGAATCATCACGCCAAGATAACGTAACATCTTTTTTACAGATCTACTGAAATAAGATGAACTCATGTTCAATGATTTAAATTTACACTCATACATGTTCTGATGTTCTGCTAGTATGTTCGTTTCGCGTTCCGTAATAGGATATCGGAATGGTGTTTTTTGATATTATTATTTCTTGCTGTGTTTTATTCCTGTTTAAGGTACAACAAGGATGGCTCACGCATGGTAACACTTTCAAATACACTGACAAATTATTCATGTGTCAACTATTTTCTACTCATATTTTATACTATTGAAACACTCATTCACTCAATATTAGATTTCGTACAATGTTTGTTCAATATAGGTAATATTGCAACTTCAGGTCGTTTCAGGAACAATAATTTTATTCACTTATTGCATCAATGACTGTAGGTAACAAGTCTTTTGGTCATCAATGGTCGTTCGTCATATGTTGTCGAAAGACTTTCGTTGCTACTCGAAGGCATAAATTCTTATTTGAAAGAACATAACATTTGAGTTAACGTTTATGGAGGATTGAGTCAAAATTCGATTCTCAACATGTTTTAATTTATGCATGGGCAAAAATATGAACTGTACGAAAATATAAAAGAAGCCTTAATTAAATACAATCAATTCAGTTCATCATGGTTATACGTGTGTTTATCCATGCTAATGAGAGCAGGTATATAATTTCCTGTAGTGATTTAATAATTCTTGTAGAAGATGCTTAAAACTATATTTGTTTTAAATGACAGCTAGTTTGTGTTTGTCTAGTTTTAGGATCATTTTACCTGGAAAAACCGTCCGCTGGGAAATACTGATGACGCCATTAGACACCATAATTTGTTCCCGCGTCAAACGCATCTTCATAATAGTTGACAGCAGCCGACGTTCTCTTAAACATACAGTACATTAATGCTGTTACAAGTTATAAGCAAGGCATATTGCATCGCTTAAGCAATTAATATAATCCATGTTTTACGATCGTAATTTTGTCACATAGACGACTTTGATATATTAAATTGCAATACTTCCAAGACATGTCTGAAAGTAAAACTGTAACCCACAGCAAAAAGGTAGCAGGGATGAAAAATAATTTCAGTCCACGCATAATTATTTTTTCAAAAGCAATGTTTTTTTCTAAAAGCTATGCTAGTCGCTGAAGAACAATCTTCGTAGTCTCTTTGCTTTGAACACAGTTTGAATTGCTTTAATACTATATTATTTTAGTAAAACCCTGCCGCTGCTGGCATAGCAGTCCCATTTAGATAGGTCTCCTTAATAAAGCTACAAAAAACATACAATACATGGAACTGTTATGCGAATAGCAGCACTTCATTCAGCAGAAAAATTTATAAAAATTCATAGGATTTAGCATGGGGTTGCCATTTTAAAAATAATGAAACTTGGTCTGAAATCGTGTAACATCCCTGAGCAGTAACCCTTTCCGTTGCCAATTAACTTACCATTTTACCTCGAATTTACTAACACTCTATCTGTTTTATTAATACGTGTAATTAACTGCTATTAAATTAATCCTAATTAGAAGCAGTAAAACTATCAAGTAACCTAATTCTACGCAGATGCATGCTTAACAGGGACGTTTGTGTATAGGTGTTATAAGATCTGTAAAAAAATGTTGAAATACGAAATTTATGTTTCCCCTTGCAAATTCCCCTCAACAGCATATCATTCTACTACGAATTTTCGAAAGAACAAGACTACATTTGTTCAAAACCAGCTGACTCTGGAATGCATCTCTGTAACAATCTACCACCATATAGAATAGGACCACTCCTTTGCAATGGTAAATAAATGTTTATTTAATAACTAGTTATTTATAAGCTAATTGTGAGTTTTAATACATTTCAGCCTCTGCAGTACCGTTTTCAAATAACGTACCTACATCTCGTTCTTGTGTAAATTGGAATCAGTACTATACCAACTGCACACAGCTGGGAAATAATCCATTCCAGGGAACAATATCCTTCGACAATATTGGATTGGCGTGGGTTGCCATATTTTTGGTACGGAATTTAGTAGCACTTCTATACATCTTAAACTGTAAACTTTTTCCATCGCTACAGGTAATTTCACTAGAGGGATGGACCGATATAATGTACTATATTCAAGATGCACACAGTTTCTGGGATTGGATATATTTCGTGCTTCTCATTGTGGTAAGTATAAAGAGGCTGAATTTGAATCTCGAGTGTATAGCAGAAAATTGTGCAGCGCACAATAATGGTCCCGAAGCCGTATTTAGGAAGCCACAAAATATTACGTATGAACCGTTAGTTTTAGGTAACTAGTATTTTGTCGAAAAAGTTTTTTTTTATTTATATTATTATAGATAGATTGGCACAACAGTTTATTTGAAGCAACTTTGCCCAAGAAACAAAGTTTCTACCTCTAAAGGTTTTCCTTTTATACTGGTATTTGATAAGTAACTTGAAAAATCGATTTTTTAAATTGTCTTTTTGAACATTGATTTTCTGTAAATAATTCATCATAACACTTTTAGTACTTTAAATGGCGTCATTTTTTAAGCACAAACATTTCCGTCTTCCTAAATACGGTTTTGGAGCCAGTGTGCAGTGAAGAAAAAGATATATATATTTCTAAAATCCTAGCATTACTGATGTTGAACTCAAAGCAGAAACTCAGCTTGTACTCGTTAGCGCTTCTCTAATTCAAAACAAAACGACAGAGAACATTTCCTCTAAATAATTTCCCTTGCAGATTGGATCCTTCTTCATGATCAACCTTTGCCTCGTCGTAATCGCAACGCAATTTTCGGAAACCAAGAAACGAGAAATGGAACGTATGCGTCAGGAAAGGGCTCGATTCACTTCGACTTCTACCTTGGCATCAAGTACGAACAATTCAGAACCGACCACATGTTATGCCGAAATTGTCAAGTACATTGGACACCTGTACCGAAGATTAAAACGCCGAATCATTAAGAAGTTACGACTGTATAAGTATGAATGTCTCGTTGTTATTCTATTTCACTCACCTTTTCTTAAGCACTCCTCATTATAGAATCAATTGATTTTTTGCATGGCACGTCTCACATATCTATGTTTCATATTCGTTGATTTTAAACTGTGTTAAGAAAATAACTTTATAACACTCATCCCGATGGCAGTCAAAAGCCTTAAAAAATCAACACTTGTGTGAAGTATTCAATAAATTATAGCATTATTACCTAAACAGAAGAAATTACTAGCAAAAAAATACTAAATGTCGTCATAATCCGCATAACAAGGTGAAAAATGACAATTTTGAATATTTGAACTATTCCATCGATATCATAACATAGTTTAACGGAACATAAGTTTACTCGTTCTGTGATGGATCCTATTTGAAGAATGCAGTAATGACCCGATTTTGTCAGCCAAATCTTTTCTAATGTTCTACGAAACCCATGTGCATTTTTTAGTAGTTTTATTGCGCCAAAGTATACCTTAAACATCCATCTTGAATTGGACATGAATGAGGAAGATTTTGAATTACAGTTCAAGGATAAAAATCTGATGGCTGACAAAATCGGGTCATTATTGTAATTAATTTCTGAATATATACTCAAATTTATGCAATAAGATTACAGTAAACTGTCAGCTGTCAACTACTGACAAAAATATTGTTAACCCACGCAAGATCAACACTATTTAATTATTGATTCAATAATATTATACGATTATATCAACAATACATATTGTAGCATCAACAAAACGCTAGTTAATCCTACAATTTAATTAACACAAACTACATAACACATTTTTAAATGAAAAATTAAATATTTTTGGCCATGAGACAGCAATATTTTTACTGGTATTCTATTGGTCAGCCGTATTTAAATTCATATACAAAGCTTAAATCAGGTCATGCAAACTTAATATTTTTCTCGTTAATCCTAAAATCCTCGTGTATGCACTGTTTGCCATAAATAATGATTGTACTAACTACAACACTTTCTCAAATATTCCATTTCCAGATATCAATATCAACATCGAAGGGAAGGACTGCTGCCACATACTCCGGAAACTCTTACGTTATCGCCGAACAAAATCAAGGTGCATCATCCAAAATGTCCTAAACTCAACACTCTTGTCACCAGTGGTGTTCATAAAAACAATCAAGATGCTATTGCGTCATGTGCCATCATCCCAAGACTACCTAAGAACACGACAAGCACAGTTGGAACCGACAAACAAATGTCTTCACCCGATGTTTCCGAGATGGTTTCTGTGGAGAACATAAAAAATAATGCTCTAAATAATTGCACAAATTACGCCAATATGGATGACAAGCAGAAAATTGTACTATTGAAGATTCCCAATAGCGAGAACGTAAGTACAGGATAGAGTTTGATGAGTATTTATTTGAATATTTTACTTTTCAGAATCAGTCCTCTTCAAATTCCTTGAGCCCAACGTCCTCAGGTAGAAGAAGATCATCTGTTATGTTTAATGAATATGTTATACATCATACGCCTCCAACTATTCCAGCACCAACAACAGATAAAAATGTGTATTGTTTAGAAAAAATGACCCAAACAAGTGATAGTGGAATTTGGCAGGTAACAACAGTAACAGTAAAATCCCAGCTATGGAAATGTATCTAATTTTGTGGAAAAAAAATAACGTTGCAGGTCAGCCTTCCGCAATCCATTCACACCATGGCAACCGTTTTCAACGATTACTCAGATCTATGCATGACGGACGCCATGACATGCCAGGAGTTGCTGGCGTTCTCTGTAGCATTCTCAGCGGCATTACCCACCGGCCAAACGACGCTGGAATCATTCTATTCGACGCTTACGAGAAATCGAACAAACCATAGCAATAACAAAAACTCGTCAATTTTAAACACACGTGGATATAGCACCGAGAATGTCACACACAAATCTTCACCAAATGCTGCTAAAAATTTGTCACAAAATGTCTCCAACATAAATCACATCAACAATGAAGAATTCTCTTGTTGCTATGAATTATATCAAAACATTGGAATAGAGGAGCCTAGGAAAAAACATTCAAAACCATATCAATGTGTGGTAGGGATGTACAAGATAGTCAAAAACTCTCTACACTGTAGTAGAATGTTTATCAAAAAGATAGTGGAGCACAAATATTTTCAGCAAGGTATACTATTAGCAATTTTAATCAATACCCTCTCGATGGGAATAGAATACCACAATCAGCCGGAGGAATTGACTGCAATCGTCGAGACAAGTAATATAGTGTTTTCGGGAATATTTGCTGTCGAAATGGTGCTGAAAGTGATTGCTGAAGGACCATTTGGATATGTTGCAAATGGATTCAACGTGTTTGACGGAGTCATCGTCATATTGAGGTACATGAGATGGAAAATATTACATTATAGTAAATTTGAACAAAGTAATAACACCCTTTTCCCAACAGTGTTATTGAACTTGGTCAGGCGTACTTAGGCGAAGGGCAAGGAAATTCCGGATTGAGTGTACTGAGGACATTCCGTTTGTTGCGTATACTAAAACTGGTACGCTTTATGCCGAACCTACGGCGCCAACTGTTTGTGATGCTGCGAACAATGGACAATGTTGCCATATTTTTCTCATTGCTGATATTATTTATTTTTATATTCAGGTAAGATTATAGATATATTTTCTCTGAATGAACCTTTAAACAGATAAAATTCCGTACTAAAACAAAACCAGTTAAATCGGTTCCAAATGTGTCGAAGAACACTATTCAGATTTGGTTACACACAAAAATAAAAAAAAAAAGAACTGAGAACTTAATGATTGCTGTCAAACAGGTGTCAGGTTCAATTTCGATTGAAATCTAAACACATCCAGAATACAAAATTCAAACACTTTTGTGCATTCCCATATAACAATGCAATTGATAACCGACCGAAAAAAAACATTTTTATTCCATGAGTGTCTGTTTAAAATGACAACGAATTTTTCAAACACTACATTTCTATCAATATTTCCTAAGTATCCTTGGAATGAACCTATTTGGCTGCAAATTCTGCGAACAAAATGAGGCGGCCGGTGGTGAAGTCGAGTGTGATAGGAAAAATTTTGACAGCTTATTATGGGCCTTGGTGACAGTTTTTCAGGTATAGCAATGAGATTTCCAATTTTATCCAGATATGTTTCGCTTCCATTGTACATGCTCATGTATTATATAACAATTCTTATTGAAATGCACCAGTTCAATTAAACAATTCCATGGTTGAAGAGTTCTGTTACATTCCAATCATTTACAGTATGCTCACTCCTTATTTCGATGCATTATGTTATGTTGTCTTCCCAATTCAAAATTGTAGCTATGAAATATTTAACAAATTCAATTCATTACCTTGCATAGAAAAGTTGCGTTTTTATACAATGTGTGACGTTTGGAATCACATATCCATATTCCTTGTGTTTTGTGATGGATTAATCTTTAGTTTTAAGTGCTTGTTTTTCCTTATAATTATTTATTCCTAATCATTTACGGTTGTTTGTAATATTCATCATATGGGAAATGCTTCGTTACTGTCTCGTTTTTTAATGTTTATCTGACTAAAATGAATGGGAGCGCATACGTTTGATATATTATTGCGAAATTGGCTTCTCAAAATTAAACTTTATTTACTGTTTACTAATCTCTATGAATTTGCGATACAATTCTTATAAATTAAGATTATTTCAAAGTGAAATATATTGTAAAGGTAAGTTATCGATACAGCCGTTAATCATTCAATTCTAAACAATTCTCAAATCACATACTTTCTACAAATTTATCCATTGAATCACGGTGATGATGGATTTTTTATCTGCTTAAACAGTCTTCACAAAACAGCCAACATTGATACTATCAGCTGAACAAGCAAATTTTATTATTTTATGCATGTGTGTGAAATAGAATTCACCTTGTCAGCAAAAAAAAACGATCAACTGTTAGACCAAATTTCTGAACAGAAGAATGGTTCAGTCTAAAAATAAGCATTCACTATGTGACACTTACTGATAGCTTTATCAGTAAAGAAAGCTTTCGATTCCCGGTGCGATCTTAGAATTGTTCGGGATTTAAATGTTTTAGACATAAATTCTATGCTATAGAATTAGTGTGCATTTGACACAATATACGAATGCATAAATGGTGCTGACTTAAAAAGCGGTGAAAGTGTTCAATGAACAATAAGTTGAGGGCATTCGTAAAGATCCAGTTGGAACGTTATAGCCAAGAAAAAAAATAAGAACAATCAATTGACTTGATCAGAATAAATAAAGGATGAAGCGGTTAAGTAAGTCAATTTCAACATCTAATCTATTTCATAGGTTTTAATTGTATATATGTTGATTCAACTACTCATCTGACTTTTCGATTCTTTATGCAAGTTTTGAGCTGTAATAAAATACTTACAGGATATTTAAAATAACAGAAAACTATTTTAACATTTAAAGCTAAGCGACGGTTCGCAGAAGCTTCTATTTGTCATCGATGCAACTAATAGTATGAGACTGATTTGAAAAAATAAATCAAAAAGCTGGCTCATTTTTGTATCATATATTTAGAAACTACATCGCTCAATATGTTTGTATTAACACATTTTACCTCAGTCATGAAAACTAACATTGTATTTATATTACATGGTACACGCAAAACAATGGTTTATCCATGCATCTCTTCATTTAAATAAAAATCATGAATTAATTTAATTCGCTTTTTCGGTGCATAGATTTAACTCTTATTAATATGTTTAAACACATGTATGATACTTTGCTAATGTGTATGTATGTCATACATAATATCATTCAATGAACTTTATTACACTTTAAGGTTCATGCTACTTATTACCTCAAACTTAAACCAACTTTCTAGAATCAAGAAAGATTGCAATCTTTTATCATGATTTTATTACAAGAATTCTATGCAGTATAGGGGGCCTCCCTTAGCTCAGTCGGTAAAGGCGCAGCTATAAAGCAAGACCATGCTGGAGGTGGCTGGGTTCGATTCCCGATCCGGTCTAGGAATTTTTCGGGTTGGAAAATTTCTCGACTTCCCTGGGCATAGAAGTATGATTGGACTTGCTGCAAAAATGGTACAGGCATCGAAAGCTCTCAATTAATAAATGTGGAAGTGCATCTAGTTGAGACCACGCATTATTATTTGGCTCGATTATCGTATGTCATTTTATGTCATGATAGAGATATTTTAGATTTCCTGGTGACATGCAATGCATACTGCATAGAAGAAACGTGACGAAAGGGTGACGGGTTTTCTTGCAATATAGTCACTTTAACACATTAGAGATGAACTACACACTTAGAAAAATTTATGTAAATTTAGGTGCTCTGAGACTGACATATACGAGCGTCAATTTTGACATACAATTTAGGCATAATAAAGGGTGTCCACGATGAAATTGCCACACACAAAATTGATTCGCAAAATTCGAGTTTTCATCCGATTGCCATCAAATTTTCAGGGATTGAGAAATAACTATTAAACTTCATTTTACCATTTTACTCGTATTTTATTTACAGTCCATACGCAAATGCCCGCACCTTGGCCTTAACCCCGGCCATAAGATTCTGCACAACCTGTGAATCAACCGTTTTTTGCATGTAAACCCATACTTTCTTCAGTTCCTCGACTGTCTTCACTACCTTAGGTCGTTTAAGAAGGTGCTGCTTCATAATCGCCCAGTACTTCTCGATGGGGCGGAGCTCCGGAGTGTTGAGAGGGTTGAACATTTTCGGCACAAAATTGACCTTATTGTCCGCATACCACTTCAGCACGTCCTTGGAGTAGTGGCATGAGGCCAAATCCGGCCAGAAGATTGTTAGGACGTTGTGGGCCTTCAGGAGAGGAAGCAGCCGCTTCTGGAGGCACTCTTTTATGTAAACCTGTCCGTTCATCGTGTCCTGGGTCACGAAAGGTGCACTCCGCTTCCCGCACGTGCAGATGGCTTGCCAAACCAGGAATTTCTTCGCAAATTTGGACATCTTCTGAGTGCGGACATGCTCCGGAACGCTGAACTTATCCTTGGCCGTGAAAAACAGGTTGCCGGGGATCTGTTTGAAGTCGGCCTTCACATATGTTTCGTCGTCCATGATGCAGCATTCAACTTTCGTCAGCATGTTGAGGTACAACTTCCTGGCACGGGTTTTGGCGGACTTGTTCTGCTTCTCGTCGCGATTAGGGGCCTTTTGTACCTTGAACGTTCGAAGCCCAGCCTTAGTTTTGGCCTTCTGGACAAAACTTCGGCTTAGGTGCAGCTTCTTAGCCACATCCCTAACGGAGGCGTTCGGATTTCGGTTGAAGGCCCCAACTACGCGGTTGTGATTTTTGGTGTTGTACGGAATACTTTTTCCTTCACTTCTGGGCTTCCGATCGGTGGTCAACCGTTCCTCGAACAGCTTAATCACTCGCGACACCGTGGAATTCGCGATTCCCAACGTTTTAGCGATGGAACGATGCGAGAGATCCTTGTTCTCGTGATGAATGCGCAAGATTTTATCACGCACGAGCTGTTCTTTCGACTCCATTTCCGCGAGTTTAGATCACAGTACTTTAAAACTTGCAGGATGTAAATAATGCACTATGAACTAAATCCACCCAAATTTTCATTAAATTCTACCCAACGGTTAAAAAGTTAGAGCAATTTCATAGTGTGGCAATTTCATCGTGGACACCCTTTAGACGTGAAATTCAGCTCAATCAAACGTACTTTCGAAGTTTTCAATCTCGCAGCACTGAATTTTACATGACATGTTTGTTTACGTCTCACCCTTTATGTCAAAGATGGATTCCGTCACGTGTAAGATTAGGTATTCCGAAGTGTGTAGCATCAGGCTACTTTAATCATTATTGTTAATTTTGTATTATTCCCCACAATCACATTAGTAGAAGCAAAAGGTTATTAGTAGGTGATGTTTTCGAAAAGCAAGATTTTTAGATTTTCGATTTTAGCACACACACATAAGATTTGACCATACCACGACTTGCGTTCCTAGCACATAAATCTACAAAGCTATTGCAATTAAAACTGAATTCACATAATGATAATGGTCGGTCGTTGATTGAAAATTTATTGAAGAAGGTCACACATTTATTGGATTTTTCCCTCGGAGCGTGTTTGATTAAATAGGAAATTCTAGTAAATCTACTGACATTAAAAACCACTGCCATAAAAACAATCCATAAAAAAACATTATCTTACTTACTACAACATAGAAACTTTTACACAATACAATCAGCATTATATTCCAAAATAATTTATAGCATACTTGGCATGTACTTGTTCGGAGGTAAGTTTTGTAAATTTGTCGATGAAACTGGACAAGAGAGGGAATGCACTTGTCCCGAAATAGTCTCCAAGCATCCTCTGTGTGAATGTGACCGCAAACATTTCAACAACATTCTATGGGCCACGGTTACAGTGTTTCAAGTAAGTACCAAAAGACAAGCTCATCTCATATCTGCGGCAACAATGTTTAGATGTAGTAAGTCATCGTTGTTTTATCATTCTAACCGATTCGATGTCACCAAAATGCTACAAACTTGAGTAATACTGCTTTTGCATGAAATTCACTATATGCGTATTTCAAACTTGAAACAGTAGTCAAGATATTGTGACGATTGGAGCAAGCATTAAGCTTGATAATATTAAGTTTAATGTATTGATAATATAAACAAAATCTAGCAATTATGTGATTAAATAATATTGGTCATTATTAATTCCAATATAAATTTGATACAAACTCATGAAAACTACAGTTAAAGAATTCTTATGTTTTCTAAATATTATCACCGTATGTTGGTTAAAAGGCCTCTCCCGTCTGCCTAGCCATTATAGGAACAGTGGTGAAGCATACCATGCTCAAAGCGATGGGAAAGAACAGACAATATTTTGAGTTTTAACCCACTAATCCCATACAGGAATTGAAACAAATGTGTATTAAATGATGAACATATAACAAAGTAAGCGAATGATCAACAAGGTTATAAACTTGAATGATACCTGATAAATCACTGATGGAATCAAACTTGAAACAACTTGAACGGAAAATAGTAAAATCAGCAATCATTTTTCGAAGAAAAATCGAACTATATGTATGTGTTAAGTAAACAACCTTTCATCCAACTAGAGATTTCCTAGTTCACATACAGTAGCTCTGAACCTTCGTAATTGCAATCTTAATCAGAAAACCTTGAAAATAAATGCGACTGCCATTCATTTTTACATGCCTCTAGTAGTTGTATCTGATTGTGTTTTTCGTATTTCTGTACAATAACTTTATTAAGAAGAAAAAAACAATTTCCCATTATGGGCGCTTTATTAGTGTAGAAAACCGTTGGATGATCTTTTGCTGGTATGCATAGTTTGGCCAAACCTAGCATCGTTTTATGATGCAAGAAGGACGATAGCGCTTATCGATACCTCTAGTACTCCAGGTTCCAACCCCCATCTGTTCCTCAACTGCATCCATTTGAAACTTTCTGCTCAAAATCTAACACAATATTATTGCGACAATAAACGTGAAAAATTGATTCAAAACCTAGCTTGAAAAAAAAAGCTTGAACTATTTTTTTTCTAGTTAAACAAAAGCCATTGTTTGCTAATGAAAATAATCATTTGGTTTATTTAGCGTAGTTTTTTTTTCAAGCTCGTATCGATTAATGTAAACTTTTTTAATGCAAACTTTAAACATTGACTTAATACACTTTTCAATACCTTGGTACCACGTACTCTAGTATTCCCTTTTTCCCCATACTTACTTATATGTAAATATCCAAATGCAAATGTCAGAAATAGTAACCCTATGCCTCATTTAAAATGGAAAATATGCTTGACTTCCCTGCTATGTTAGTTGATAGAATGAAGCTGATAAAATTTGCATTATATTTTAGTCCGAATTCCATCCAAATCATCAAACCCATAGGCAGCTCATGCTGCAACCAAATGAGCCCTGGACCCTTCAAAATTTAATTTTTTTGATTTTGTTTTAACTAGAGGAATTTACGTATTCTTGACAGTCTAAGCAGCGTCCGTGTTTCTATTAGCATTTTCTCAGCGTCACGCACACATTTGGCGTGTTTGTTTGTCTAAACAAGTATAGTCTACACATACACAGTCAGTACTTGAAAGATGTCTGGAAAATGATAAAAGTACGTCGCACATGAGGGAGGGATGTCAATGTATAACATGCCTTATTTTATTAAATATAGACAGTTGAATACATTGTATCCACTGGAAAACAACATAACAAAAATAAATTTTAATATTACATCCAAGAGGATGCACTTTAATCATGTCGAAAATCCCATGTAATGTTTATGGCCACAAAAATAGACAAATGCAGTAAAAGCAGCGTGATGTCAGTTCATGGACTGTACTTTTGATAGTTTTGTCCTTTTTGGCAAGTAATATTACACCATATTATCGAAACGATTGAAGTGCATCCACTTTGATGTGATATTATAATTATGTTTTTGCTGTGTCTTGAACTTGGTCACAAAGCTCGTCAAAAAGCTTCCCGACAGCGGATTTAAAAGGTAATGAAAGTCGACTCCTCATGTGTCCTGTTACGCTGGAATGTGTCATTATATATTCTCACTTGTAACGCGATGTGCCACGAATTGCCACGTTTACTCATTTGATGCTCTTCGAAAAATAGATACCGCAGTCGCGATCGAACCTTTGAAGAATTATTGAAAAAAAAATTATTTTTTATTAAATTTATAAAACTATGGCGTACGCTTGATCCGAACATTGTTAAATGCTTTCGAGGACGCCATTTCATTTGAATAGCTTCTTTTACCCGGGCTTGAACGATCGTAGTTTGTTTTGATGTAAGGGGCATGGTGGCCTTGGAGCGACTGTTTTTGTTTACTGAGCAGAAGATCATGGATTAGAACTCAAGCCCCTTTATATTACTGAGTTGATAGGCTGGAAATGAATTACTTATCCCAAGCCTCATTCTTAGTTCTTTCCGCAAATTTCGTTGCATCTGGTCAATCACGTAGCAGCAATTACGAAATGTATGGCCGTTAAAGCTCATGCTCATGCTCAACACGGATTCTGAAAGCCTAATTCAGCCATTGAAACGGAAAACTCGGAGCGCTCAGCGTAGCTACCTACTCCGATTTACTGTCCTGCCCATGGTAATTTTAATTAGAGCCTAAAGTGTACAATTGTGTAGTTGCTCTTTAAAACCTGTGTAAACTTTTTGAAACAATTTCCAACTTCCATTCTATCTCTAAGGCAGAAGGAAAACAGTATGTTTCAGTACTTATATTGTGCAATACTCTTTGAAATAATATTTTTTAGCATCGTAAGTTTAAGGTTTTATAATTGATTAATTTTTTTTTTGTTTTCAATTCACTATCATTTGCTATTATATGGCAACAACAAATAATACGCTGTTGTTATTAATTACTCAGTATTTCATCTTGTGTTATACTTCGTAAGAATTGTTTGTTCAATGGATTTTAGTTTTACAGTAAACATGGGCTCTGAGCACTTACACTGTTAACTGTTGAATAATCGGTTACAATCAGAGCATTTGTTTACTTTCTCAATTGTTGAATTATGTCCTCCCTTTTTACTCATCCAATAAGCAAAGAAAGAAAACGCTTCAAATACATTAAAGAAGTACTTCTGTACATTCGTAGCACTTCTGTATTGTCTTTCGGTGTGTTTATGCATCTAGTTGGAAACACATTTCTGTAGCTTGAATGTTTTTTTGGCGTAGTTTGTACAGGTCGAACGTGCATCGTATAATACGCATAATACGCATGAAGTAGATCTCGTAATAACTTGAATCATTGTATGTTTTTGAATGAAATATCACAACACCTTATTACGTTGCACAAACCTTAAATATGTTTCAACTATGCAGATCCTTACGCAAGAAGATTGGAACGTGGTCCTATTCAATGGAATGGAGAAGACTAGTCATTGGGCTGCTCTATACTTCGTAACACTAATGACTTTTGGGAATTATGTATTGTTCAATTTGTTGGTTGCTATTTTAGTTGAAGGCTTTAGCTCAGAGGTAAATTCGAAAATTATCACATAGTAAAATGAGGCACAAATTCTTAATGAACCATTCCTATTTCATACAACAAAAACTAGCGCAACGAGCGAAGAGAACGTGAACAAAGAGAACTCGTGAAAGCAAAACTAAACGCTGAGTCTTTGGCGGCGCAAGAGCAAGGAAGCGATATCTACGATGATCCTAAGAGTTTCTCAGAATCTACAACAAGCGACAGCTATAACGAATCCAAAGGAAAATGGTTTAGTGCTGAGGAGCTACGAAAGGTTAGATTTTGCTTTGTACAATCAATCGCTATTTGCATTAAAGAAACATTAGGAAGCATCCATTAAGTACGTCACACTCTAAGGGGGTATTTAGGTATTTAGGTATTAGAGTGGTTCAAAATATCGATTTTGCTCCACCAAGCTCAATCGGTTTCAAATCAAGCCCTGATAATTCTCCAAAAAATTGAGCTCATATGGATGTGACCTCATACTGCACTGACCCTTTGAAATATATTTTCCCAGCTACAACTTTACTGAAGTCCGCATTTTAAATGAACGTCAGGATATTTACCGATTAGTTTATTACGAAGATGATGTTCTTTTGACATTCTTCGTCAACTGCTCAGCAGGCAACATTGCGCGAAGAATAGGGCACAAAATCCAGGCTACTTTGTCATAATTACACAATATACAGTGTTGCCCTCAAAGCAGTCGGGTAATCATATCAGAATGTTATCGGCTACGAAATCTATTAATAACTAAATACATATCTTGAAGTTTTATCAAAAATTGTGCTGACCAAAGTTGTAGCTGATAAAATTTCACATAAGAGCAGATAGCAAGAGCGGCGCCGGTAATGTAGTGGTGATTGCCTCTCACCAAGGGATGGAAAATCATTTGCATTCATTTCGTGCATTCATTTACATTCATTTGCCTCTAAATTTTTTGTTCAACGCCATTCCGCAAAATGATGTATTAGCTACAACTTTTGTTAACAAGTAAAATCCGTATCTCTTATGCATAACGAACCAGAGCGATTAGAAGCCACTGCTGTTTTTCAGTGAATGTATTTTACATTCACTGAAAAACAGTAACAAGTTCTGCGCGCTCTAGTTCGTGATGCATAAGAGATACAGATTTGAGTTATGAGCAAAAATTGTAGTTAATAACAAAACCTACAAAAGCTCTATACATCATTTTGCGGAATGCTGTTGATGAAAAAAAAGTTAGAGGCAAATGAATGTAAATGAATGTATGAAATGAATGCAAATGATTTTCCATGCCTGCTTTCACCCCAAAAGGCCTGGATTCAATCCTAGTCGGCGCCGCCGTGATTTTCTGAGGCATAAAATCTATGCTCACGTCTTTCTTCGGAAGGGAAGTAAAGCCGTTGGTCCCCAGTTCATGAGTTGATGGGCCTGTCAAAACCAAGTAAACTTATATTGGGTTCCTGGCCACTGTGGAATTGAAGGGAATGAAAAAGCCGATACGTTAGCCAGGCTAGGATCATCTCAGCAACTCATAGGATCAGAACCATTCTGTGGAGTTTCTACTTGTTCTCTTAAAATGGAGATCAAGAAATGGAAAAAAAAATGAAAGTGGAGACCAATTGGAACAACACTTCCATTGCGCTAGGCAGTCGAAACGGTTCATAATTCCGAACATTTCAATGACTAGCAAAATTCTTGAATTATGAAAGAAAGATCTCAGTGTCTATACTGGTTTGATAACAGGACATTGTCCATGTAAATATCATTTGAAGCTAATAGGAAAACTTCAAGAGGATATGTGTCGATTTTGTGGTATAGAAAAGGAAGACTCTGAACACCTGCTATGCTCTTGTGCAGCAATCTTCAATAAAAGGCGTATTTTTCTGGATAAGGGGCTGGCAGAACCCTTTGATATTTGAAATGCAGGTCCCAGTAAAGTAGTACATTTCATTCGAAATGTAATACCTGGCTGGGAAAATGCTTTTGGTCAGTCTATGTCGGTCGCTTCACAAAATAGTGATACGACATAACTGATAAAGCAATATAAAAACGGGGAATATCACAATAGATCAAAGTAATGGTCGCAGTGATGAATACACCCAACACGGAAAAAAACCCGTAAATTATTATTGCGAAGTTCACGTTTCCTACAGTAGGTAATTCCCAAATAAATATCCAAGGGACAGTGCAGTATCAGTTCGCATCCAAATAAACTCAAATGTTGACAGAATGATCAGGACCTGATTTAGAATCGATTGTTTTGAACGCCCTATTACATGTGACCAAAGCGGGAGAGGGGTTGATTATCCCTAAATTTCGCGTGACGTACTTAATGCATGCTCTCATATATAGCTGATTTTGCCGCCGTTCATTTCTTAACTATATTCAATTCTAGATAAGGGATATAAAATGTAATATTCAAAAACAGAGGCTTCTGCAACCTGGATATGATGATATCAATTTATCGATCCCAAAACTAAATTCCGAGAAGGACGCCATAAACTCCATCGATCAATATTCCAGCAGAAAGGTATATTCCGTACAGCATAAAATGTAGTCATTTTACTTACATATACATATTTAGCAGAAAAAGTGTGAGCCCTTAAAGCTATACAACATTCATGTTACGGATCCGCCAATCATTACAACTACTTCCGCGACACCACAAGACTCACCAAGTGCAACGCTCGAGGAAGGAGCAAATTTCAAAGATTGGGAAAATATTGACTTTGAACAGCTTGAAAAAAGTACAAACTCAACGCTTCTTAAGCCTCCGCCAGTGCTTGGATCACTGAAAGCATTAGACGATCGTTCCTATTTCGAGGGAATGCCAGTGCTGAATGAAATGCGGAGGAAATCGGAAAAGTATACAAGTTCTTATGGTGAATTCAAATCATCCCAGAGTGACAAACAACAACAGCATTCGCAATCTGTGGTACGGAAGTCTGAAACCACGCGGAAGTCTAGTCTAAAATATCGTAAAGAAGTTTCAAAAGAGGATGAAGTGCTCAACAATGGTAAATGTGTACCACGTGTTGGAGGTATGTTACACAAAGCTCGGGTTTCACATTTTATTTAAATTTGCAGTACCAAAGATTTACGTCATATATATTTATATATATATATCACTATAAGTATAGTGATAAGGTTAAAAACAGCTTACAGGTCATCCCGCACCAAGTGACCGAGCAAAACTGCAAAAGTGAAATTGACCCTTTCGATTTTTACGAAATGTGGAGGAGATACTTTTATCAAACCAACTTTTAAAAATCCAATTTTTTGTGCTCATTGGAACACCCCTCGGTCTAAGGAAGCATATTCTTTTCGGGATTTTCAAGAAAGCACTACTTTTTTTTGTTAATGTCACCGGAGCGAATAAAGCTACAAATAACATTAAGTACTGTTTGTGCAACGTCATCTACATGTACAACTACCCTACCCACTGTAGCTACTATACAAGCAAATACAAATAAACAATAGACCAGTAGTTCGTATGCCTCCGCCATGGCAGGACGGCCAAGCACATCGGTGTGTCTTATTTCATTTATTCGTCTCCGTACTTATCCGTATTAAAACACAACGTAGGGATCCCACCCGTGCGCGATCAAGTACTGTTTTCATAAGAAAATTAGACAGTAAATTTAAATCTGTATTTTTATGATACAGAGTTGTTAAATTTATTTAATTCTCGTTTGAAAATGTTAAACACAATTTTCTCAATTTTCAATATATTTTTGTGGATTTATCATGCAGCATTGCTAGTTCAGACATTAAACAGTGCATTTTACACCACCTTATTTTAATTTTTAAATTGATGGCAATCGTGTTCGTAATACTGTTATAATAAACACAGAAACGACAAAAATAACTAATACGACAAATATAACTAATTTGAAGAAAACAAAAGTCAAAATAACAAGAAAGTCAGGGCGAAACTTTTTTTTATTTAGACCACCGATTTCAACGGAAAATTACAATATCCAAAGATCTGCAGGCACTGAACAAGCACCGGAACAATAGTTGATATCGCATAAAAAGACTATCGCGTGGTCCGCACCGATAAACACAGTTGCTGCTGTCGACAGCCAAGAACACACTGAAAGTTGACAAGCATTTTGCACCAAACTAGACTCCTGTTATGAAAATAATCTCTCAGAACTTTTTTCGCTCAGGCCACACAAAAAACAAATTTCAAAGTTAAATTAACGCTGATATGTCGATATGATATTCTATTGTAAAATGTAGTGCTTCATTACATTCTAAAAGTTTTATAATTAATGTTAATGTCTGAGCGAAACAAAGTCTGAGGATGTTATGTTCACCACAGGAGTCTACTTTGGTGCAAAATGCTAAATACATATACGGCAATGCACAATGTGTCCTAAAGTCATATTTAGGAAGACAAAAATGTTTGCGCTTAAAACGTTAGTTTTATGTGAATGGTATAGATTTTGCTCCACTCCTCAAAATTTGAGCTCATTTGGATGCAAACTCATTCTGCTCTTCGCCATTATGACATACGGAAAATTTGGCAAACTCTTCTTATGTTAAATTTCCATAGCTACAACTTAATCGATTACACATTTAATAAAAAAAAATCCTTCTAGGATCAACTCTATTTGAGGCACGCAAAATTGACCCATTGTCACAGAAAAGCATCAGGATACAAAATGATACTCAAAAGGATAGATGTCATTCTTCGAGAAGGAGTTCCGTTAGGAGATCTTCGTCCGTCAAGATCGACAGTGGTCCAGGAAGTATTGCAAGCAATATAAGCGCTCCCTCTTATTCGAAGTACGTGTACAATGATAAGAATAAATACTACATCGACAGAAAAAGTTCATTGCGGTTGAGCGATATCAAGTCACCGAACAATGCACGCCGCATGTCGTCAATAGAACACCCGTACCACAAGCATTCTAGAATAAGTATACACAACTTGGAATTGATGAAAATCCAGGAAGAGCTTACAAAAAATAAGCTCAATAACGAGTCGGTCCCCTCAGAGCAGGATATGCTACCGGATTCACTAAATACAAAAATGAAGACAAAATCTAAAGGTCGCCTAAAACAATTCTTTCGCTACGTTACTCCGAAGAACTTTGTTGATGACCATGATCTGTATACACTATACATATTCCCGGAAGATAATCGGTATGTTTCAGTGCAGTGCATTGTAAAAAAAATAACTTTTGTGTATATCCTAACATTTAAAAACTTCATTCAGATTTCGTCAAATGTGCAGCTGGTTCGTGAATCAGAAATGGTTCGACAATGTAATATTGCTGTTTATTGCATTAAATTGCATTACTTTGGCCATGGAGAGGCCAAACATCCCACCATCATGTTCCGAAAGGTATTTCCTGTCGACAGCGAACTACGTGTTCACAGTTGTATTTGCAGTTGAAATGTTCATCAAGGTGCGCTTGCTTGTTTGAAGGATAAGGATCACAATATATACGAAATGTTTTATCTAATCGTAGGTTGTCGCCACGGGAATGTTCTATGGCCCAGATGCGTATTTTACTTCTGGCTGGAATATAATGGATGGCTCTCTTGTTACAATATCCATAATCGATCTACTGATGTCCTTGATTAGTGAATCAAGCCCAAGAATTTTTGGTATTCTCCGGGTAATTGTCATAGCTTGCTTTAATCATTGCAATAATCACTATTTCCCTGTTTCCATAACCAGGTGTTTAGATTGTTACGATCGCTGAGACCCCTGAGAGTCATCAACAGAGCTCCTGGATTGAAATTGGTTGTTCAAACGCTACTGTCATCTTTAAGGCCAATCGGAAACATAGTACTGATATGCTGCACTTTTTTCATAATCTTTGGTATTCTTGGAGTGCAGGTAACAAATCATTTACTACTTACACTAACTACGGACGCCGAAGTACTTATTTCACTTCTTAGTTGTTCAAGGGAACTTTCTTCTACTGTGAAGGAGAAAATATTAAAGGAGTCAAGAACAAAACGGAATGCTTATCGATTGAAGGAAACGTTTGGCTTAATAGAAAGTACAATTTTGATGACCTAGGCAAGGCTCTTATGTCTCTTTTTGTGCTATCGTCAAGGGATGGCTGGGTCAACATCATGTACACGGGACTTGACGCTGTGGGGGTAGATCAACAGGTGATGCCTTTTTTTCCTATATCAGTTTTGGATTTGGAGGTTTAATTTTTTATAATCATATTTTATTTTCAGCCGGTCGTGAATTACAACGAGTGGCGATTACTTTACTTTATAGCATTTATACTATTGGTAGGATTCTTTGTCCTAAACATGTTTGTTGGAGTCGTAGTCGAAAATTTTCACAGATGCCGTGAAGAACAGGAAAAGGAAGAAAAAATAATCAGAGCGGCCAAACGTGCGCTGCAGATGGAAAAGAAAAGACGAAGTAAGTAAACCAACAAACATTTTAAGCTGCAGCACAGCTTGTAGAACTCCTACTACAGTACTCTTCAGTCTTAAAAAAGATGCATAACAAATGTGCTGCACCCAGGAAAAGGAAAAATTCGATCAGTAGATTTGAATAAAAAATATATACAGAATTTTTCAATGTTGAACAGATTCTGTAATGTGGCCGTCGCTTTTCAAATAATTTTGAAAATTTCATGCAATCTAACTCTAACTATTTGACTACGGGCCTCAGATATTCTAGTCAGTAAAGATACGGTATTACCAAACCGGGTTCAATTCCCGGTCCGGTCGAGGATATGTCCACGGGCATAGGGTATACTATACTTGTGTTGAAACACCATCCAAAGGCGCGTCCCTTTGTCAGTCAAAATTGGATTCCTTAGCAACAAAATTAAGGAATGATACCGATAATGACCATGCATCAGAACCCTAGTCTTAATCACTTCAAACTAGGGAACAACGAATAGAAGATTAGGAATCACATAGATGAAGACTAACTAACTCGTGTTTTCCTTGCTTCAAGATCATCCTCGGTGGACAAAGCCGAGTCACTATCAACAAGGCATAAAAAGTAACAAGGACTAAGATGTGTTCCTTGGATTACTGAAAAATCCTGCTCCCCTAGTTTAAAGTAGTCAGGACTAGGAATCGGTGGTTAATCTTACATCCCGTAACGTACCACGAAAAGGTGATCTACCCACGTTACGGGGCGACCACCATTTCGTCACCGTCGATCTGAACTCGGGGTGGGAGGCTAACATTGTCTTCCCTAGAACCTCTACCTCTCATGTATTTCGGCTTTGATGCGTTGATGGCAAATCCAATCGGCCTGGCTTCAGTCTGATGTACGTTTTTGCCATGGTCTCAAAGTTCCGTGCCATGATGTCGATGTCATCGGCGAAGCCAAGAAGCTGGATGGACTTCCTGAAGATCGTGCCACTCGCGTCTATCGTGAACATCGCATGCACATTTTGTAGTTATTTGAAGATAAAATACTTGCCATCGAGTGTTAAGAATGATCCCAATTAGACTGAAACGACTGAAGAGCCAATATATTGTGCAGCACGACTTTGGCATATAGTTCCCATAGTTCCATTAAATATGTGATAGATTTTTTGAGTGTACACAATTTCAGGCCCCGTGATCGAGCAGTTATCTGCGTCGTTAGGCATATTACGGGTGTGCCACAGAATGATGGTCCGATTCGAAACATATTCAATTTCCATTTCAAAGTTGGGATTGGATAGATTGTTGTTGTTGTTGTTTCTTTACTAAGGAGAATTTCACCCAAGGATAGGGAGATTTGATAGATAAACTGTATGTAGTATAAAACAAAAGAGAGATTCATAATTTGCATTTAATTTATTATTTATTTGGTTTGTTGCGATAATTTCTTCAGTCCAATATTAGTACAAGGCATTGAAGAAGTATGCACATTGTAGACAAAATACGCGTATCTGTCAAGGATATTTCATTTTTTTTCTCTGAGACATTACTTTAGATAGGAAACAAAGATGAACTAGCCAAAGGCTGAAAATCTCCTTAAAGAATAAAGGAGAATTAAAAAAATAGATTGAAAAAAGCTCTCGTCGTTTTGTGCAATCTGAAGTGATGCCTAAGAGAAAAACATTTTTGATTTTTTTATTTACTCACAAGGTCACTTTTATGTACGTCCAAGCAAAGGGCAAGTTAGGCGGACTGTGGAACCGAAATAAAAGGTCACTGTTTTTGTTGTGCTTCTAGAGTAAACTGAGCTCAGCTCTATGTATTCAATGTGTTTCTATGCAGCTGGCCGTGCTGCCAGTTTAAGGTTTATAATCATAGTTTCGTCAATTGACGTTTCGTATCTCGTGAAATGTGCACGTATACAACAATTCTTCCCCTTTCGAAAGTTAACAAATTCTATATTAAAAAATTGACCATTGTCAAACATTCAATTTATACAATTCCTTAGTCGTAGTAATAATCTTCTAGCTTTTTTTCTTTTCTAGCCCTCTTTGACCTTCTTGGTTCCTCCTCCATTGTCCCCAGCTGCTTCCTTTTTCTTCCCCCCTTTGGGGCCCTAACCTCGTCGGATCTGTCGTCTCCTGCTCTTCTATCACTAGCTTCCTCTATCGTAGTACTGTCGGGTTCACAGTTCGTGTCCGTTCGTGGTGTATTCACCGTCACTACCAAGTTCGGGAAGTCCCAGACAACCTCCCGGTACGGCCCAAGCTGAGAACGGTGCGCCATCGCGCTTACGCTTCCAATTTGTACCAAACGAATCCAAAATGTCCCCGCTAACCTTCAGCTGACTTCCACGTTCCGAGTATGCCACCAACGGAACGGGTTTGCAGAATTTCCTGCTGCGCACAAGTGGAGCTTTTACACCACTAAAAGCCGTTGCTTCCTCCTTGATTAATTTAGCGGCCAGCCAAGGCGAACCAGCCAATGGCTGAAAGCCTTGTAAATAAAGGAAAAAAAAAAAAAAATTAGCGGCCTCCGTAATTTGTCCTCCGTATAATCACACTCTGTGATATAAACACTAGGGATAAACTAATCGGCTGCCACCCGGAGCAATTTTCGCTGGACGATTTTCCTTCCTGCCGTCGATACCCGGAAAGTTACCAACAAGTTTGACCGTGAGCGCAGTAACCCAAACGGAGGAATAATCCTGGTGTAGGTGGGCACTGTCGCCGTCGCCGTATGACCAGACATGGAAAATCATTTGCATTCATTTCATACATTCATTTACATTCATTTGCCTCTAACTTTTTTCATCAACAGCATTCCGCAAATGAATGCACGAAATGAATGCAAATGATTTTCCATGCCTGCGTATGACAGCTAACTGCTGTTGCACACACACCTCGCACAACAAAGTTTTTTTCCTCCTAAACTTCACTTTCATTTTCGTGACCCCACTATTGCACGCGAATGTTCTTTTTTTTACTATCGTCGTCACTTTTATGTACGTCCAAACGAAGCAAAGTGCAAGCTAGGCGGACTGCAGAACCGAAATAAAAGGTTACCGTTTTTGTTGTACTTCCAGAGTAAACTGAGCTCAGCTCTATGTATTCAATGTGTTTCTATGCAGCTGGCCGTGCTGCCAGTTTAAGGTTTATAATCATAGTTGCGTCAATTGACGTTTCGCATCTCGTGAAATGTGCACGTATACAACAGTCACTTCCACCTTAAGCTAGTGGAATTAAATGGAAATGAGTAATCCTTTTCTCTTTCTCAATATAGGTATTCTACATTCATCATGATTCACAGTAGATTATGCAGCTAGTTTGTTTAAGCATTACATATATTTTATCTGTCTTATCATCACTCAGGAATGCACGAACCACCATATTATACAAATTATTCACCATTGCGATTGTTTGTCCACAACGTAGTAACATCGAAATACTTCGACTTAGCAATAGCAGCCGTCATAGGATTGAACGTAGTAACGATGGCCATGGAATATTACATGATGCCCTTAGCTTTGGAGTACGCATTGAAAATATTCAACTATTTCTTCACAGCAGTGTTCATATTGGAAGCCATCATGAAGCTAGTGGCATTGGGTATCAAAATATACATGAAAGATAAATGGAACCAGTTAGATGTTGCTATCGTTATTCTATCGATCGTGGGTATAGTTTTAGAAGAACTTGAAACTAACATCATTCCTATAAATCCTACCATCATACGAGTCATGCGGGTGCTTAGAATAGCACGTGTTTTGAAATTGCTGAAAATGGCTAAAGGAATCAGAGCGTTGCTGGACACGGTCATGCAGGCATTACCACAGGTAGACATGTGAAAATTATACATTAATTATATTAAATTGTACCACTTGGTTTCATTTTAGGTCGGAAATTTGGGTTTACTATTCTTCCTGTTGTTCTTCATTTTTGCGGCGTTAGGAGTCGAACTGTTTGGCAGATTAGAATGCTCCGAAGAGATACCATGCCAAGGACTGGGCGAGCATGCTCATTTTGCAAACTTCGGAATGGCCTTTTTAACTTTGTTCCGAGTGGCGACTGGCGATAACTGGAATGGAATCATGAAGGACACTCTCCGAGATGACTGTGACGATGCCGCAGACTGTGTGAAAAATTGCTGTGTTAGTACAATAATTGCTCCAATATTTTTCGTTATATTTGTATTGATGGCTCAGTTTGTGTTAGTCAATGTGGTTGTAGCAGTTCTTATGAAACATTTAGAGGAAAGTCACAAACAAATGGAAGATGATTTAGACATTGAAACAGAGCTGGAAAGGGAATTCGAACGTGAACAGGAATTCGAAGAGGAACAAGCATTATGTATGCAACTTGATGATGATCAAAAGCAATTGCAAAAACGGCCTCTCACTAAAGTGTCTTCATTGCCATCAAACTTTACTTATAGCACTCCAATAGCGGAGAAAAAATCAAACATTCATCGACGACAAACTATTCAGTATATCAATCAGAATATAAACATACAACATTCTTATACAAACAGTAATTCGTATGACGAAACTGCAGAAAACGACATCCCAAACGAAGATGATGAATCATTCAATTCTGTGAATGAAAGCTCCAGTGCAAAGAATACGAACAAGAAAATTCATATTAATAAATCCTTTTTCAGCAAGAACAATGCTGACAAGCGGGCATCTTTAGATGAATTTAATAAACCGCACAAGATTGTTGAAGAGCTGGAAAAAGACGACAAAATCAGCTCAACGAAAAGTGCCAACAACTGGAGGGAAAATCAATCAGAACAAGCACTGAAAGAATCTGAAAATAATATTAAACTGTCATGCCCGACAATCATTTCGTCTAGCAAACCGTTAGCTAAAAACAGCAAAACCGACTATCGTCAATTAAGTCTTGACCATGACGCCAAAATGAACATTATGCATGACAATATTGCAATTGTTCCTGGTAGTTCAGCAAACTTTTCAAATACCTCCAATGCCCTTAATACCCTAGGTGGAACGAAATCATTTTTATCCGTACCGAAACTACAACCCAAAAGTCGATCCGGTAGCACGAAGCAATTATTCAAACAGGTAGCCCTGGATGAGGAAAATGAGACCAATGAAAATTCACTACTTTTACCTTCGGCATCCAACGCGACCGCTTCGGGCGATGATCATTCTTATGATCTTCTAACCGTTCAAGGCGATAATTACGATGCAGTGAGGAAATCCGAATCATGCGAGATTCTCCGAATTATATCGGAACGAAGAAAGCTCTAAATGTGATTTGAACAGTTTAAAATTATCCCTGATTTCCGTTTTCCGGAGCTGAGCATTTATTTACGAACTATCGACAATCCACATGAACAATTTTTGAGAGATTTTAGACTCCACTCTCCTTCCCCTAAGTAGATAGCCATCCACAGATAGTAACAGCGTTGTTAGATATACCGATTTATGCCCAAATTGGACAAGTTCCACGCCAAATGACGAATCGGAATAACTCGACCTGTTCCGATTTGCATGAAAGTTTGCATTATTGTTTGTTATGAACAATCATTCACAATTTTGCTAAAATTCGGCCATTTTGGACCTGGTATTTTTTTTCAAAATGTTTTTCAAAATGGCATCTGATATTTTTCAATATATTGTAGCACGCAATCACGCAAACGTCACTTCTGATCAAAATGACGCCTGAGACAAAGTTGTAGAGAAAATAATGTCTTTTTGAGAAAAATGTACACGGTAACTTTTTTGTGTAATTTTCAGTAAAAATTCAAAAATGTTTTAAAAACTCAACTATCTTAAAATGTCCTTGTTCAATTAATTAAACAAAAAAATACAAAAAGATCATGAAAAAAGGAAATTTTTTGAATGGTTAAAACTATAGACGCTTGAAAATTAACAAAAAATCGTAGAACAAGAACTTAAGGTCGAATTTTTGAACTATTTGTTAGTATTTTTATGTGATTTTAACACACGAAACAATATTTGAGTTTAAAATGACTGTTGAGTTTTCTGTGATAAAATAACGTAAAAATGTGTTCTAACAAAAAGTTCTTCTGACGAACAAGGAACTGAGATATTCTATAATGATATATGGTAGATGTACTAGTCATGGCTATACGTTCCTCTTACGATGTATTCCAATTAAGGCCTATGTGAATTCCATAGGAAGTTCCAAATAGGAATGTAATATTGTCAGTATTATAAGCCAACTTTTCCGGCGTCATGCTGTAAAGCAGCTGGAAAAGGCAGCTAGTATAGCTACAGACAGAGGCTAACAACATGATTTTGACATGCGTTTACTGCTTAAAACTTGAAGCTGTAAAACAATAACGTGAGTATATTACTCACTTTATGGTTTTTACACAACTAACAACTCTTGCTGTTAAAACTGCTTCTTCAACTACTAAACAATCTGTTATCAGCTTATAAATTGTATTAAAGCTTCATTGGAAGCATTTCCACAACTAAAAGTGTTGCATATGCACTATTATAAAGCCTTTACTCAGCGATCTCGTTGTAGAAGGATATGTAGATACGTCAGTTCTAAGTATTGGCGTAGCGAAGTTGGTAGTGTCAAGACTTTCCAGAGCGGTCGTCACGAGTTGGAGTACAGGTTCCGGTGCAGATATTAATTTAGTTGTGTGCGATACATTTTATTCCCAATTAAATTATTAAATATTTAACTCAGATTCAAAACAAAGCTGAATAGCGATTATTAGATAATCAGCAAATGTAGAATAAGCGCCTTTTAAGTCCACACACAACTAAACAGCAGAATAACAGCCAGATTGACTTGTATGTTGAGTAAAAATGACTACAGCTCGATTAATTAAATTAGCAAAACGTTTACACTTCGAAAAATGTAAATTGGGGCATAGCCATGACGGGTACATCTACCCATGGAAATTTTCTAAATTTATAAACAATTTAAATTCAACACACAGCATTTCCGAAAGAAAGAAAAGTTACAATGCGCAATAAGCCCACACCAACATAATTTGTGTATTTTCATAGTTTTTTTTTAAGTGCTCATCAATTATAATACGCTCAATATCAATTTATTCAGACTAAGTAGGTACATAGACATCAATGAGGCCTCTGAATTGCCTAATCAACTAAGCCCGGAGTCGGTTCGATTAACCTTTTTTTCAGGATTGAATAAACTTTAATTTAATTAAATTAAAACATTTCTGTCTCTCTTAAACATCCTCTTCAAAACCTAATACCCCGTTCACACAACAGCCTAGATGTCAATTCGCATACATTTTATTGATAGTAGATATACAGATGCTGATATAGGCTATATCACGTAACAAAAGATGTAGTGTAAACGGGGTATTAAACTGTTATATTTAATAGTTAATAGTAAATTAGCAACAAATGGCTTTTTAGCTGGATTATTATCCACAACTGAAGAAAATATACTTAGGCATATTTAAAGGAATCAATGTATTTAGCAAACACCATATGTGAAATGGATTGTTGAATTGGAAGCAGTGAACATTTGAAAAAAGATCAACTGAATTAATAATAGTTTGCTCCTCCATAGAATTTATCTTAGTACATTTATAGAAGGAAATATTCGAAATGGCGGTTACTGGTAGTGAAAGTGGAAATATTTGTATAGTTGTACAGTAGTTTAAATGTAGCTTTCAGTTACAAGTTAGGTCCAACAGTGGGTAGACATTTTGAAGTTGGAAACAAGCATAAGGCCAAAAAGAGCTAAACCAAAGTGTTGACGCCAAATGAGTAGTATACATTGATCAAATTTGTTGTGCCACTAACAAAACGATTCTATTCAATGGGATTCCTGATGTTCTTCATTAGGAACAAAAAAAAACTTTCAAGTGCTATAAAAGAGAATGGATCTCTAGAGGTTGTGTAAATACTATAAAACTGTGTAGTTTATTTAACATGTTTACACCTACATTTATTAAAACTTAAGAAGTATATAAAAAATGACAATCTGCTAGAAGCCTTTCTATGATTATTACTTATTAATTAGGATTTTGAAGAAGAAAAAGCCGACATTGTTAACATCAGTGATACAGGAACAATTACTTATTGACAACAACATGTTATCATGTGTTTCTCTTATCAATTAATGATGTTATATAGGCATTAGAATAATAGAAGTGAAAAGTAAATCTTTGAACGATCAACTAATTCCTAGGATATAGTCCTTGTTTACATTTAGGTTATGTTATTTCGATAGTCAAATAAATTAATTTTATTCAACTATAGATCGTTTATTCAAATCTAAGTGCTTTATTTATTAGGGTGGATAAATATATCCATTTTACTCGACACAGCGCAATCAATTCCAAATCAGCTACTGATTCTGATAACACAGATGAAATTCAATTCATAGCTTATCCTTCCTACCAAATCGTCGGTTGTGAATACGGACAACCCTTTAAACTTTACGGTACGTTGGAAGAACTGGCCTCGAATGAACATCTTTGTAAAACAATTAATTAATTTAGCTTTATTTAGGAGGCTTTCAGCCTTAGGCTGGTTCGCCTCCCTTTGTAAAACATACAAATTCTTGTTTTAACTTTATATAATCAAAGACAACAAATCAAGAAGACTGGCAACTCTTCCATTTTCTCATACGAACGCTATGAGACAGGTACAATCGCGTCATCTGTCGCTCAAAGGTAAATGCTTTGAACGAATTTGATAGCAAAGATTACATCCTCAAAAGGAGGGTTTGTGTATTTGCTCATTTTTTCTATGCGTTGCTACCACCTTCATTCAAGCGCAGCGCTATTGTATCTGTCGCTTGGATTCTGGCAAAGTTGCTAGTCTTCTTGATATGATGTCTTCGCTATAATGCTGCATAGGAACACTATATTGATAGTTTCATGGATGAGTTAGCATGGAAAATATGTTTATTTTCAAAATTATTGGGGGTGGCACTCTTGCCCCACCTGACCCTATATAAATCTTCAAAAAAAATCTGGAGAGGGCCTAGATCATTCTGGAGGGGACCAGGCATTCTAGGCAACCCCTTTAGCTACGCCAATGACTAGCGGCCCCCAATTGTGGAAATCGACATTATGTGGTTATAGGATTGATAGTTAGGTGTTTCGTACTGCTTTTAACAGCACTCACCACCAGAGGGCGAGCCGCTTTCGATCGTATGGGTAAAAAATCGAATTTATAATGTATGGATAGATTCACTATTAATGAAATATATCGACAATGGTGCACTGTGCCCGTTATATTAATCCAGCTTTTTTTAAATTCTTTATTATAGAGATTTTCAACCGAAGACTAGTTCATCTATAAAATGTAAAAGTGTTCTAATCGAAAGAAGTAATATCGACGATTTTCTGAAAATCTCCATACTGCAAAACTGGTTTATCTAGCGGGGCGACATCTATTGGATTTGGTTATGGAAAGTAGCACGACGAGAATTTCAACATTTGATATGGCGGCGCTTATATGAAATCCACATTGGTCTGCGGCGTTAACACGCCCGCATGATATCCGCACATCCATACCAGAACCAACAACTTTGTAAAACAGTTCAAAGCTCTATTTATCATTCTTCGTAAGATATAAAGCATTTTAGGTTGCGCCTTTCACTTATAGACGCCTCGAAGCTACATGTTTAACCAGTTTGTGGTCAAATGTCGCATGATGGAGTTTGTCCTGGTGGCAAAATTGTGCTACAAATGGTCAATGGGTATATATATAACTGGGAAATGTATCGCTTATTATGAAGCTCACTGTGGAAATTATTTATAAATGATTGAAACGCTGATTCCTTGATAATCCTGCTCACAGGTGGATTTATTCTCTTCTAAATTATACATCTTAGTTATCAATCTCGTTCTCTGCTTACTTATTACAAAACACGCTGAATATCTATTGTTTCATTTTAAATAAAACCGGTTGCATTTTTAATTTATTTTAATGATGCCATCATTTAAAAATGATTATCTTCGTAAGAAATCGCATTCATCTACTGCTCAATAGATTATAAGCTAATCCAAAACAATTCCAATTGAGTTTTGAATTATTTGCAACATCTGTGTTACTTCCAGCACATTTCGCACGCTACCAAAAATCGTAGATTGATTTCTTATAAATATTCTGTCTATTCAGTTAATTGGTTTAACTTGCATAAATGAATTACAAAAATAATAAAATTATATATCCACTCGAGGCCGGTATTGCAATCGTAGAGGAGGGTCTTTAAAGCGCCATCTCGTGACGTAGACAAACTTCAGCGTATGATCCTTGCCCAGCAGTTCATCATTGCACAATATGTCGATCTGAAATAGAACAACCGTTAAGCATTAATTTAAAAGCAAACCTTCGTTGCTGCAAATAATTTACTCACATCTTTGTATCTTTCCATACCATTTAGCACCTTCTTTGCTAAGAATTTCTTTAAATGAGTGATGGTGGCTTGAGAACTACAGCGGATGAAGCGTCGTTTCAGATGCCGCAGATTGATGCTAATGCACTCAAGACAAACGTTTACTTGTTCATCCTGACGATGGTAATCGGCTTCCTGATGCGCCTGCTCATTTGCCTTGTCATCACTGTCTTGTTGCTGTTGAGGCATATCCTTCGGGCATTGTAGATTCCGAGATTTATAAAACTCACGCTCTCTCCGCATCTCATCTAAAAGATAATTGAACGAATTCATCACAATGTACGTCGCATGCTTACACGCTTGATGCATATACAGTATGGAAAACAAACTGATCAAAGCTATCGGCGTCAGATGATCCTGTTTATAACGTTGACATTTCCGAACAAGGGTCGTTTTAGAAATGTCTCAAAGAATAACTGTTTCTAGAGAAGAAAGCGACGATACGATCATGAATATCAGACACACACAGTGTAGAGCAGTAAAGAATATTATTCGGAAAATAAACGCATTTAATCAAAATGAGCCATACTATCGAGCGTATGTAAAGCGGTATGTAAAAAGGAATACAAAAAGAAAGCCTAATAGTAAAAAGGATTACGTTTTTAGAGGAACTAAAAACAGTCAGCTCTGGCGGCTTGGAAGAACGATCTCGTTGATAGTGTGTTCAATCCTGCTCTACAACATTATATTTGGATATCCTGCCAGTGGATGCTATCAAGAACCTTCGTGGCTAGCTTGCGCAATTGGAAAAATCTTGCAAATAGAGGATCGCGTATACTTTTGATAAGGAGCGTATGTATGTTTCTGGCAACTTACCTTCCATCAAATTGGGAACCAACTTGTAGACAATATCCTGCATTGTCCGGTCGAAACTGATGTACTGCAGCGGGTGGGATTGATGGATGACATTTTCGCAAGTAGGACAAGTGTTGTTTTCTTCCAAGTGCTTCACCAAACAACTTTTACAAACTAAAATGCAATATGATACCGATTGATTAACATCGATAGATTTCTCGATATTATTAAAGTATTAGGATAAACTATTACATTTATTAAACTAGGTATTCTTTACAATACTTACACGTATGAAGACATTCAGTGACAGTTGTTGCATCTATAAAATAACCACTACAAATTTCACATGTAATGTGTTTGTTGAGTGTTTTTAACTTAATCCGTCGCTCCATTCCGGCAATAGTCTTTTAGTTCACGATATTTTTGACAGTCTGAGCTTCTTTTAGTATAAAAAGATCCCTTAATAATCAACCAAATCTATCCATATTCTTATTATGACTCGTTGACTTTTCCCGAACTCTGGAAGCTTTCTTATAAGTCTTCTTATTTTCCTCCTCTTCTTTCATCCACAACAAAAATGACATGACAATCACATTAAGCCCATGATACACTTTTCGAGGGATAAGTGAACAGCCGTGTTCACGGGAATGAAGAACAACCCATGTCACCCTCGATTTCACCCATATCTGCATAATTTATTATTTATGAATTCCCATCAAGTTTTACGATTACTCGATCATTTATTTAATGGATACTAATACGCGATAAAGTCGAGGGGTTTCTACAAACATTGACTACCGGTCAATGCACAGCAAAAAAAATGTAATATCGATCAACGTAATTCAAGCTGATGTATGAAATAATGATGTAATAGCAAAAAGCAGATACAATATTACCAACAATCAATACGAAACTAACGATTTTAAATTGGCTCACCACTTTAGTAGCCTATTGGTCCCAAGCAAACGATTAACGTACCCTATTCTAGTTGAAATTCTATTACTACACTATGTTTGTTTTGATTCGCTATGAAAGTTTGACAGATAACATCAGGGGTGGTGTGGATTCATGCAGAACATGCAGGGGTGAGTGAAATAGCTTGGGACTGCTTGGAACCGTTGTTCTGGTACTAAGTGAGCCAAAAATAATAATGATTTTCTTCGGGACCCAGTGGTCTTAGAGTTACCTCTATGATATTACATCAATGGATGTAATTTTGTTCGCAAAATCGATGTACATCGTACAATGTGATATTACACAACCGATGGATTGACCTGGTTGCAGCAGTTTCGATGTAATATTCAACAACTTTTTTTGCTGTGTGCCTATGAACAAATTGGTTTTATGGGTCATTATGTAAGAGCGTGTTAGTAAAAATGCGAGGAAAATACATAACACATCGCTGTCAAACTCATTTTGACAGGTTAGCCAGAGGATAATAACAATAATAATAAACAACTTTACACGGCGATGCACCCGCTAGTGTGGGCGCGTTAAACATCACTAATCTCTACAGAATTGTAATAGTAATTTATTATCATAACATAAGCATGTCGGTTACACCATTTCTCAAGTCAAGGAAAACACAACATTTGATTTTTAAACTTGAAGAAAGCAATAAAAAGACACTAGTGAAAGTAGCTTTCTTAATAGGTATGTAGTTCTAAGACTGTGTTCAATTTGGTGAATTTTCACTGAAATATGGCAGATGAAAAATTTTCAAATAAACCTGCAATTGTACCAGACTTATTTCTGACAGACCAGGAATCAATTTTGACAAACACCTTCTCGAAAATCAGATGATCAACAACAGAGAGATTTTCGAACATTATTATTTATTTTCGAAGTGCCAAATGTAAGTGAAAATTCATCAAATGGAACACAGTCTAAGGCTGTGAACCATTTGCCGCGTTAAAATTAACTCGTGGTTAAAAGTGACATTTCGAAAGTTATTTTCTATGTTCGAAAATCCCCGTGTGTCGATCGACCGGTTTTCGACCCACCGTTGTCAAAATTTAACTTCTTGTCTGTCCGAAATAACCATGCTCGGATAGCAGGGTTCATCGATAACTTTCCATCTGTCAAATTTTAACCAAAAGTTAAAATAATCCACCAAATGGTTCAGAGCCTAAATCTAGGTTTTGGAGGCGAACCAGCCCCAGGCTGAAAGCCTCCCTAATAAAGATAAATTAAATTAATAAATCTAGGTTTGAGATCTTGTTGAGAGCGCTGCCTTGAATGCACTGATCGTCGTGTTCCTAGAGGGAGCGGGTTCCAGATGATTGCACCTGCGATCATCACATTCTTCTTCTTCGATGTGGTGTGATGGAGAATCGCAAAGCAACGCGTCCGCTCAAGCTGTTCTCTTCTCAGGTGTTGCTGCAGATAAGGAGGAAAAGTTCCAGCGCACCCCTGGCAAACAAAAAAAAGCTAATTCATCGGCTAATTCTGCGTCTGGTGTCATATACAAAGCGAACTGCTGACTTGAAACAAAAGTTTAGCTGATCAGAATAAAGACTTAGATACTTTTTACCGAACTTTCAACAGCTGAACGTGCGGTAATCAGTACGGTAAACGCAAGCGCTTGCCCGGAAAAAAAATAACCATACAATTACCATAACATAAAATACAATTACATCAAAATCTATTACCAAAAATAAATCTTATTATACGTCTATTGTACAAGAAATTTTAACATATTGTTGTTGCAATAAATTAACAATACGTCCCATATAGTAAGAATTTTCAACAATTGGGTTCTTTAATTTTGAAAAATGTATCGTTTTTTATAAATCATCTGAAAGAGCTTCGTTTTCTGAGCACAGCGATATTTTTTCGAAACCACACGCTTTCATCTCGATTTTTAAATCAAAACAAAATAATAACTTCACTGTTTGACACTAAACTAACAAACTGACAGCTCGCTCCCATACAAAGTGACACAGAGGGGCGCTAATAAGGTGATTGTTGCAAATGTAATCGTACTTATTTAAAATAGTTCCAGTTTACCAAAATTGATGAAATTTTGGGTTTGGGCTCCATTTTTAATGCAGATGACGAATATGCATTTACCTCAATACCCTTGAAGAACCCAATTGAACAACAATACAATTAATGGTAAATGGCTCATCCTTGTTCGGGAAAAAGTGATTTTTCCTATGGTTAAGATACATAACAACCCCCTTGTTCTATTGTAGATTTCCCCATTTACCATAGATTCTATTGTGAAAATAATACATGCTGTGGTTATTGCTTATCTTTTGACAGATACACGTATTTCGTCTACTACTTGCAGACTTCATCAGTACCAAGTACAACAACACCACAGTGGTTGTTGCTTACATAGTTTGAAAATGGGTATTTTTTTACCCATTAATGGGTTTTCACGAAACACCGTGGAAGCCCTGCTGTAACTGGGAAGATGATTAAAAATCTGTAAAACCCAGATAAATCTGAAATACTGGCAACGTTGCTTATACACACCTTCCACCAGGATTTTTACCAACCTTGCAAACATTGCAAAACGTCAAAATTAATACTCATAACATATTTACATCGATAATCAACTTGAACTTTATGTATTCCCAAAAGACATTGAATTTTACCATTTTTATTTAATCATGAGATCTGTTTAGTATCTTTTTGAACTAAATTTACGCGTTTTCTGACAAAAGCGGTGTCCATCTAGTAATCAGCTTTTAATAATCACTGCACCATGCCAGGATTCGTTGCTGTTCATACTGGTAAGTAAACATCAGCTAGCATCTAAAATAAATAACAATTTGTTGCCAACAAAAGGTGCAGGAAACTGCATAGATGAAACATTATACAAAAATGTTTGCAAGGAAGCATGTATTCAAGGGGTCAATGCACTAAAGAATGGAGGAAGTGCATTAGATGCTTGCGAGCTAGCAATAGTGACGCTGGAAAATTCTTGTGCCACTAACGCTGGAATCGGTTCAAATCTTACATGGGATGGCCAAGTGGAATGTGACGCTTGTATAATGGATGGAGCAACATTGCAATTCGGAGCATGCACGAATGTTTCAGATGTGAAAAACCCCATCAGTTTAGCCCGTCATCTATGCGACAGACAATCAAAACTATTAAGTTTCGGAAGGATACCTCCAATGATTCTGGCGGGCAAAGGTGCATCGGCCTATGCCAAAGAAATAGGGCTACAAATAGTACCAACAGAACATATGGTATCAGCGAAGGCAGTCAAAAGCTATGAGCATTATAGACGAAATATTGCCAAATACGAAGAGATCAATCGAATGAAACTGTCACCACTGGATACGGTCGGGGCAGTTTGTGTCGATGCCGAAGGAACGATCGTAGCTGGATGTAGTTCCGGTGGCCTATTGCTCAAGGTTGGTGGACGAGTCGGACAAGCTTCAACATACGGTGCTGGATGTTGGGCTATGACAGATGAATCAACTTGTATGTCTGCGGCCACCTGTACTACAGGGAATGGCGAATATCTTATGAAGACACTCTTTGCGAAAGAGCTAGTAGATGATTTGATAACATGCAACTGTCCCATAACCTCGCAACATCAAACTTATAAGAGAAAACTACTTGAATCTCCATTTCTGTCGAAACAAAGCGAAATTCACGCCGGGTCGTTATCAATCATTTATAACACTACCACTGCCGATGGTGATTTGCTGTGGGCCCATACGACCAATTCAATGTGCTTAGGATTTCAGTCAACTAAACAAAAGAAACCTAAGGTCTGTAACATCGGTATGTATGCATTTTCCTTCATCTAATTGTAATTGTTTTTTTTTTTCACAGTTCGTTTTATCAAAGTTACCACCAAACTTGTCTTGCGGAGTAAAAACAGTTGTCAGTGGGCATCATTTCAAACTAACGTATTAGGAGCCGGAGAAGACGCGGTTGCAGTGCTGTTCGCAAATTTTCATCCAAACTAGCCAATATAGAGAACAATTTAGCTGAACGTTGATGACTCATCTGTTACAGTAATTTAAATGTGTAACAACATTTCTAAAAAAATTAGCTTTTATTTCCGTTCTCGTGATTTCAAAACATTGATATTGTTCAAAACATGCAGTTCTACAATTTTACTATAATTTTGTATCGAAATTTGTGTTCCGCGCAATTTTACCTTGATCATACTTTTCAGCAGATGGTTAAAAAATGGATTGTACTTGTTGAACAAAACACATTTGCAACATATTGGTTACTTTGCATGGAAATTAGTCTGCGCTGCCGAATAGCACTCTACAATTAAGTCCGTTCCTTACAGATCAATTTCCTATAGGATGAGATATCTCAATTTCACTATACTGCCGCTTTTCGCATGTCCGTCCCATGGCGAAAATCATTAATCCGAGTAAATCGCATTTTATGTTTGATTCGTACCGTTGCTTTTTATGTGATAGAACAACCAATTTCGCTGTCTTTGCAAACTGTTTCTGAACAAAGTTGTTGAGTTCGGAGCCAGTATTACGAAAATATGTGTGATTAGCTACCATTTGCATTGAAACACTCAGTTTTGAACGACTATCGGACCGACAAGCGAAGAGCGGCAGTATACGGCTTATAAATGCAAATGTGAGCCAAATAGCTACGTAGATTTTCCTCTTGTACTCAACACCTTTTTTGGATGGGTCGATTATCGAATCCTGACATTAATAACACAAGTTGTGTCGGATATTCAGATTGTATCACAGGAAAGAAAAGTCTCAATCATCTTCGAGCTATCGAAAGGAAGACAGAAATAAAAAGTATTTTCAAAATAATAAATTCATTAACTATAACCATTGGAATCAGGAGCCATATTGTGTAAGTCGAAATGCTATTTAAAAAAGGTAAAAGTACAATTTATTGACTTACACAAAGTGACCCCAATTTTATTCTATTATTCGATACGAAATCTAAGTTCCCCCTACTGTGTAACCTGACTTATAACGAATATACGTAGAGAGTACCCCGAATACAACGGATAATTCGGGAATGATCTGAGATTTTGGCGTGATTGCTTTTGTAAACATACACGCATATCACCGATTTCTCGCGAAAAAAAAAAGCTCGATCTCAAAAACTAATAACACGACCAGGTAGAGGAATGATTCCGCTATCATTATGTATTCAGGATACTCGTATACGACGTATACTGCCCATAAAAGCATAACTGTCCCATAGCAAAGATGGGACAATTATACGAGTATCGGCCGTATATTCGTTATAAGTCAGGTAGCACAATAGTCTACGAGTTGTGTCACTCTGCCATGTTGGTGTTCGCTGATTCAAAGAGTAAATGGAATAAGCATTGAGCTGTCCATAGTTGGGCGTTGTTGAACTTGTGGTACTTACACAACAATTCATGTGAGTAGTAACCATATAATTACAAAATAACTTTAAAATTTAATGTAGTTGTTGAAGATGCTAATTTCAAATAACAGACTAAAGTGATATTTTTTATACGATAGATGAGGAGATTAAAGTATAGAATTGATAGTTCCGTTAGAGTACGGCAGTGTGAAAATTGCATATAGAGAGTAGAAAGCCAGCTAGGACAACTTCAGGAAGGTACAAATCCGTTTTATCATCTCTCTTTACCAAACTCCCCCGTTGGAGAGGGATGGTGAGGGGTTCATAGAATGGGAAGGGCCTGCTTAGTGGAATGGCAACCTTTCATTAAATAGTTCAGATAGGCTAGAAATGACAGGTATACAGTAAGAGAATGTAGTTTGAGTAGTGGAGACCTTGTTACACAAAAAACTTATTGTTTTAACATAAAAAAGACCTTGATACTAAAAAAAAACTTATTGTTTTAACATAATTCAGTTTCTTTCATGTCTTTTCAGTGGCAATAAAAAAAAACTTATTATTTTAACATGCTTCAGTTTGTCAAAATATCGTGCTTATTATTATGCTATGGCTAATTTAGAGCATTTTGTGTAAAATAGCAGTTTTGTAATAAGACTACAAGCTTTATATCCATTCATGGACATTTTGCTTGACAAAAATAATCAATTTAATTCTTAGACTATTGATTTATTATCCTTGCAAAGGCATTAGATGTAATCGACCTTGATTTTTATCAGATAAACTAAGAAATTGAAGCAGTAAAAAATGTTAATATAATATAATATAATATTAATAATGATTAATATTATATTATATTATATTAACAAGGCTTTCAACAACCCTGACCATGATGTTACAAATTTCAAACATAAATGGTTCCGCAATGTTCTACGAACATTTTTATTTATGACAAATCAACAGGAATGATATGAAGCATCTGATTATAAAACTTGAATCAGAATAGTATTCCATAGCAACTTACCAATCAACTTACCTCTAGTCTCGTTTTGCGCGTTTGTTCTTAATAACCAACACATCTTCGTCGTCTGTCTCTACCACATCGTCCTCCTCATCACCATCGTATGCAAGATCAGGCTCCTCGTTGTCTGTTGCGTTCAATAACCCTCGCTTACGACTTATGGTATTTGTGATCAAGCATGCCCTCCAATTCAGAAGCTCTCGGGTCAAGAAACTGATGTCACTGTATGAATAACTGGTCAGTACAATCATGTTGTCATTCCAAATCTTCACAACAGGCAGCAAAGACCGAGCCGCAGCCATACAAGCAGAAGCCAACAAAGAAGGGCGAATATTGGTCATCTTAATGTCCAAGAGTGTCACATCCAAAAATTCCAACACCAACTCAACAGCACGAGTACGCCTATCGTAATATTGTTCGTCGCTTATAGTCGAAGCGAAATCGATTCTTGAGACAATATTTAACACCCAGAACTCAACAAATACGGAAGTAGTTGGGATGATTAGCTGCCATTTGAAAAACTTCAACAACATAAGTTCGAGTACTGCAAAGTCCGACAATACGCAAGGGCATTTGAGTAATTCGTTCAGCTTTTTCGACGAAGGCACATTTGGTTCATTTTCCTCAAGTTTAGACGCCAGTAAAATGCAACACGAACCGAAGAGTTCTAGTCTGTTGTCAGAAATGTTATGATTATCCATGAACGCATCCATCAGGTAGATCGCTAGAAGCATTTTCAAATCAGGTTGAAGACCACAAGGTTGAGATAAAAAACTTACCCAAATGTACAGTGCTTCTCCGTAGATGTTGGCGCTCTCCGACACTTTGAATGAAGTTTACCATAAATGTACGGTATTGGAGCTGAGGTGACAAGTAGCGTATTATTAATCTGTTGTTTAATTCAGCTTCCTGTACAATCCACATTATCTCATCGCTGTACTCAGTACAATGTTCCTCAACGATACAAAGCTAAGGAAAAATATTCAATACATTATTGTTGCTTCCAACTCCCAGATCAAAACATACCGTTGAACGATATACAGGCAACTCCATTCTATGGATTTTCTTTTTAATTTCAACAATCTGAAATTTCCAAACTAATTTATAAACAATATTTTACGTTTTTTTTTTGCACATCCATTCCGGTTTTGAATACTCTTCTTTTATGATTCGCATTGCAAACAGGGATGCCAGGAATTCCTTGGTGCAACCCAATGAACTATATACAAGGGTGACACAAGAGGTTATTTGTTGGTATTAGTAGTAGAAAAGGGGTAAATAATCGGTTATGACGAAAAACTCACAAAATATTAACATGAAAAAAGTGGAGTTTGACGTCACGTAAGGTATGCTTCACAAACCCTACACGCTAACTTGAAAGTACCCATTAATGGTTGAAAAAGACCCATTTTGAAGAAAAGTGGCTTAACTCATTAAATGAGTAAATTTATTACCCATTAATGAGTATCTGTTACCCATTAATGAGTAATTGTTAATCATTAATGGGTAACAGATACTCATTAATAGGTAAAATTGTTTATTCATTAATGAGTTAAGCCACTTTTCTTCAAAATGGGTCTTTTTTTACTCATTAATGAGTACTTTCAAGTTAGCGTGTATGACCTATTTGGCACATCATTTTCATCACCTGTATAATATATTTTTAAACTCTTTGGGTGCAACCCAATGACGTTTATGCATGGTCCGAGTCAACTGCCTTGTCACTGGCTGGAGCCAACCAATGTCATTTATACAAGGGCTGGGCCAAAACAATGAGCTGGATTACCGAGGTAAAGCAATCTATTAAGGCTCTGAACCATTTGGTGGATTATTTTAACTTTTGGTTAAAATTTGACAGATGGAAAGTTATCGATTAACCCTGCTATCCGAGCGTGGTTACTTTTGACAGACAAGAAGTTAAATTTTGACAACCTTGGGTCGAAAACCGGTCGATCGACAAGGGATTCTCGAACATAGTAAATAACTTTCGAAATGTCACTTTTAACCACGAGTTAAATTTAACTCGGCAAATGGTTCACAGCCTAAGTTGTGTGAGTAAAACCCCTGTACGATACAAGCAATTAGTGACATCACCACTTGCGTTTACGTTGATTTTTTGGATTACTAATCCAACCATATTTCACGATCTGCTTCACCTCCACCTGTCTCATTGGGGTCAAAAGGCTTAATAGAGTTCTCCAGATGCACAAAAGTGTGCGTGAGACCGCGCGCTACCTTTTTAAGTAGTTGTGATATCGCGATACCTTTTTGTTTCTTCTTCTTCTTTATTTTTATGTATGGATGTTGGATTTTAGTGTTCGTGAGATTGCGCTTGGAGATCTCTATGACATAAGTGACATGTGGAAATGTTTAGTGGTGTTTGTAATGCACCGTAATGTGACGTATTTCTATCTGTTCGTAGTGTGTTGGCAGTGACGTATTTCTATTAAAGCCCTACAGTAAAAGTATGGACGACTGTCACCACAAAATTGGAAAAAGCTGTTCCAATCGAGCAAAGCGGTGCATTTTGACGGTTCGATTGGAACAACTTTTGACAGACGTCCATACTTTTACTGTAGGGCTTTAATTTCTATCTGTTCGCAGTATGTTCAGCAATGTTTTCAATATTTTTGCTTCTAACACAAGCAAGCTGCCTGTTGCCCCAGACCTAAACGTCATTCCAAACCAACATGCAGCTTGCTGGTTTAGAATCAGAAAAGTTGCAAACATTGCTGAGCACTCAAGTGACGACGTCACTCTACCATAACATTCCATACCGCGAACAGTGAGATTTACGTCACTACCAACAGCAGTTTCGTGTAAAAAGATAAACATTGCAATGAAATACGAACCCCCAATAAACATTTGCACATTTCAAGCTGAACATTGCATTAGGCCCTACACTAATAAAAATTCAATACTTTTTGTATGTGTCCTACACTGAACGAATTTGACATATTCCTGTTATGTGGAAGTCTAATAAATTTGCGCTATAAGATAATCCATTGAAAATGATATGATTGAAAATGTGTCAGGTAAATTCTATATGAATATCTGATACATTTACAATGCTGATAATTTGGTTACTTTTATATGATCGTCATATGATAAATGAAAATCGATTAAATTATAATAATTAACTGAAATGGATTTGAAACCCATAAGCATAAGCTATACTTTTCACCACAATATAATATATGTGTCATAAATCAATCGAAGTAAAGTTTATGTGAAAATAACATGAAATTTACTTCTTCTTTTGACACATATATTTAATCGATTTCTAAAAATAAATTCGAAAAATTAACATCAGGCAGTGGGAGCTTTCACAGTTGTGCCTTTTTTTATTGTAGCTGATTTGGGATTCGATCAAGAACTGTTGAGGTGTGATGCTTTCGGTGTCTGTGCTCGATTCCACTGGGCCACGGCTGACTTCAAGATTGAGCTCGTTCAAATAGCATGAAGTAAGAACAGCTCTCCCGACATGGAATGTAGTGCAACTTTATGCTCGTTTTGCTAGAGTGAAGACAAATAGCACTGACAAATTTATGTTCCGTTTCGGTGGCGTGGTTTGTTCAAATCTTTCTTAATGCACCTGTGTGCAATAAATCAACGACTAAATTATATGATTTGATAGAACTGGCTCATGAAGTTCGAGTACTACTTGGGGCTGGAATCTGAATTAGCCGTGTAGAAGGCTTACAATTAGAATCATAGCAAAGTAAATATTACAGTAGAATCATTTTTTTTTTTTCAATCTCAATACAGTCTTTTCTGGAACCAATTATCATATGAATGAGTGTACGTTAACATCGTTGAAAATTGTTTCAATAATTTATAAAGAACAATCATGTAAGATGTATTTTATTGGGAGCGATATTCATCCCAGAAAAACATGCAAAAACAAATGCTTGCTGTTGGATTTCTTAAAAGGCATTTCTATATGACTATTTAATGATTGGGATAGATCTGTTTACAATCTTTAAACGTCAAAAATCAAAGCAAGCTATTACAATGAGATATACATGTTTTCCTATACTGCAAAGTTAAATGACAGTCCAATAGTTTCTACATGTCTATTTACACGCGACATATCAACAAACGTCAAAAATCAGTAAAAGCAACTCCAATAAAATATACATGATTATCTTATAAGATATATATTTTAGTGAGCAATATTCATCATGAAAACAGGTATATTTTACTGAATTTTCTCATAGTTTCTAGATGTCTGTTCCCACCAATGACATATCAACAGTTTTTCACCATGAAATATATCAGACAATATTCATATACTTCTTACCTTCGCTAACCACGTTCGAAGCAAAGTATTATCAAGTACTAAGTATGTGAAATTACGATAGAAATCATTCCATATCGCAGTCATAGTTTTTAAGTGATAATCCAATGGAATCTATCAATCATCACATAGAATGAATAAATATGCTGACATTGCTATGTTATAAGATGGATCCAATAAACGGTACATGTCGATTTGTTTCAGTGTACACATGAATTCAGTGCCAACATTTCAAAGGGGCGTAATTGCATTTGTAAACAATGACTTTCGTCTTCGATTTCTTGCGAATGAAAGCTCACTCATGAAAATGAATGACACCAGCAGGTAGAAGAATGTTTCCTGTCCCAGCTAGCATTGGTAATTTTGAGGGGTGGGTTTTTATTTTGCGAGAAATCGACGGCAAAAGCCATTGTTTATAAAAGCAATTACGCCCCTTTGAAATGTTGGCAATGTGATATACAAATGATAGATATGTGTCGGACACATAGTTCTTATTTGTACACACAAATTTCATGTGTAACCACGAACACCATTTCACCGATAGCCTTTGTGTTGCTGAGTTGCAGTCACCGACAAACCGACATGATTGACCATAGCAAAAACAATAAAATATCTGACCAAAGCACACTACTGACATCTGGCTCCGTGTTCGCGGGAAATATTTAGCTAAGCCATGAACGAGCATGCATAAGCTATGAATTGGTTCGTGTCTGATCTATTCTGGACAAATTATTTTTATCTAGATCAAAAACTCATATGGTTTTGACAGTTCGGGTCACTGCACATTTAAATAGACCGTTTTCGATCATACGTTAGAATTAAGTGTCATGTCGGTTTGTCGGTGGGGCAGTTGCCTTTACCAACCATATGTATTGTTTTTTTTTTTTTTTTATTGAATCTTACAAAAAATGGGTTGTTAAGAACCATTACCATTAAAAATTCTTGTTTTCTCCACATATTTTCGGAAAGAAAACTATATTATGAACCATTATACTTAAGGTTTGAGAATTTTCATTAACGCCATTAGTGTTCATCATTAGTAAACATTACCCGCAGTTTGTGCCACTTTTTCTCGAGTGAGTGAACTCAAATCCATCCGTGCACTCGTCTATAGATTATTCTAGGTTTCAAATCGTGGTTTCGTTCAGTTATAAACAACTGAGTTAATGAACATGACTCTAAAGCAAACATTTTGCAGATCAACCAAACAGGATCAGCAGGTTGTGTAGTGGTAAGCGTGATTACCTCTCACCCCAAAGGCTCTGGGTTCCATACCAGTCGGCGCCACGGTTATCACGGGGTGCATGTAAAGCTGTTGGACCCCGGTCCATGAGTTGATTGGTCGATAGGTCCAGGTGTGGGAGCTGCCTGGCGCCGGGAACATTGGTACTCAGTACAAAAAACCCCGCTAATCTGCACGCCGTGCAAACTAAAAATTGCTCAAACGTCATTAATGGCGGGCATTACTCGGATTAACTTTTAATACCGATCGTTTGGATGTTTTTTTTTTCTTGATTTAATCAAGAAAAAAATCCAAATAGAGTCGGTATTAAAGTTAATCCGAGTTAATGACCGCCATTAATGACGTTTGAGCAATATTTAGTTTGCACGGCGTGCAGATTAGCGGGGTTCAAACTAAAATTTGTGTTCAGATTAACAGTCAGATTACCAGAGGTCCAAGGTAACTATAATAAGTACTCGCGGTTGAAAATGAATTTGTTTTACATCATATGTACATTGTTTGCAATAAAGTACTATCCCATTTCCTACTCCCATTGCAGCACATCCTTCATATCAGCCAGATCTTGCACAACCGCACCATCCTCTGCCGGGACGATTTCCAATTGCCGATACCGGTCAACTAGGTTCATAAGCTGTTTTTCGTCGTCGATGGAAGCAGCTAGCCGCTCGTGCAATTTGATCTCCTCCTCCAGCATCGACAGAAACACACCATCTTTTTGGATTTGTTGTTCCAGCTCTTTGACCTCGGCTTGTAGCGATTCAAACTGTTCCACAGTGTAGTCCTTTCGGTGCATCAAATCCGATGGCAGTAGTATAGAATCAGGAATTGAAAAAGTACTCCTGTAAAGCTGGCTTAGTTTGTCCAGTATGGGACCACAATCGGCAAACATCTTAAGACTGATCGTATAACAATTGGCTCGCATTTCCATAGCCTCGTTATCAGGAATGTTGTGCTTTTTGATAAATTCATCCGTAAACGTAGCGAAACTGTTCTGAATGAGGAACTTTACCAACAACCGATCTGCAACGAAATAAGCATCAGTTTAGGTTTAGAATCTTCTCTCAAATCAAATGAATGAAACATACTTTGAAAGATGATATCTTCCGAACAGAAATTGAAATGTTGTAGTTCGTATTCCGCTTTTTCTGGATCCATCTTATTAAAAGTTCCACAAATTGTTCCACAAAAAGTTCAAAAAAATTCAAGAATAATATATAGATAATTATTATTATTCCTTCAGTTGAATGCTAAAACCGCCAGTTTTTCACCGTTCTGGCACAACATGTGAAAAGGTTCAATGTACGTACCAAATTAAACACTTTACATGCTACACGGAAAAACGAAACAACTCAAAATCGAGATAAGAAGTACACTAAGAAAAACATTTAATCTACACTAATAAAAATTCAACGATTATTTTTATATGTCCCACACATGAATTTTTGCAATGTGGTAAACAAATGATATTAATGTGTTGGACACATACTTCTTATGTGTACACATAAAATTCATGTGTAACCACACATACTATTGGGTTCTTTAAGGGTATTGAGGTAAATGCATATTCGAAATCTTCATTAAAAATGGAACCCAAACCCAAAATTTCATTAATTTTGGTACACTGGAACTATTTTAAATAAGTACGATTACATTTGCAAAAATCGCCTTATTAGCGCCCTTCGGTGTCACTTTGTATGGGAGCGAGCTGTCAGTTTGTCAGTTTAGTTTCAAACAGTGAAGTTATTATTTTGCTTTAAATCTTGATTTAAAAATCGAGATGAAAGCGTGTGGGCTCGAAAAAAATACAGCTATGCTCAGAAAACGAAGCTCTTTCAGATGATATATAAAAACCGATATATTTTTCAAAATTAAAGAACCCAATTCATTTGACTCATAAATTTCATGTGTACTTCTGAGTGGATTCTGTTTATGACACATGAATATCATGTGGAATTTTGCATGGAAATTCGCCAATAAAAATGTGTCGAATTTTATGAGTGTAATTAGGCTCTGAACCATTTGGTGGATTATTTTAACTTTTGGTTCAAATTTGACAGATGGAAAGTCATCGATTAACCCTGGTATCCCAGCGTGGTTATTTCTGACAGACAAGAAGTTAAATGTTGACAACTGTAGCTGAGTTCTTCTCGAAAACCGGTCGATCGACAGCACAGGGATTTTCAAACATCAAAAATAACTTTCGAAATGTCACTTTTAACCACGAGTTAAATATAACTCGGCAAATGGTTCACAGCCTTAGTATACAAGTTACACTAAAACCACAGACAAACAGACATAACACTCGCAAGTTGTTCATCGAACAAGCATTTAACGGACAATTTAAAAGTATCGTAGTTGGTAGTACCGCCACATGTGGTGCGCATAGTCCATTCCCTTGCGTTTGACGTTTACACACTACCGCCATCTGTTCAGTGTAGTGCCCACCACAGTGTACTCAACAGATGGCGGTAATGTTTTAGCGATGATGTTTTACAGTGAAAAATATTCAATGTGTTATGTCTGTTTGTCTGTGCTAAAACCACAAACGAAGTGACCGACGGAGCGGCTCCCGCTTAAATGTGAACCATTGCTTGACCTTACCAATAATAATAATGGTTAAAAATTGTTAATAATCCCTGCTAAAATTTAACTGAAATGGTTATGGAACTTTACATAAAAGATTGTCTGATAAAGTTTTAACCTTATATATTATGGTTTTCTGAAAGTGAACCTTGGTAGAGTACCTAACTTTAGATTGGGCCCGCCTTTGGAAAATGAGCACCAATCATGTTAGGCAGTCCAAATGACCGAAGTAACATTTCAAACAGTACCTTGGACAATTTTTTACCTATATGATAATCTTAAATAAATGAAAGTAAATTTGGATGGATGTTTTTATATTGGGTTCTTTAGGGGTATTGAGGTAAATACATATTCGTTATCTGAATTAATAATGGAATTGAAATTTAAAATTTCATCACTTTTGGTACACTGGAACTATTTTAAATAAATACGATTACATTAGCAAAAATCTCCATCTTAGCGCCACTTGGTGGGATTTTGTATGTGAGTGAGCAGTCAACGAATTGGTGTTGACGGCGACTCTGTAGCTCTTTACTCCTATGAGCATAATCCATAAGCAAACGTCAGACTGTGCGTGAACCATGGCGGACTTTGTACTACCCTTTCACACTCCCATAAGAAACTGCACAGAAAAAAAAAGTTGTTGAATATTACATCCAAACTGCTGCAACCAGGTCAATCCATTGGTTGTGTAATATAACGTTGTGCGATGTACATCGATTTTGCGAACAAAATTACATCTATTGATGTAATATTGTATCTGCTTTTTGCTATTACATCATTATTTCATACATCAGCTTGAATTACATTGATCGATATTACATTTTTTTTTTGCTGTGTGTCTATATTTGCTGGAAAAGCATATTTTTCGACGGTGCCGTCAACGCCAATTCAGCTTTCCATGCTCGGTAATGGCGGCCTGTTTGTATGAATAAATGTATCCTTCACTGTGCTTTTTGACACTAACTGGAGGGCGTATGTTGTTCCATTTTCTTCTGTTCCTGGGAGAGGGAAAGGGAAGTTGAAATTCGAACATCCAGATAGTGTCAAAAAGCACAGTGAAGGATACATTTATTCATACAAACAGGCCGCCATTACCGAGCATGGAAAGCTGGATAGATTTAGTGTCAACGATCAAAAATATAAATATGGATTTAAAAATCGAGATGAATGTACAGAAATATCGTTGAGCTCAGAAAACGAAGCTCCATCAGATGATGTATAAAAATCGATATATTTTTCGAAGTTAAAAAAAAAAACTTAATTTAGTATCTTATGAGAATTTTCGGTGGAGTTAAGACATAGTAAAAAGGTCACCATGTTTCACGCACAGTCTGATACATGGTGGGTATACAAATGGTGATACAGTTTTGTCACTATATCCACACACAAAAAATAATCGTTAATAAATTTAAAAAAACCATTGGTAAAATTAAAAGTTAGCGTTGGTTCTTTTTGGTAGAAAGTATTTAGCATTCAAAACTAAAGTCCCCTAACTGTCAATTCAAAAGTAGCTCTCTTTCTACTTTTAAAAGTTGAAACTTTCAAATCGAATTGTAGAACTGTCAAACTGAAAACCTATAGTTTTTAAATTGACGTATAACAAATTTTAATTGAAATGATAAGCATTTTAATCGCAATTACATACGTTTTTATCTTAAATTTGAATAAAACTTAAATCAATTACTTTTATTTTTTAAAAGAAATAACCAGGGAAATTCCTTTTATTCTAATTTATTTTTTATAATAATTATATTGTCCATTACAAAGCAGCAGAAGTGACGCTCCCGATGCTTTTACAGTATGAATTGTATTATTTTAAAGATTGTTGATCAAAGCTGGTATAATTTACTCCTGACGGACTCGGTGTGGGGGTACTTGAATGAAAGTGGCATCTTGATGGGGGTGGGAGTCGAGGTGGGAGTAAGGCCGTGGCCAGGGTAGACGCAACACGCGACGCGATGCGATGCGACTCACGCAAGGAATAATAATAAATAATAAGGTTCTTTTGAATTGGTCGCGTCGCGTCGCGAATCGCGTCTACCCTGGCCGTACCCTAACCTTCCTTTCCGGCAAGACTGAGGCTGCTGAAAATTAAAACATCTCAATTAGAACAATCGGAAATTCATTGAAAATTATACCAAATTACCGTCAATTGAAGCACGCCATCATTGTCTCCATGTTATGATAGAGTTTATGTTTCATCTAACATTGCTTCCCTCCGTTGGCTGCTTTGACGATCACCTGCAATCCGATGAAAATGAATTAGCGGTGGCGTACCACTTTTTGGGAACCGATTCCAGTTCGAAAGAGATACCGACGGGAGAGTAATGTGGAAACGTAGAAAACACAGCAATATGGTTTATTTTTCACGCTTTCAAATTAGGCGGCAAACGAAGGTCAAGTGATGCCAAAATCTTCGCAATGACGAGGAAGTTTTGAAAGATCTGCGACTTTTATTTTAAAAAATTAACTTTTGAAATTACAAGTTGAAATTGAAAGAAACACTTTTAATCCGAAAAAAATGTTTTGATTTTGAATATTTTCGTTGTTAAAACTACGAAATTGGAGAAACTTTTAAATTGAAATTTCATTATTTTTATAGGAACAATTTTTGTTCTTTGTGTGCAGCTTTCCATGCTCGGTAATGGCGGCCTGTTTGTATGAATAAATGTATCCTTCACTGTGCTTTTTGACACTAACTGGAGGGCGTATGTTGTTCCATTTTCTTCTGTTCCTGGGAGAGGGAAAGGGAGGGGTCAAAACCCGAACATCCAGATAGTGTCAAAAATCACAGTAAAGGATACATTTATTCATACAAACAGGCCGCCATTACCGAGCATGGAAAGCTGGATAGCCGAGGAGGTCGCGGGGGGGAAAGTGCGGTTTTAGAGCAAATTGTAAACAAACTTGGTCGCTGTCCCATACAAAAATCCAACATGGCTGAATCATGAATTTGACACATTAGAACACCTATATGTAGTCACCTTGGTCTGATATGCGTACGGGATTTTCCCTCTTAGGGGATTTTCAGTAGGAGTAAAGAGTATAGTCGCTATATTCATAGTCTGGCGGATAGAATCTCGGGAACCAATTGAGCTGTCAAATAGCGGAACCAATCGAGCAAATCACGACCAACAACAGAAAAGAGCACATCAGCTATTGCGATCAAAACTTTGGAAACCCTTTTCTCGTGACTCAAGGCTCGCCTACGCAAACTAACACCATCTAACACCATCTTTGGGTTGGGGAAAGTTTTTTTTTTCTCTTTATTTAGGAGATTTTCACCCACAGGCTGGTTCTTGGAGAAAGTTTCCCCTATCCGATGATGCTGGTAATTTGCGTTCGGGCGAGGAAAGAATAGTCAACGTTTTTTTCCGGAGGCGAACCAGCCCAAGGCTGAAAACCTCCTTAATAAAGAAAACCTAACCAACGTTTTTTTTTTTTTTTGTTCATAAAAGTTGATAGTACCTTTTCAATTGTTGGTCTGTTATTGCTGTGTTGCTCGTTGAAAAACTTCGTGGCAGCCCTGATAACAATCATCGATCATCGTTGTTTTCATGATCATGGTGACTGCGCCCATTACTAGATAGTTTATTTACAATTTACATTATCTTTGGATGATGGTCTGCTAGTGCGTAGCCGGTGTATAATCTTTGATTCAATTTTTGGTCGGGCAATCGTTTCAGCTTATCGTTAACAAATTTATTTCCGGTTTCCTTTAAATTATGGAGAAGATGCTGCTACGTTCGAAATTCCGAGGCAGCCTTTTGGGTGCTCTCATAGGTGACTGCTGCGGAGCACCATTTGAAGGACAGGTGATGGATAGTGGGTCCAAATTGTTGTTGCGTCAAAATCTAGATAGATTAGAAGGGCCGTTTTTCAAAGGTAGGTCGTTATGTGTGTTAAGCTTAGTATACAGATCACAGCGAAGTAAAATTTGAAGCAAGTGAAAAATCATGATATTTCGCAAGCGAAAATGTTTGTGGAACATATTTCAATTTCCTCTTTTCACAGTTCACGTGTAATGAATTCGATCAGTTTACACCTCCGGTGAAGTGAAAATCTGACCGATACGCTCTTTTCGAAACGTCAACTCTTCGCTTAGCTGCCAGGGTTACCACATTTAAATCTGTATTTTTTTATGAACAAAATCTGTAAATCTGTATCTTGCTGCAAAAAGTCTATATTTAACATTTGTTTCTGACGTCATAGGAATGTTATCGTGAATTTTACTTTTAAGAGCATGTATTTCCAATTCATAAAAAAATTAGCATAGCAACTAACAATCACATTTTGCTGCGGCTGTTGAACCAATGACAGATGCAAGTTCTTCCTGGATAGGCTTTTTGCAACTGCAAAATATTTCCTTTTCACCTACACTGAACCAAAACATCCGCAATACTCCGAATGATTATTGCATTGCTAGAGCCCTTTAACAATATGCATTCGAATTTCGGATGATTTGCTTATGGTTGAATTCGTCGTCAGATGATAAACATCCATATGACTGTCATCCAAATACAGGATGATTTTCGTTTGAAAATTAGCTATACAACATATGGCACTCAAAGGACAAACATTTAAGAATAGTGTGACATACAAGTGCTTTTATTTAGATTTATAATTTGATTATCTACATTTCCATACTGAAAAGCCATAATAAGCCATTCCATTATGGATACAAAATTTTTTCGTGATGGAGAAAACCTCCTCCACCACGAACTAGCCAAAAATTGGTTTTCAACCTTTACCTATGTTCGTAACAGCTCTGATAGCGATGCATATGCTTCCACCTCGTTTGTCAGCTCAGATCAGCAAATGACGTTCGATAGAATTATTTACATCATCGTTTTGAATGATTTGCGTTATAGGGCTGAACCAATACCATATGCATTTCAATTTAGTAAGACAGTCATTCTACAGAGAGCATTACGCATTTCAACTGAAGGTCCTATCCGTTCTCATAACAATTTTCATCCTGTATTCGAGAGGAAAATCATCTGATTCCAAAACAACCGTCATCCGGTTGCAGCCATCATTCGAAAAAGCGATTTCGGTGTTTTGTTTTGAATGGTCTGAGGTTTCATTCGATCAGAGGATGATGTTTGTGTACAGTGTAGAAAACGGCATTCTTATAGGTGAAACGTAATCCATTTATATTTAATTTCCTTCTTACACGTTTTGATGTAATTACATGTCTGACACTTTCTGAAATTTCTATAACACAAAATTTACGGAGAGGAATCTTTAACTAATATTTTTTAAAGCTTCTTAGTAAATTTCACTATATAAATACATTACATTACATTGGATGCACATAAAATTGGTAATATATTCTGTGTGCTCTGAATACAATTTATGCTCTATACAAATTCAAATAATTGAATATTTAAAAATAATGAGGAGAATTTTTACATTCCAGTAAAATCTGTATAATCTGTATTTTAGCTAAAAACCTGTACATCTGTATACACAGATTCTTGGTCCTGAAATTAAGCAGAACATCTGTAAAATACAGAATAATCTGTAAATGTTGCAACCCTTTTAGATACTGTTCTTTTCACTAGCACGCGAGAAAAAAGTAAACATGTTCGAAAAACAACATTCGATTTCACTGGATCGTTTAGATATGTTTACTCCAAGCGAAGTGAAATTTTTGTCAATTAAATTTTTCACTCTGGTGAAAAATCGAGTAATAAGTAATAAGTAAGTAGGATTTCTGTGGATTTGATCTATTGTAGTATATCCCGTGTCCTTAGATTAGTGCATGTCGTATTACCAACCGGTGGAAACTAACGATTTTAAATTGGTTCTTTACTTAACTAGCCTATTGGTCCCAAGCAAATCGATTAACGTACCCCATTCTAGTCTAAATTCTAGTACTACACTATGTTTGTTTTGATTAGCTATGAAAGTTTGACCGATAAAATGAGGTGTTCGTGGATTTTCCAATGTTTCGAGGGGTGCATCGATTAGTTTGGGACCGAAGATAGTACCAGAGATGAGTTTTAGAGTTACCTCTATGGTATTACCTCCATGAACTCTACACTCCAAAAAATATGCACGTCCGATCTACGTGAAAACATAGGTAGCTTTCGTCCATACTACTTTTCACGTAACATTTACGTTAATGTCATGTAGCCAGTAATATTCCCATTTAGTGGTCAACGTGAACAGTAAGGTAAATTTTACGTGATTTCCACTTAACTTGGAATAGATTTTCACGCAATGTTTACGTGGTTTTAAATGATATTTCCGTGATTTTTACTAATATTGAAATGGATTTTCACGGAATGTTTACGTAATCTTGAAGCAACGTTTACAGGATCTAAAAATACAAAGAAAATAATATTTAAACATTTTTAGATTTTTTTAATTAAACGTCAAGCATTACTCTATTGCTATTCAAAAATTAAACAATGAACATTTCGTTGCCTCAAATCTTTGATCAGGACCCTTCTGATGCAATATCTGTTTGCACTGTCTTATTCAGAGTTATGATATTGATTCCAGCCTCTGAAATCTAAATAAATACAATTATTTGCGCGGTCTTCGAATGATGGTAAATAGTATAAAAACACCTTCTAGTTTATGCAGTGTTAGTGTTAGGAAATCCAAAACTGAGAGCAACTCTTCCTCTAATGAAGACGACGCCATATTGAATAACTTTTTCATACATGTAAATCACGTAAACCCATTTCACGTAAGCACTTTCATCATCAGCTCCAGTGAACATTACATGGTATGTTTGTCAATTTCACTACCATTATGTAAAAATGGAAGTTGAAGTAATCGAAATGGCTACTTGATTTATCACGTAGGTTGAACGTGTATAATTTGTAGAGTGTACATGCTTATCACATTCTTTTAACGTGAAATTCCCGTAGTATCAACCGACATGAAAATCACGTAAATTTTATCAAAATTCCATTTGACATTGATCTGCGGCACGTGAAAATGATTGAAGTGGGCTGTTTAAGGGGTTACGTGATTTTTCACGTAGCATCAACGTGAAGATTTTTTGGAGTGTACCTATGGGTGAAGTGTCATAGAAATCAAAGACCCTTCAGCTCAAACCTGTTCGGTAATTTAAAAAAAATCCCCATATATAATTGTGATATCGCTTATATCGTACAGTGGTTTCACTCACACAAATTAACTGATTGCTTCACCTCGTTAATCCAGCACATTAAATTAGTAGTTTCACCACATGTGGCGCGCATAGTCAATTCTCTTGCACGGACAATAAAAATAACTCACAGAATGAGTCAGATTGACTGAATCTTTTCTTTTCGCATACACATTTTACTCACTTTAGTAAAACATGGATTTACTTACAGCTGTGAGTAAATCTACTTTTTACGAGAGTAAAATTTGTATGCGAAAAAACCCGAAAAAAATAATTATAATAAAACGATGAAATTAAAATGTTTTTTACTATTGAATTTCAAGTACAATAAAAATTATTGTTAAATTATTGTACGGGAGAAAATATAAATTTCGATTTTTAACGATACAATGCTCAAACAATGAAAATTAGTGCGATGAGATCACATTTATTCGAGTAAAATAACTTTTTTTTATTGTTAAGATGCTTTTTTTCTGTAAATTTCTCAAATAGCATGATTTTCAATTTTGTGAACCATTGTATTTTTATTGGATTTTGTTTTTACGGAAAGCCATTCAGACAATTTTTCGCAGTATGTGAGTTACTTTATTTGTCCGTGTGCGTTTGACGTTTAACTACATCTGTTTAGTGTATTGCCCAATCACAGTGTACTCAACAGATGGCGGTAGTGTTTTAGCGACGATTTTTTCCCTTGATTTGTTTTCCGTCGATCTTGTTTTCCATGCTGAGCACCAATACTGCCGACATCGGGAGGCATATCTTTTGAAACCCCTCCCTCCTCCATACCGCTCAAAAGCGACGTCATTTATGGATGTTCCCTATGGAATGCACTGTGCATGATATATAATGCCCGGGGAAGTCGAAAATTTTTGTTTTCAATAAAATTTCGTTGAATAATCCTACAATGGTATGCCGTATCTTTAATTGCTATGAAATCGGGAGATTTGACGTATGATTGATACATTACAATTACAACACTTAAACCGAACATAACACTTGCACAGAAACTATTTCATAAAAAATAAGGTTCTGATGCTAGTGTTATTTTAATCCAAAAGATAAATAATTCCTTAGTTTAGCTTTACATCTATTTAGTAAGATTGAATACCATTGTAATGATTTATTTGCTCTCGTTTCAATAATTGTATTCATGTTTCTAATTGTAGAAATCGAATGTATAGAAATACCTATTTTACGTTTTTTTTTCAGCTCCCTATAAAAAGTATACGGATGATACTGCCCTGACTAAATGTGTTTCAAGTACGCTGCTGAATCCTGCTGGATTTTCACAAAAACTGTTGGCTAAAAATTTTGTCGTAGAATATTTTAAAGATCCTATGCGTGGTTACGGTGCTGCAGTAGGAAATGTGTTTGAAAAGCTTCGTAAAACAAAAGTCTCAGACCCTGTTGGACCTGCAGCTGCTCAGTTTGGTGGAAGTGGGTCTTTTGGAAATGGTGCCGCGATGCGAGTTGCACCGATTGCTCTTTACTGTGCAAACCGGGATAAACAAGAACTGTTGCAAATGGTGCGCGATTCTTCTTTGGTAACACACAGCCATCCCCTCGGGATTAACGGTGCACTCCTACAAGCCTTAGCCATTACACATTCTCTTCGGCTGAATCCAAAGGAAAAATTGGACTCCATAAAATTCCTTGCGACACTTAAGCAGGACATTATTGATGTGGAGAAAGACAATGATCCAGACTTGGATGCAAACCACAATGCATACCAAATACAGTTAGATGCGGTTGGGCAGTTGCTGGACAAGAAGATTGAAGCAAGTGATGAAAATGTTCTCAACTTGCTAGGACATAGTGTGGCAGCTCTACATTCAGTTCCAACCGCAATTTTTTGCTTTCTGAAGTGTACAGATGGAACGGCTGACCATGTAAGTACACATAACTATTTAACGATAAGCGATACTGATTTTTTAACATAGCTCTCCACAAATCGATGCTCAACGGACCATTTTGCTATAGAATTACCAGTTTTGATAGAACCAAAAACGTTTTATGTCCATCTATCGCGGACATTGTCGGGCAACGCGTTTGTCCTACGAAAGGGCGAAAACTCTTTCCACCATTAGTCAGTACGTTATCATCGTCGGCCATGGTGCGTTTCGATGAAGCAGGCTAATTGGATAATAATGCTTGCTACGCAGGGTGTCCTTTTTTTTCAAGATTTTTAGCCACTAGCTAGTTTATTTACAACAGGGTGAATAGATGAAACTAGCTTTCGGCTAAAAATCTCTATAATAAAGAATTAAAAAAAATCCAACGAGGTAGCTTCCGCTTATTTGCAATAATACATGTTTTCCGGAATTTTGAAATCATAAGATGTTTAATTATTTATTGTACTTGTAAGTTACAAGAAGTGATTGTAAAGTATGTGTGGCATTAGTTTTATCTTAAGGGGCAATTTGTGGAGGCGAACCAGCCCAAGGCTGAAAGCCTCCCTAATAAAGACAAATAATAATAATAATAATAATAAGGGGCAATTTACTTTGGTGCGCATTTCCTAATTGAAGCACACACACACACATGTTTTTTACGCAGCATTTCATATTTCATCATTCTTTCTATATTGTACTTAAACACACATTTCCTATATAACTAAAAAAATAAATGTACTTATATATGCAGACGACATGCGACTCTTCATAGAAATAAGTAATTCTAGCGGCGCAGAAGAATTCCAGAATGAAATCAACTCTAGGTAGAGCTGGAATTAGGGCGTAACAGCTTTTGTAAACAATGACTTCTCTTGATGGTTTCTCAGAAGTCATGGCTCGCCCTGGCAAATCGACATCACCATCGCGTAGAGGAAGACTTCTCCTACCCGATGGATATGTTGGTTTGTGTATGTGTGCCTTGAATTCCGAGAAATCAACAAGAGAAGTCTTTGTTTACAAAGGCTGCTAGGCCCTAATTCCAGCTTTATCTAGAACTTATTTAACACTTGGTGTAGTAAAAGTCTACTCTAACTCAACGTAAAAAAAATGTAACACTATAGTATTTATCAGAAAAATAGAAAAAATAATTTTGAAAATGTTTTAGGCAACCTAAAGTAGAAAAGTAGGTGTAGTCCTAGACTCCAAATTCACTTTTGTAGAACATTATAATATCATCATAACGAAATCAAATATTATGTTGGGCTTCATTAAGAGGTTCAGCTATAATGTTCAGGACCCATACACTATTAAAATATTATACATTACATACGTAAGACCTATTCTGAAATACTGTAACCTAGTATGGAATCCGTACATTGCCATACACCAGGAACGCATAGAGTCGGAACAACAACAATTCCTTTTATATGACCTTCGCAAATTAAATTGGACCGCATTTCCTCTTCCATCATATGAAGCACGCTGCATGCTCATCCACCTCTTCAAGGTGGTTCGTTTAAAAGGACGTTAATTAATGGAAGCACAGCTGCATGCTCATAAACTTACAACCACTTAAAGAACGCCGCAAATTTGCAATGCTTTTCTTCATCAATGACATTATTGCACATCGCATAGAATCATCAGGATTACTATCACAATTACACACCCTGTCGGCATCTTAGAACAAAGAGATTATTCTCAGAAAAATCACAGAACAAATTTCGCAAAAAATGGCAAATCGAATGATGCGACCTTACAATCGACACTACGAAGTCATTTGCATCACTATGTCAAAAGAACAAATTAAAAACCGACTAAAACATATTATAAATCATGCATAGCATATTAGTAAAACATTGTAACTATTGTATGTAGTCTACTTCTGCTTGACGAAATAAACAAACTTCAAAAAGCAGTCGTCATTGCCAATCATCCAACCATAGCGGCGCCGATGGTGTAGTGGTAAGCGTGATTACCTCTCATCCCAGCAGGCCTGGGTTGTTCTGAGGCATAACATATGTGATCACGCCTTCCTTCGGAAGGGAAGTAAAGCCGTTCTTCCCCGGTTCATGAGTTGATGGGTCGATAGGTAGGGTTCAGGTATAGGAGCTGCCTCCCTGGCGTCGGTAGCATTGGTAGCACGGAAAACAAGATCGACGAAAAACAAATCATCCAACTATTTTACCTAAGATTACGTAATCTGAAATTATACGTTGAAATTTAGAGGCACCACACCAAAGTAAATTTCCCGAGTAGCTGTGTTGCTGTGGTGTCGCGTCGGTCGGTTTTTCATTTCACTTGTTTTTGGTGCTTTGCCTCCCTCCCAAGAAGAGTTTTACCGGGTATTTTTTTTTCTTTTCTTGGTGCTGGCGTTCTGCCTTCCGGAGAATGCACGCGAATGACATGTCAAACAAAAATTCGGTGCAAATGAAAAACTTCGAATGTGATTCAAAATGTCGTGTTGGGTTGTAAAAACAACGCGGAAGATTTTTTCGATTACCACGAGTGAACAAACCGGTCCTTTTTCGGATGCAGAATTTGTTGAGATCCATCTGATTTACTATCAATCATAAATGCATATTTCCATATATTACTAAATACGCGCCAGATTTCGAAACATCACATTTCGAAATCTGGAAGTGTGTTTGCAGTATCATTATTCATATGATAACGGTAGTGTTTACATACGGGGCTTATTGTATGTGAAAGTAGCCTCGGAATGGACGTGAATTACCAGGTATTCTGAAATGGGTTGCTGAATCTGCAGTAGAGCTATCGCTTTCTAACTCCCGGACTAAACTTGCTTTAAATTAGTACATCAAGGATTGTTGTAAGCAAATTTCTTCCATAATACCACTGCCAGCCAGTGGGGGTTAGATTGACTACACTCACACACACACACACACACCACACCAAAGTAAATTTCCTATTAAAATGAGTCCGCGGCTGCATAAAGTTGCATCATACATACACAATGGAGCTTATTAGTTTTAACCATAGGAAACATGACTGGTTCATGACATTAATCTGTTACGTAATTGTATGTACATTGCATCAAGCATCATTGGAGTTAATTTAATTTGTTTGTTATCCATCTAGCGCTCCTTCCGTGACACTCTTGAATATGCCATATCCCTGGGTGGAGACGCAGATACCATTGCTAGTATGGCATGTACCATTAGTGGAGCCTACCTTGGCGCGGAAGCAATTTCGGAGAACATCGTTAAGCATTGCGAAGACGCCGATGGCATAATCAATCAAGCTGATCAATTGCTGGAAGTAGCACATAAAGTGTAGACATTTTCATTTTAGTAGAGCAAATGTAGTTTGAAATTTCAATACTTTGCTGCAGCGTATTATTTTGTTCAACTTTGGAAAAGATGACATCCAGAGAAATAATCCTAAAGGGGTGAAATAAAAATGACTCCCAATGGTTAAATTTGCTACGAAAAGTCAACATCGTTTTATTTTCCATATTTTTATTACCTTATTTTTTGCTTCATTTTTTTTTTTGTTTATTTTGTTTATTTTTAAAGTCAATAAGCCATTTTGATAGCGTAACTAATAACTATTTATCTTCTTCAATCATTAGGTGTGTTATTACTTTAGTCATTATTTATCCAGATTTTTGCCAATTTAGATTGATTGCGGATGATTGACGATAGTAAAAAATAGTGTTATCATTCTTTAGCAATAAATCTGTTATCAACATGCTCCATTTGTTCAATAATGTTTCATATAGTCCCATATTTATTAGCGGTGATTTTGTTATGATAAATAAGAAAACATTTTATAAAAATTCCTAGTATCATGATGGATTTCATTACAAGGTGTATATAGATTCATCCTCCTTCTACAGTTTTGTCTAAATCCGTTCCACGTCTTTATGTGTGTTTACTACTTATATTGTTTCCCTACTGTACCCTTATATTTGTCTGCTCATCTCTTAGTTCATAAATGTTCGTACAAATTTCAGATTGACACTTATAAACATCGAGAATAAAATGTGTTCACTACGTTTGATGTTTCACCTGGTCTACATTATGTTTTTTTTTTTCTGTAGAAGAAAGTATGCTACATTTGTTATGTTGGGTGAAGATGAAACGTAAATTTGGCTTTTAAATGTGGTTTATCAATGGTTCGTTTTGGTTACAGTTGTTTTGTTTCGACTAACAACAGTTAAATGTGGAACTTTTAATATTTAATTACAGTGGTTTTGGTTTTTCTGCCTTGTTGATTAATGCTTTGGATATGATTGTATTCAATGAATCAGATAGGGTGAGTGAGTGTTTAGTCCATCTTTTTTTTTTCTTTGGTTGTATAGAATTCCATGACGATAGATGAGATGAATGTTTCTGGAGGGATGCTCTGATGCCGTGTATATGAAGTGTTAGGTTTGATCTATATCGCTACTTCAACTACATTAGAAATAAAATTAAAACAGATGGTCAATCTGAATTTTAATTTATTATTATTTATAGTTATCACATAGTTTTTTTTTTCATATATTTCTTTTGTATTTTAACGTGTTTGTTCAGATAGCCTTTACTTATTTGTAAGGATTTTTATTCTCGGGTCATATGGTTGTGCTGTTCGTTAGTTGCACTTTAATTATAAGCTTCCAAAATTAGTAAACAAAGTAACGATCAATAGACATTCAAATGGTTTTGCTTTTTGTTATTTATACTGTTTGATTTTTGCTGATATAACAAATATTGCACAGAAACTAGTTTTGAAAATAAATATGTATGCTCAGATATGCTCGCATTTTTGTTCTTGATTTTCTTGTTATTCTACTGAAATAAATTGTAAAAAAAAACCTTCAGTGCTTTAATTGCCTCAAGATATTTTTTTTTCTTAAACTCAAGAGGTGCCTCTATAAATAATGAATAAAATAAACTTAAACCTGAGTGAAACTGAAAGGCTTGTTCTCAAGTTCAAATGAGTAAGTGAACTGAATAAAAGAGTTGGTTAAAAAAATTGCGTTGGGATCGTGTTTTCTGCTGATGCTTGATTTTTGATCCAAGGTCCTTTCGTCAACAACTCATTTTGGCGAACTGGAACCAGTCTTCTCGTATTTATGTGTTTATGATGAGAATTACAAAATATTGGTTGATTGCTTTAGGTGGGTAAGGACTGTATCGAAAAATAAGTATCTTCTTCTGCTTTGGTTACGTCCCTACTTGACGCTTGCTTGACTTGATGCCGGCTCTCAACTTAGTGTTCTTTAAGCACTTCCACTGTTGTAATTGAGAGCTTTCTAAGCCTTCACCATTTTTGAATTGTATTATGGCCCAGGTAAGTCGAGAAATTTACAATTCGAAAAATACCTAGATCAGCCGGGAATCAAACCCAGCATAGTCTTGCTTTATATTTGCGCTTTTGCCGACTAAGGAAGGTCTTTTGAAAATAAGTAAGTTTTTATCTATTTCAAGTTTTTAGAAGTCTTAATATCCCTTTGAAGATGCTCTTTACAAATGTCTGTCAGTACATCAGTCGGAATTCAACACGTCGTTCTTGTGAACAAGTTGAATTGGTGTCGTTTTCAGAAAAAATAAAAAATGCTTATTTTTTTTCCATTTTAAAAACAATTGGGATTTCTTGTGCATTTCCTTCTCAACATTTTCCATGGATGCTAAGGCTATGATCATGAAATAGCTTCAAAATTATTGTACGATGTTTTCAAAAAGTGCGAAATACTGTTTTTTTTTATCCTGGTTAAGTTTTTAAGAAGGACATGACATTTAAAAATATGTTGTATCAATTAGGAATGAAATGTTGGGTTTAAAGTTCGAATCAATCGTAGTTTATATGCATTAAAAACACAATCAATCTACCTATGGTGAACTTAACTAGATACCGACATTTTTTTAATTTGTAATATTGGAAAAAAAAAGTTTTTTATAAGTGACGATTTTTCCCTCATCAAACATAAAAAAATAAAACTAATTTGAAAATGACAGTAATCAAACACATTCTACGAATAATTCCTAAATGAACTCACTTAATACTATCCTATGTATAAACAAGTTTTACACTAAGCGTGTATTCTATCTCTTTATAACAAACTATGCGTCGGTCAGCAGAGTTGCGATTTAGCGTAGCTTTTAATACATTTAGATTTGAATACTTTTTGAGTATACACATGTGCGTATCTAATTCATATTTTTGCTAACCGTAAACCGGGTCAAAATAAAATGCACGGGTTTAAAAGGTGATTTTGAATCCAAAGCAATCAAAAATAAACAGAGTGAATAATAAATAATAATCCGCACCGAATTCTGCGCATTCCAAACTTTTTTTTTAAGTAGGGTATACACTTTCCTTTTCAGCAGAGTTGTCCCAATTATTAAAACAGCAAGCTGAGAAAAAAACGCAATTGAAGATTTCTATTCTTTATGGGCTCTCGTGAATGGGGCAACATAGTTTTGGTATTTTTTCCCTAAATTTGATGCCGCAGAACATATTGCTTGCAAAACCGACTTTCAATCCGAGTCAAGTGTCATATACCTTTCGACTCAGCTCAGCACGACGAGATCAGAACATTTCTGTATGTGTGTATGTTACTCAAGGGCTTCATGAACTTATTATATTAAATATTTGAAATAAAAAATGGGGTGGTTCAAATAGGTATATTTAGACTTTTTATCTCCCACTGTAACAAACAAATTAATTCGAAGAATATAAGCGTCTAAAATTTCTCTATCACACCTCGCCGTGCAAAATTTTGAAATCTGCATCATCAAGACTTTTTTGAAACTTTCTTAGTACGTTCTGATCGGATTGCTGTAAAATTTGAGGTACAGTAGGGAATTTTGGCAACATACAATTTTTAACTTCTTAGTTTTCACAAATTTTATTGAATGTGATCCTGATTATCTGGACGTATTCAGCTTCGCAATTATCCGGAAAAAAAACTATGGAAATATTAAATAGAGTGAAATACTTTGGAGCGCAGAGTATACGCAAATTAAAGACAGTGAAAACGTGTTGCCAAAATCGGACCCTTACTTTACTTGAAATAATGGGTAAGATTTCAATTTCAGCTTATTTGGCTTTTTTTTCAAATATGTTGTGAACAACGTTTAGGAGCTGAGTCATATTAGAAGATTAATTTCATGAATAATTCAATTTTCGATAAAGTGCTTACGGAACGAGCAGTAGAGCAATTGAAAAATTCAGAACCGATTAGATTATCGTGATTCGTGCTTTGTTCATCATATCATTATAGAATGACCCGTTTTGACTTTTTTGCAGCATCTTTCCATTACTGTGCAGAAAAACAAGTACCTTTTATTATTGTTCTTCTCGCCTACACCAGCAATCAGCAAATAAAATAAAATACAATACGGACAGGTTGGATAACGCTAAAAAAAAATGAATTGGTTTTTAATTACTTTGACTAAAAATGTAAATGTTGCACTAAATTTAGAAGCCAATTCGTCAAGGCATACTGCAAAATTGTTATAAAAATAAACTTTGATCCTAGAATTACGATTTCCATGATTTCAATTTTTTTATCGACATTCGCTTAAAGCGTGACATAGTCGACATGATGTCGTTTTCCTTAACTTCCTCGTCGCTTAGGGTTTCACCTTCGGAGTGTACCTCTCGACGGTTACTCGACTTTGATGTAGCATTACTGCTGCTGCTGGTACTCGAGAACGATGTATCCTTTTCTGAACTGTACTTATGCCGACCACCGGATCCTGTGCTGCCAGAACCACCGGAACCAGAATTTCGAGGGTGTTTTGGTTTTGCTCCTAGAGCTGCCGCATCAGCCGAGCGGCATTTGATTCTCGACGGCGTTGGATCACTGAGCGCCACCTGGATAGGCGACTTCGAGGCCAACGAGTGCACCGAGGTGGATGAAGATGACGATCCCCGACTGATACTGAAGCCTCTGCTTATTTTCTCGATCGGCAGTATTGTTTTACGAATCGTTGAGGGCGTGAGTTGACTGCGCTCATGGATAACGAAGCGACCGATCGATTTCCAATTAGCTTGCGTTGTATAGACATTCTCATCATCTAACAGAATTCGCTGCATTGTGTCATTGCTTTTGTTGCTGTAGTTTAATTCTTCGACTAGCACAAAATTGTTGGGGTTATCAAGTCGGCGTGCTTTCAAGAGAGCTTGAGCGAGCACATCTTGCGCCGTAGATTTGATCGGTACCCGAAGAATTGCGTATGGTATGTCATGTGATACGTTGAAGACACAGACTAGGAAATTGTCTACATTTTCCAGTGATAGTGGATCGTCCACTGTTGCTCCAGCTCCTTGTTCACCGGTTGTCTCCCCACCGGCTGTAGTAGTTGCTATCGATGCCCGCCTTGCGTCCGCCGTTCGTCGAATGGACGTTACCCACGCACGGCTGCTTGGGTCGTTACCTATTCGCTTCAATATGAACCTACCGTCACCTTTCCAGCATGCCTGAGCTTGTAATGGATTCTCGGTCATATCCAACACTCTCTGCGTTGGCGGATATCGCTTGTCTTTCTTCTCCCATCCTGTGTACACTTCCTCTATTAAAATATAGTTTGCAATGTCCGTTCTCGGTTTACGCATTTTTTGCAAAACCATCATGAGAACATCTTTCGTTGTGCATTCTTGAGTAATTTTGAGAATAGTAAAAGGATTGTTAGGTACCGCGTCGTAAATAGTACAAAAGAAAGTTTTCCGCTTTAATAAAGGAACTTTACTCTCTAAAATGGGTTCCGTATCTTCAATTTGATCTTTTCTATTTGCGGTCCGTATCTGCTGGAGGTACTGTTCGTCGATTTCGCCATACGATCTATCTAAGCCTTCTTCCTCTACTCGTGTATAAACGAACAACGATGCCATATTTAACGGTTGATTAGTTGGCGATCGCAGACGTACATGTCGATAGCCAGGCCTAAAACATTTAAGTGATATAACACGCTGTGCAACAACTAGAGATTCCGATTCATAAACGGTGAACTTGAGGAACGCCAAATCATGGAACATTATTTTAAAGAAAAATGTTTCATTCCAAACTGGGTTGAATACATTGTGTTTCACTGGTTTTGTTCGCCTTCTTCCACAATCGATCGGAATACCCAGGAGCTCAATTTCTACGTGAATAACTGAACTGTTTGTAACATGACTCAAGTACTGACCGGAGACTACGTTGATCACGAGCTGTGTTACGTGCAATCCATCAAATTCCTTCTCTAATGGATTGAACCTTCTGTACATCAGGTGTGATCTATTCCATAGTACATCAGGTTTGCGGACATAACCACAGCTATTGTTTTCTTCAAACATAGCCTTATTGATATGCATAGGCATGTCTTCCGTTTGGTAATTCAAAGCGACCATTTGAAATCCAAAAGACCAGAAAAATACGGGATTGAAGTTTGATGAATCAATTCTCAATCCTGCTGGATAAGTTCTCATTAGTTGAGTTTCGGTGTGAGCAATTAACCCCAAGGGATCTTTTCTGCATAGCTTCTTAGCACTAGCTTCATTTAGTGATGAACACTGATAGCATGGATGGTTAGCGTTTGGCATACTGCGAGTTCGCGCTGGAGCTGGTAGATGGCTTTCGCTTCCACTAATGCTCGACGTATCGTAACTGAGTGAAAGATTATCCGATAAATGACTCGACGATGGAAGACTTAGTGTGTCTCCTGAACTGTTCTTTAGGATACTTCCAACCGTAACTACACTACCACTGGTCTTGAGCTGCTGTCTTGGATTGGCACGCATTGAGTTATGTGGACTGTACGGATTGAGACCGCGATATTTTATTGCTTGAATGTATATGACTAAATCCGATAGCTCACGGGCAATTTGATTACTGCGCTTGCGAGATCGATCATCCTGCTGATGGTGCTGTTGCTGGGGTTGAATATGTTGTTGATGCTGTTGTAAGTGCATTTGATGCTGCTCGAGACGTTGCCTCGTCGGTGTTGATACGTTTGCGTGGGACACACTATGCCTAGACTTATCATCTATTGATCCCCAGTTTGCATGATATGTTTTTTCTGTAAATTTAAAATGTGTTAATTTATTTGAGATTGTCTGTAAATGGAACGTAACTTGCCATCAATATTGTCAAAATCATCATCATCTTCGTACTCGTCATCACTGAACTCTTCGTTGAGGGAGCTACCGCTAGTGTTTGATATAATTGAACTTGCCCTACATGACAGATTTGATTGTTTGTACGTGTTTTGTCGGCTACAACAACATCAAAAATATTAGATCACATGGATAAATGTTTTCCAAAACATGTATTTATTTACTCACGTTAAACCTGTTGATAGTGTTGCTGGAACTTCAACAACCAATTTTTTGTTCTTGATTAGTATTTTGTATTTCAATGCTAAAGGAGTGGGGAGATATGGTTCGTCTGTGTAATCTTGATCAAACAGAAAGCTGGTTATCAGTTTTTCTCCGAATATTGCCTGTCAATCAAATTACAAGACTTTGTTTATTTTATTATTCAGAAATGTGAAGTAAGTTTAACAATACCTGAAAAATTGCTGCCATTCTTTGCTGTTGTGTTACAGAACAGTGATTTTCAATTGATAGAATAACTGGGTACGCAGACTGTACGAATGCCGACTTATTTATTGCTTCTACAACTGCCCGAAAAGGAATCTTGGTAGTGAATGTGTGTCCATGATAAATTACTGGTGTTCCATCGTCTCCATCCCAGCAGTCCAGTTCAACACAACGAGCCCCTGCAATTCAATGATTAAATTTTTCATTTTTATAATTATGCACAATGTTTATACAAAAGAATTTGCTTTTAGCTTGTATTCATTATGTTCAAACACTAGTCGAACTAAAAGGAATTATAGCATGTTTATTATAGGCAGCAATTTACAAGCATAGCGGCGCCGGTGGTGTAGTGGTAAGCGTGATTGCCTCTCACACCATAAGGCCTGGGTTCAATCCCAGTCGGCACCGCCGGGATATTCTGAGGCATAAAAAATCTCTGATCAAAGGAAGTAAAGCCATGAGTTGATGGGTCTATAGGTTGGGTCCAGGTGTGTCCCCTGGCGTCGGTAGCATTGGTACTCAGCACGGAAAACAAGATCAAAGGAAAACAAATCAAAGAAAGAAAAAAATTACAAGCACTCTAGTGCGATCAAGGCATTACGCTATTAAATGGTTGTTCGGCCTCGTGAGAAGCTAATTTAAGTTTTTGTAACTTTTTTTACCTGACGGTGGTATTCAACAAGAGGTGTTTGCTGGCTTTCTGGGGCTTTTTAGACCCAAAATTTTTATTGCTAAGGTACTCCGGATCAAGTCGAAATGGATAGGGTGTTTATAAGCGGAAGTGAATATTTACTGCGATTTTTTTAGGGGTATTGTGCGCTATCGCAAAATAATGAATTTAAAATAATTTCATTGATTATTCAACTTGCCTTGGTGTATCTCATGTACATTTTTACTCAGATTCTAAGAATTCTAACTGCACGATTGGCACGATTATTTCCATTTTCAGAAGTCTGGATTACAGTTGGTCATCATGGCCGCACGGAACCGGCTACAATTCGGAGTAAATACGGGTGAATGCAAATTTACCAATGTTCTATGACTAGATCAATATGGTACTGCCGAACATTATTTGACCATTTAGGATGCCAGCAAATTTTACTAACTGGAAAATTCTAACACTTGGCCCTAATAGGCATTGTACCGTCTGAATGTCTAAAACATGGTTATATGGTACCTTGCAAGATAATTCCGCGTTACCGCCGCTGCACGATGTGGACCCCCAAAAAGCGCGCAGAACATTTTATTCGGTGGCGCTTATATACAATCCACATGAGCTTGCGGTGGTAAGACGCCCGCATGATACCCACATTTGGTTAGAATTGCATAATGTGATTTTTAAAAGGGGCACAATATGTAAATGTAACGTGTGAGAGCGGCCTAAATGACGAAAAACAGCGTGAAGAGTAAGAGAAAGACTTGTTTTTGGGTGTTATCCAGGAAGTGAAAATATGAATATAATGGAAAGTAAACATTAACCATGGTGGCATTTACGTACGTAATTTTGTCATCTTACGCAGTACATTAATTTAAACTATGTCGTTATTTTCAGCTTTTTATTAGTAAGATTTTTAACTCTTTGGGTAGTTCATTTCATAAGTGAAAAATATAAACCTTATAACAATAAATTTAATTGTACATTTATAGTACTGTGAATCTTATGGAAACTGCGTAACAAAATATCTCTTGCCGATTCATTTTATAGACACACCGATACAAAGTGTTTGTTTAAGCGAATAAAAAATTCAACTCATACAATAAGTCTTATGGCTATGTTTCAATACAATATAACTTATTTTTACTATATCAAAACAATAAATAAACAATAAACACTAGAAAATTAATGATTTTAAAGCATAACTGTATGTCCGCGTGTATGTATCAGCATTACGCTTCTAATTCATCCTCTACCGATAAGGTGAAGTAGTGGCAGAGGCCGCAAGATACAAACATAAAATGTACTTTTGAAGACTTAGAGTTCCTACAAATTCCAAAATGGAAAACTTAAAAAAATATAATAACAGACATATGTAAACCAGTGAGTGTTGCCAGAAAATCGCACTTGCAGAGGCAGATGGCGCATGCAGTTTTGATAGGTAGATGGTTTTAGTGGCGGTCAGCAGATGGGTTTGAAATAAATCGCTGAAATATTTATTATGCTATTTGTATTAGACAATTCAACAATACAATTTATGAACATTCAATGTTCGACTGTAAATTTTAGCATCGCTTATTATACCTATAACCAGCTAACTTCGACTAGAAGATTGACAATACATTATAGAAGTTATAAAGCCAACCAAAGATGTACAATTATGGTGCATTGAGCATATGTTTTACTAACCTGTAAGCAGCACTTGACTGTACAGCTCAACAGAACTTTCACCCTTGAGTTGGTGACCAGTTAAGTATGTGTTATGAGACGATGCAATATAATATTGCGAAAGAGGCAAGTTCATGTATGTACTTTCAGGCATCAACTCGCTGAGAAATGCATAGTTGTCTTTATCCATCATGTACCGAGCAAAACCCTCAAAACTCATACAATTTTCGATACGGTGCGCAGCTTCTGGTTCGTGCCGCTATAGTTGGAGAAAATGAACAAAAAAGGAGATAAGAGTAACTCATCCGGTCGAGCGACTATTTATGGAAAAAATAAAGCCATAGTAGAAGGAAATGAGATTTACTTGTATAATTGCTTTCACATCCTCGTCACTCAGCAATTCCATCTGGCGAGTTTCGAGAAACTTTTTCAACGTAGCTATCGTAATCACTTTGTTGTTGCATGACAGGAAATCGCTACTAGCAGCTATGCTGGAGGCGGCAATGGCGTCAAAGTGCTTTTTCCGTGTATGTTTAACGTCCGATAGGTCCAAATCTAGCGAACAATTGCGTGTCAGGAGGCCTATAATATTTGACATTCATTTTGAAACCGTACTTAATGAAAATAATATACACCATTTATAGCAGTTACTCACCGATTTTCCTTTTCACTGCCACCTCTGAAAGCTCGGGAGCGCTTCTACTTTTTTCTCCGTTTAACGTTTTACGACAAACCGATACCACTGCTAGTTGGTTGAAGATATCGCGAAGATCAGGTCTCGTTAATATACTAGAAGTTTCCAAAAACAAATTTAAAATGTATATGCTGAGCCAAATCTGTGTGTGCATTTTTTACCTGAATGATCTATACAAAGAAACGAAACTGAGGAAGTCTAGTTGAGTATCATGAGTAACCGATCCTATTCGCAGATTTTTCATATTAAGCCAAAGCTGATCGTGCGAACCGTTTCGGTCTTTCCGGCGTTCATTTGCGCGTATTTTTTCCGTTTCACTAATATTTTGATCTATTGTAGGACTACTGTGGCTGTTATCATGGTTTTGATTAAGTAAGTTAGCAACCGAGCGTTTCTTGCGAATTTTAGCATTGGAATCCTTTTTGCTTGGGACCGAAATAGCTACAGATACCAATTCAGAAGTCGAATCTTTGATATGCGTCCCTGATAAAGATTTTATGGAAGACAAGTACAGTTGACCTCCGAAGGCTTTTATTGCATCAGCTACCGTAGGTTCACTACAAGCACCCTCTTCAAAATACAACTGAATGTAAAGTTCTTTCAACCAAAGCATCGATCGATCTATCAAACACTGCTGACGTCGGAATCCCCGCAGCATCCAATGAAGACCAACATACCATGTGCGACAAAGCATAGGTGGACACAAGATACACAGAATTCGGTTTTCGCTCGCTGAGTTTCCATATAACAATGACACACAACATTCGACGTGGGTCAACCCGAATCGTTTACCAGCTGCCAAAATATCCGGATCATATTCGTGGTTCCTAGAGCCCATCGAAATATCTTTGACTGTACCGAGATCAAGTATGCCTTCTTCTAAATTTTGACATTGCATCTCCATATCGCCGGAACTTGAAGAATACCGCGATGTAAACCTCCAAGCCACACTCTCTTCCGGATTTTGATTGAAGTGAACATCTTAAAAACAAAGCGCATATATTATCATAATCTCACCAAATAAGTTACAAGCTGTATGTTTGAACTACTTACCATGTTGCGATTTGGTCCTTCGCCATGCTGTCCGTTGCCAAGAAATGTGAGAACAGGACCGCTCTAATCTTAAATATACGTAAGTAGATCGTTCGGCAGGTACGTCTGGCTCCCAAAGTACGGCGGTTGAACCGTGGTGAAGTATCTGTGGCAATGAGATAGGTGGATGTGTATTAGCGAAATTAGTAAAAGTGAAATGGAAGGGAAAATCCTTTTCGTAATTTGATTCATCTCGACTCTGCGTGGTGCTAGTAGATTTAGGAAAGGAAAGACATAATTTGACGTGAGAGTGGGGTCGTGTGGTAAATCGATCTATATAGGTCACAACCATTTACTGTTTGTCGTATACATTTATGTAGGAACATTGATTGATATTGATGACGTGCGAATCCTCTTGAGGCTCGCCTCTTGAATGATTTGTACATACAAACAGGCGTACGTATGTCTTCTTTGCCCATTTGTCATTAAAGTTGAGGGGAGTTCGAAGAAAAATACGATTGAAAGTGTATGCTCAAGGTTAATCTTGATACACCTAAATTATAACATGTATTTAACAAAGTTAATAGTGCTCGAAATAGAAGATCATACACATGGATGTACATCAGCAAACCTATGCTTTACTGAAATTCAGCTAACAACATTTTTTTCATCGAAATGTTCAGCAAATACGAGCGATTCGCTGGAAACCAGTAAAGAGCTGTCACAGTGTTACCGTCTGAATTCAGTCGGGCAAGCATGTCTGTGAACGAATAAAATTTTAAAATTTGGAGGAACTAAGACTGTCGCTGCAATTTCTACGAGTTATTATTCAAGTTGGGTAGGTTGTCCATTAACTTGTAGTTCAACTGAAGTCCGAGTTAATTTGGGATTTTATTAGGTAGTGTTCAACAATACCCACAAAAATGCTCCTGGTCTGATGAAAAAAAAAACAAATAAATAACATTATGTGGGTAAAGACACAAGGTAATATTTAATAAATTATAGATGAAAAAGAGTCAGGTGATTTTAAAGCTGCAAACTCCCAGTGAAAACAAGTTTGATTCACTAAGTTTATTCAGCAATATGCTGGCAAATGTCAGAATTTTGAATTGCTAGACAAATCATTAAATAAATATTGCTGAAATATCTGCTGATTAATTTTTTTCGATGTTTTTTTCGAACCCATAGACTTTCCTCTTGTTTTTTAAATCAATATTAAAAGGAAAATAAGAAATTCAATGCTAAACACTCAACTAAAAAAAGTACAGCTCGCTCCCATCATCATCATCATCAAAAAATTAAAGGGTTGTGTCCTATACACGACCGCAGTATGACGTAGAACCACTCAAAATTGATGTATGTCATGCATTTTTGACTATTATACTATATCTTAAATTTTCAAGTAATTCAATGTTTCGGTTATGGTTCACTTTTTTTTCTCCGTGATTTGTTTTCCATATGGTACTCGATTATGACGACTGGGTTAGGGAAAATCGTTTATTTCATGAAAACAGAGATACCTTTGGCCCTTTTTGGAAATGTTTTTTTGTGAAAAAATGAAAAAAATATTTAATTCAGCAGATAGGGGAAAAGTTGGCTTCGGCAATACCTTAACCTATTATCGTCAGGGGGTAAGCAACGTCCTTGAGGGCTCAATTTTGGCATGTGGATACATTGTGTTTCAGGGCAACTATTGGCCAAATTGGAGTGCTCTAGGACTTTGTTCACCCCCCTGACGATAATAGGTTAAGGTATTGCCGAAGCCAACTTTTCCCCTATGTAATATCCTATCGATTGGCTTATTTGGATTTTATTTTCATCTATAGAAGACAAAGTTACAAGCGTTAAAAACCTAACACTATTTCACCACACATATTTTTTGATTTGCACCCCAGTATAGTCAACAAAGACGTAGTTCTTCGTCAAAAGATCAAATCCTACCATAGAGATTATTGTTGTTGTTGAGGTTGTATTGGTGCGCTGCGTAAGAGTTGAAAATCCGAGGAAAATACATAACCAACTGCTGTCAAACAGTCAAACTCAATTTTACAAATCGTGTTCCATACAATTTGAGGTCAATACACGAGGTAAAAGATAAACACCTTTACAAGGCGATACACCCGTTAGTGCGCGTGCGTTAAACGTCACTAATCTCTACAGGTGGATAAATTCAGTAATCTCATAGGAAAAATGAATGGTTGCGTCCTATGTGTATAGTTAGAGCCAAGTATGTTTTCTCTCTGATATGTGGATATTTTGATAAAAGAAAGTAAAAAGTAAAAAAAGGAATGATTTTAGCTACTCACCTGTAAAATGTGATGATCAACGGCATTAGGGTCTTTTGCAGATAGTGATACAATACTAATTCCATGATCAAAAATTAGCGGCTGAACTGGATTGTAATTTCCTATCTCAACTTCATAGTCTTCTTCTAGCTCTTTGAGATTTGATGGCTGGTATAATGGTATTTTAACTTGTCGAGGACTATTGGATGCAGCTCTTAAAAAATCTAACAAACTCTGTGGTAACTCTCGACAAAGGCTATCGTGATGGTTGAAGAATGGAGATAATCTGTTCAAAGCTGGTAATACTCTCGTGTAGATTTCATCAGCCAAAGGGTGAATATCCGGTTCGTCCAGCGATTCCGGTGACAATAATGGCTCAGTTGACTCATCTGTTGGTATTACCGTAGTTGGAGCAGTCAATGGTGTAGGGTACGTTAAAGGCAATATCACCTGGGCCAACTTTTGCAGCATCTCCTCATCGTCGGGAGCTGGAGTTGGGTTAGCATCTCCCAAGTAATATTTTTCCGTGTGTTTGTGATATTGATTTTGTTTTTCAGGCTGAGGAGCCATTCGCAATAAGCACTTGATTTCTTCAACGTGATTTTTGAAATAAGGAATGGTACGGCACGTGGGTATTGCCTGTATGTATAAAGATTAGCTGCTTTAGTTCTCATCGTTATTTTGGTCAATTTTCGTTACCCACCAATGCTCTTGAAACAGCATTGCTGTATTCTGAAGAGTCAAAAACGGTAGCGAGAAACTCGTAAACGGAATTTCTTCCTCGGTCCGTGGTAGATGTCAAAAATGATTCTTTTTTTATTGACCTGTAACAAGATGATTAAGAAATGCTAAATAATATGTAAAAGTGTCCATATATTTGAAGAACATAGCTCAAAGAAATTGAAAAGAATAACCAGAAAAAGAGAAACATTAAACAAGATTATCTAAGCCTAATAACTAGTATCGTACGATGTTTTTTAAACGACGGAAGCAAGTAGTTTCCGCCGGCCTACAACTTTCCAATGCCGCTGGAGGCCGAAAGAAACCCCTTCTCCAGTTATTTTTTTTTATGACGATCATCTGTTGCATTTTCGAAGTTCATTATTCTTGTCCTGTACTGGCGCCACTTTAGTACCTCGATACTCGTCAAATAATAAAACGTACTTCTAAAGTGTAAACATCTATAAAGTCATCAAGCTAAGTTGGGAATGTCACTCACTTTAGACCATCCACTATCTCTTTAGCACCATTGAAATTTCCGATATTCCAGCATGAAATAGCAACACGCAGTAGACATGCAAAGGCCGCTTTTCGTTCGTCTTGTGTATTTTGTGATAGGATAAAGTAGTTGGTCCACGCGCTAGTCTGAAATATACCGTGAAAAAGAAATTTTTTCTGTGTTGAATACCATAAGGTGACCATTCACCGCTCACTCAACATATCTTCTTGTAATTATTCTAGGCTTTTCACCGGCTCTCACCTCGATACTTTATATGGGAGAGGGAGGTCGATACAATTTTCAACCCGAAAGATTTGCTCTGAGACCGGGAATCGAACCCGCCATTTCTGGCTTAATAATGCCGTGCCTTTACTAACTAGACTATCTGCGGTACTCAAAACATTTGCAATGTTTTAATTTGTTTACAAACAAAGCACAATTGAATTGGCTGTCGTTTGTCCTTGAATTTCTTTCTATTTGGACAGTACTGGTGGTTGTGTCGTAAGAGTGACCGCCTTATCACCCCAATATGTATATGGGTTCAATCCCAGTCGAGGTCGATGGGATTTTTCTGAGGCGAAAAAATCTCTCATGGTGTTGTCCTTCGCAAGGGTTGTTCCCAGCCCATATGTATGCTGGGTCAGTGGTTAATCACCAATTGGCAATGAACGGTGATTGGCACTCAATTGTGGAACATAGATCGACTTCAAATTAAAAAAAATGTCCCTCTCTGTTTATCGATTATCAATTGGCAAATCAAAGTTGGCACTCGTGGAGAATAGATGAACTATGAAAGTGATGATGGTTTCAAAATTTTACACGGTGAGGTATACGAGTTCAATCTTAAAATGCCTTTATTTTGCAAATGGAACATTTTATTTAAATCTGGTTAGTGCTACGTTAGTAGAAAACTTAAGGACTACTCAATAGATATATAATATAGAAAAAATAATTTCTTTTCAGATTTTTAGGTGTATGCATAGATTTCAGCTTTTCTACAACTGTAGCAACAACCAGATTTAAATTCAATGCTCAGTTTTCAAAATAAAAGCATTTTAAGATTGCACTCGTATACCTGTCCGTGGAAAATTTTGAAACCATCATCACTTTCATAGTTCGTCTATTCTCCACGAGTGGCAACTTTGATTTGCCAATAGGATTTGGAAAGTTTGAACATTCTGAATTTTGGTTCTAGTTGTAATTACAATTTGAACTATCTCAGATAACCAGATTAAAGTTAATTGTGTAATGCACAAACATATATACTAACAAAAACATTGTATATAATTCACATATGTGGAAATGCGTCCAGCATCATAGCGCGACCATCATATGTACGATTCAAAATGTATTGATCGTTTTCGTTTTGTGCTAAATATAGCCATTTATGGATCATTAATTGAGAGAAATAGTAATCACATAATTATTATACAACTTGCTAATGAAACAATCGCTGTGCATCGTGGTTGAGCGGTGAAAAGGCAAATCATGGAAATTTAATGTTGTTAAGGAATGCTGTGAATCAAGGTTGCACATACTCATTTCGCTATAGAATCAGTTCTTTTGAATTATGAATTGAAGATATGAAATCAGATTATATGATGAAATTTTATGAATAACAAGAAGAGGTGTTTGACACATCTTCTTCTTCTCTGACTTTATTACGTCCCCACTGGGACTTAAAGCCAGCTCACAACTAAGTGTTCTTTGAGCACTTTCATAGTTGTTAATTGAGCGCTTTGTAAGCCTGTACCATTTTTGCTCCAGTGTTATTGTGTGACAAGTACGATTATAAATTATGCCCAGGGAAGTCGAGAAATTTTCCAACTCGAAAAATTCCTAAAGCAGACTGAAAAAGAAAAATTAAATGATTCTACTATAGATGACTTCTAAATTTATTTACCTTCCAATAGGTACTGTTGGATTTGATGAAGAATCAGAATGTGCATGGATAAATCATTGATATTATTTTTGTTTTCTCTTCAATAGAACGTAAATGGGCGATTACGACGAAGTAGCGCTCTTCCTTATCATAATACCATCTAATAATTCCATTCTTCCTAACAATATTGTTACAGCGAAATGAGCATATGCAACCATACTTTGCAACATTATTTTTTCAATAATTGCAATTCTTGGAAGCCACATTCTGATGAAAACATAATATTGATACCTCATCAAAGCGTTTGCGTATGGCATTCAGCGTTGATGAAAATCCACTTGGAGTTTTAACTGCAGCCACAATGCTGGGGCTTGCATTAATATTGGCAACGTTGGTTGTTGACGATGATGTTGTTGTTTGTGGCTGCTCTCGGCTGCCATTAGCTATACTATAACTACTACCGCTGGTACTCGTTGTGTTGGGAGTAGCAAGACTGGGGTTGCTACTTGCCGAGTAGTTCAGAATTCGCTCCCTCTGCAGCTCGTGAATCGAATCATTAATGAAATCATTTTGCGATACCTGTCAATAACAGAAAAATAAAGATAAAATATGATTAGAGACAAATCTATGTAATCGAAGTTTAAATTTGATACTTTCTATTTGAAAGTGGAAGAAAACGTTAATTAATCCTTTCCAGACACTCTCGGTTGTTTGATTTAGAATTTAAGAGAGGATCTGACATTATTTGCTGTTGATTCCTCCATAAATTACGCAGTTTCAGGGTTTAGGTGCCTTAGTGCTTATATACTCCATACTCCATACAGAAACTACCTACTTGTAATAGTTACGGGAGGTGGTAAATGCGAAATGAAAACACCGGAATTATGAATCGGTAATGTTTGCCGCTGGCTATGATTTGCCCTACAACGACGTAAACATATAAAAACGAACTATGAGCTCTCACTATATTTCTACATTGTACAGTAGGACTAACCAACTTTCGACCCCAGGCTCAGAGGTTCGAGTATCATGTACCAATCGACTCAGGTCAACGTGTATTAGACTGCCCCAAACAAATTAAATGTCAAAATTTTTTCAGGTCCTCAAAACTCAAAACCGGTAGCTACTCTGAAATGTTCACCAGTGAAAGAAGTATACATCATAAATTAGACACATTTTCATTGCCCTAACAATATTTTTTTTTCTGATTTTCTTGCAATTCTCCTTCATCGTTAAAATTTTCGTGGGTAACATTTGAGTTATGAATTGAAAATTTTTCAGGAAAATGAAAAGCCCAGATTTTTTTTTCGTTCATATAATCATAAACTCTACCTGATGGGAACATTTAATTAAATTCGGGAACCCTTCAGCCCAACATGCACGATAATAATAAATAATCCCCAACTGGAACTCGATTAAACTCAGAAAATTCCAATAACTCACTTTAAGGCATAGATCCATTACCCGTTGAAAATAGGGGAATTTACGTATTCTCGTCAATCTAAGCAGCGTCCGAACTTCTATTAGCGATTTCTCAGCGTCACACACATACATGACAGGTTTGTTTGTTGACATTTATCTGCTGCTTGCTGTTCTACCAATTCCAATCGACAGAATTGATCAAAACGGGTTGAACATGTTTTTACAACGCTCCAAACTTCTCAGGTGAGAGTGACTATTGTCGGCAGTCTCTTTTTCTTCGGCACCCTTTCCATTTGAAGTGCGTGTTAACCAGCTGTTTTATTATCGGCAACTCGAAATCAGCCGTATTTTGTAGTATGTATATTTCATTTAAAGAAAAATATGGTATAACAGGAATTCACAGTCGTAAAAATGTAATCAGATTGAAGCTGAAAAGGTAAGGAATCGGCTTAATACATTCAGCAAAGTTTTGATGGGAAAATACAGTGAAATAAACGTTTCAATTTCGGTTGCCGAAAACAGTCAATGGGTGCCGAAGCCATAATTTACCCTATGTACTTTAATTTTTTTATTTCGCACTCTAGTAATCACCATTGCCAATCGCCATCTCGCATTGAAAAATACTAGGATCCTCCATCAAGATACAAGTGAAATTTTAATTTTGAACACGTTTATTATGAAAACACAAAGCCACATTTTTTTCTGTATTTTAGGTTCTGTTATACATGGAAAACAAAGGTATTTGATGACTCGGTGGGAAAATCAAATGGAGAGGCAACGCGTTATATTAACAAGTTTAAACATGTAAAGCTTAAAATGATTATCACATCAGAAAGTACGTTTAGTAGGTATAATTTAAAACCTGTTTCATCACTTAGTCACGACGCTTATTTCCAAGACCAGGCCTAAAGGGTCAATACAAGTTGGCTCCTCATGGTGTCGCGTTACATTGAAATGTGTCATTGCAGTTTAAGCTACAAATTCTGAAATGCTGAACTAAATCGGGCATAAAAAAACCAGTTCTATGAACGGTCAGTCATGATCATGCTCATGCTCATCAAAAACCAGTTCTATAATCGAAAGAATGAAGGGGTGTATTTTTACCATACATTTAAAACAAATTCTCAATATAAACTTCAAACTAAAACCGCTAGCTTGTGTTACAACCAAATGCCAAATGTGGAATCGGTCATGGTGAGAATGTGTCTTGATGCCAGAAGCAATTTGAAACATGTTGAACCCACCATATGACACATAAAATCACGTGAGAATACGAAACCATGATCAATAGTACTCATACCAAGTGCCCACTTTGGTCACATCCGCCCATCTTCCGGTTATCCCTGGGAAAGTGGTTTTTCCTATCTATCCCGAGTTTGGTGGGACCTTGCTCGTATGTTGACAGATAACAGGGGCTCCCCCTTTTTGGAGTATTTGGTAGGAGTTCCAACAAGCCCATTTGATTAACGTCAGTAAGATTTTAATTACAGCATACTAGGATCAATGATATACGATTGGATTAAACGCATGACACTGGTGATATTTCGAATGGCTATATGTGTATTTGTGATTAAATGAAGTAAGTCGTATTTCACAGCAGCCACTGAACCACATTGAAAGGAACCATGGACACATAGAACGCTATTGAATATTTTTGGAATTGATCAACTGGTTCCGTTGAGTGCAAGTATAGAGTTAAAAATGATTGTAACTTGCCAAACCCATTATGCTGTATGTACCACCAAACCACGCTCATTGGTGGTCATACTGAGTGCCCAGATCCATGTTGGCCACACCCGGATATGTGCCGGCTGCCCCCTGGGAAGTAGTCAGAACATAACATATACCAAAACCTATCGTGTGACACATAACATCAGTGGTGCAGCCACGATTTCTGGGAAAGGGAGTTTGTAAAAACGACGTGATATAAAAAAATATTTATTCACTTAAAGCATATAGCATGAATCACACTCACATAACATATGTGGAACTTCATGAACAACTGCTGACTATAAGTTGAGCTTTTTTTTTTCTGTGTTGCCTCAGTGGTATAACTCGGACATCGATCGGTCAAAACTGAACCTATCAAACAATTGGTAAACTATGTTGGTAGTGTTTTTTTTTGACTTTATTTTTGAGATTTTTAGCCGTAGGCTAGTTCATCTCGTAATATGTTGGGAGTGACAGGTTAACAATTGAACAACGTCGGTCGGATCCATGCCAATGTTGTCTATTTGTCAACATAGTTTACCCATTTTTGAGTAGGTTCAGTTGTGACCAATCTGGGAGGATTCTACCCAAATTTGAGTAGTTTTGAAATAACGTGTAATGTGTATTGACGTTGAGAGAGGCTCTGTAACTCTTTAAGCGAACCCCACACGTATCAATATATTGACGTGAAGGGGAATTATTGACAATAATATTGATGATGTGAATACAGAAATATTGTAGAATGTATTGACAATACGATTATTGTCAATAAAAGTAATCGTGTAGGGTCCACTTTACTCCTATGATAAAATCCCATTTGTCAAGCTGTGCTTGAAATCTATCGGATTTTGTCTTATCTCTTCACTCCACCATGGTACCAGCGAGCAGCTATCTTTTCATGCAAAGATTAACAGTATCTTATATGAGCAGAAACAGTCAATTGTAAGCAATTGAGAAACATAGAGAGGAGAGGGTTGAAGCCTTGGGTGTTACAGGTATCGATAAACGCTTGATTTCATTTGCCCTTCTTGCAAAATTCTTGCGAATGGAAAGATGCAAGGTCAGCTCAAAACACAATATCCAGAGATTAATGTCTATTTTACGTATTAATTCCAAGAAGAAGAATTTCTACCACAGCTATTTAATGAAAAAAAAAAAATGGTGGATACATTTGTTATCTCATTAGAATTACTTTAATATAATTGACTACCCCCTTGATCTCTTTTCTCATTCTACAGCTACAATACCACTTGAAATCACTGAAGTGGGGACGATTTTTGATGGTCGAGTTCCATGTTATTTGGTACAATCTAGTTTTTCCAGAATGAATATTTTCGTATAAAACCTTCACGAGATTATTTTATTGTCACAATTAATTTTGGAAAATAAGCGTTCGAAGATTTAGTTAATATTAAAATTTTAAAATTATTTTTAACACCTTCCGCTGATCACATTACAGAATTGGTTCTGTATACTTTTTATGCAAATCTGTAATAAAATTTTATTTTTTCTGGATGGGTGTATTAAAATTTAATATTTGTGTGTTGGTCTGCCAGTAACATTCTGGGAAACGATTTCCATGATTTCCATGATCCCTAATTCAGGGAAACTAGTTCGATTACATGGGAAACATGTTGAAAAGACATGATGGTAATTATACATTTAAAAAAAAAAAAAAACAGAGCATACCGACCAGGAAAATTTTCTCTACACAGACATATCAATATATTAAGAGAAATTACTCGTGAAATCTGATGGAGGATGAACAAAATTCCAGAGTAGTCGGTTAAAACTGGGTAAGCTAACCGAATCCATCGTAAAATAAATATCCAGGAAGTGCTTTCATGAGAAGTAGGAAGCATCTTTCAGAAAAAGTTTAGAGAAACGTCCAGTGAAAGTCGGATGTCATTTTCGAAGCAAAACATCTGAGGGAAGCCAGAAGGAGCTTCCAGGATAAATCGTGAGAATCTTCCGGTGGTAGTTAAAAGAAACTTTCGAAGAATATTTGATAAAAAGCACTTCTAGTCGGAACGAACCTTCTGGCGGCAGTCGTAAGAAACATGTTACTGGATGTAGCTTCCGTGGAAAGAATTAGCTTCTGGAGAAACTTGGAGGATGGATAAAGTAAGGCATAAAACTTGGCGGTAGTTATAAGACACTTTCAAGACAAATCAGAAGAAGCATCCTGAAGAAGTCGGAAGAACCTTCCGTGAAAAGTCTGAAAAATCTTTCAAAGGAAATTGGAAGAAACTATCGAGGACTTGTAAGAAAAGACTTTTCTCTGCATTTTGAGACTATTACAGTAATTTTTCACCATTTCCGTTGTTTTTTTCATATTTTTCATACAAAAAAAATTGAGCGAAAAGTTAACCATAGAAATACAAGCGCTCAAATTGACTCTGATGTTGTACAACCATCTCTTCCTAACTCGGTATTGTAGGGATAATGGAGGATGAATAAGTACAAAAGTTTACCCACAGTAGAAAAATAGTTATATTTGTGACTCTGAAAGGGCTTTGGTGATTGGTTCAAAGCTGGCTAATTTTGCCAACATTATATGCTATCTCAAGTAACACCAATTCATGTAATTATGTTGAGTAAACAGCCAAATCCAGTCATACAAAGGTTATATGAACTATTATAGAACATAATATACATATTATGTGTTGCTTAGGATGCGAGATAAGTAAGACAGCTTTGTATAGTAAAGTGCAATGACACGTTGGTTGATTATATATTAACAAACTTACCTGGTAGAATAATTGATATTCTGTGTCAGTGATTCGCAACGCAACCTCTTCTGGAAAGTGGAGAATATTCTGTAGCTCTTCTAATTCACCGAAGGATGGTGTCGTCGACAATGTCACTGCTGCAGCCAATGAACTTGTACTTGTAGTTCCACTTCCCCCAGTCCCGCTAGGTATCGCCGCTGCAGCCGACACAACTAATGCCGCCGAGCTAGCCGTTGCTGTTCCAGTTGTTGCTGATGCTGTTGGTATGATTGTTGGTGGCAAATTGCCAACGAGGCTTTGTGAGCCGTTAGTATCAAATATAGCATTCTTCTCAGGATCGTTGTCCAGCAATGTTTCCTTAATGATTTCACCCTCACGATTAATTATAATCTTTTCTGTGATGATTGTTTGCTCCGGTTCGTGTGATGGTGCCGTCGAGTTGAAAGCTGTGGCTGTAATGGGTGGTGATGTAGATTGTGGAGGCAGTAGTGCTACTACCGGATATTGTTGTTCTAGTGCCTCACGTCCTTCCTGTTTCCTTTCTTCTGGATGAACTGTAGCAAATAACAGAACTGGAGGTGACGTTGATGGCGAAGGTAATAGTTTTTCTTCTGTAATGTTACTATCAAATGGAAGACTTGGAAAAGCTTCACGCATGTTCTGATAATCGACGTGGGGAATTTAATGTGACTTTCTTTGTTTATGCTGTTTTATTTTCCTGCTTCGTTCTTGAACTTTTCGTTTGTTGTCCTTTAAATGATGAATGGTTAGCGCACCTGCTTTTGACAGCAATTGTCTTTTTCCGTGAAAACGCAGTCTTGTCGTGCTACTTACTTCTCCACTACGAAGTTATGATATACTACAAAGAAGGCATCGGTTCCCTTCACATTGGGTTGCTTCTAAATACGTTCATGCCATCACTGCGTTTCAGTCTGGAAAATAAGATGTTTGGGGAATGATTTACCATTAATTATTATTGATAGTTTTAATCAATGATTGTTCTATGCTAGTTATGCAGTGTGTCTTAAAATACATCGTTTAAAATCGCGGGAAAAGTTGACCATCTTCAGCGTACACAATACAGGATCAAACTTCTTGCATAACAGCCCCAAACTACCCAAACCCAAAGAATATAATAGCTATTCAAGTCATAGCTCAAACGTTTGGGGTTACCCTGAAAACAAAACTAATGTTTTTATTCATATATTATCCATTTGCCGTCCAAAGTCAAAACGCGTTATTTTACCAATTAAAGTACCAAACCAAAATGTCAATGAGTGTTAAATCCAAGACCTGATGTAGAAAGAATGTAATCAGTAAATATCAAATACTAGTTATGCTCTCAATGAAAGTAAAATGAAAACTCTTATAGACATCGCTAAATTTTCCAATCTTACAGCAAATCAAAAACATTAATTTAGTACTAATCGTAAACTGAAGTCAAATTTTGATTACAATTTGATGTTGAAAGCAAAACTTCCCTCCCCATGGACAGGACGATATTTTAAGGTAACTATTTAACTTGTTGCAGAACTTTACTTCTACAAATCCACAAAAGACGCGCTGCTATTTTAGGCAGCTTATCGTCATGAAGTTAAAAATTACATTAGTGACGTAGACAAATGTGGATTGTAAGTTGGACAAGTCAACATAAGAACTTCATTTGGTTTAAACACACTTACACACACATAGTGGAAAATACTTTCTTGGATACTTATAACAATACTGACATTGAGAAGTCAGTTATAATAACAATGGCACTGACAAACGTAAAGACATCGATAAAGATAACTGACTGACACTGATTCTCAAAAAAATTCAAGAGGATTTGTAAGCTGTTTTCAATTGCTCGGTGTTTATTTAATTACATAGACGTCCGGCATAATCACATGAAAATTTTCAAAAACGAACTACGATAATCCTAAAGGTCAAAAAAAAAAATGATGAAAGCAAAACTTGCTTTCATTATGCTTTAATTTTGATGCTCGACTTTGCTCGGGTGGTATTTGACACTTGACCGTCGGATCGAATGTCAGTATTACAAGAAATATGCATACGTTTCTTTGTAAGGTGATTAAAATATGTTGAAAGATAAGATACAATAGCTCTAAATTGCACTTATTAGTTTTCGTTCCGTACTGACTTAAATCACCTAATATTAAATCACACTGCAATCATAATGATGAGTAATGCAGAGAGCATAGGAAAAAAAACAATTTCAAATACTTTAAAATAATTTTGGAATTTGTAAAGTATTGGTTACTTAGTCAAATACTAATAAAACATTAAAATGATTAATAGCAAGCGATCAGTCTTCAACAATCTTTGATCGAAAATTTCTCCATGCAGAATAAAAAAACGCAAATTACTCATTTATTTGTTAGACATTTTAAAGGAAATGGCAAAGGGCAAATGATCACTGTTCCGGTCTAAGTAGGGGAATTTACGTATTCTCGTCAATCTAAGCAGCGTCTGCACTTCTACTAGCATTTTCTCAGCGTCACGCACATATATGATGTGTCTGTTTGTTTACATTCATCTGCTGCTTGCTTCTCTATCCATTCCAATCGACAGAATTTTTCAAAACGTTTTGAATGCGTTTTTACAACGCTCCAAACTTCTCAGGTGAGTGTGACTATTGTCGGCAGCCTCTTTTTCTTCGGCAACCTTCCCATTAGAACTGCGTGTTAACCAGCTGTTCTATTTTCGGCAACTCGAAATCAACCCCATTTTGTAGTGCGTATTTTTTATTTGAAGAAAAATGTAGCATTACTGGATTGCTCGATCGTTCAAATATAATCAGATTGAAGCTGAAAGGCTAAACAATCGTTTGGACGCATTCAGGGAAGTGTGTTGATGGGAAAACATAGTGAAATTAACGTTTACATTTTTGTTGCCGAAAACAGTCAATGGGTGCCGAAGCCAACATTTACCCTAGTTTACTTTTTCAAATTAATCCAGCAGTAGTCGTGCCCAGTGTTGGAAAAGTTCGCGATATTTCATGAAGTTCACCAAGGGAAAAGTTCGTGAGTCATAGTGAGTTTTAGCGAACTTTTCCATCACTGGTCGTGTCAAATCGCCGAGAAAGAAGCAGTATGTTTGCAAGCGAATGAAAAAGTAAATTGCACTTTAATTGATTCGGGTTTTAATTGTATTTCAAGTTGAATGCTTCCTCTTTCTAGTCATGTAAAACCATCAAGCGTTGCTCTTAACACAAAGCTTACAGCCACGAAAAAAAAAATACTGCGTCTTGACTTATTGAAAATATTGGAAAATGGTATAAAAATCTTAAAAAGATCGTTTTTTTTCTGAGATTCTTGAGGAAATTTACGTTTAAAAAAATCTACATCATAATGTAAAGAAAATCGTAAGGTTTGGTTTTGCGGTTTTTAATATTGAACTTTTTACCATCATGATATATAAAACATGTTTTTGCATATACATTTCCTTTAAAATCTTAAAATTGATATTTTTAGATTGTTGATATCATTTTTCGTTGCTTTGCATTAATTTAACAAATATGATCAGTTCCTGAATAGAATGGCCTGGTTCACCCAAAATTATCAATTTTGGGTGAACTTTTCAACAAAATATATAACTATTTGAATTGAGTCGATTGGCACATGGAACTTGACACCTCTGTCCTTAGCTCAATAATCCATTTCGAGTGATACATAGTCTTCCTAGTTAGGTGTACGAGAAAAACCAAAAATAGGCTATGCTGCTCTTTGTATATTAGTGATATGGATATCCCACGCGAAAGCCGGATCTCATGTACAACGTAATTGGATTATTATCTTCTCGGTATAATCCATTTTCTTGGAGTTCCAATAAAAAGTAGCACACTTTATTTGGCACTAATCATGCAACCCTAGCTTGCGAAGGTTGTGTCATGACATTGAAGTTACATACTGTAATTTGAAGTCAAGTAAAGCACCCTTAAGTTTTTTTTTTGCATAGTCACGTTGATACAGTTGTGGTGATTCATGACTTTCAGGGATAAGAATTTTTCCCATGACATCGAGCGTGAAAAATGAGAGTATTAGTCCTTATCTCTATCTTATCTGGCCTTCAGGAGTTGAAACTGTTGACGTTTTTTACTCCACTCGCTTCGTTGTCGTACGTGACAGTATGTTTGTATTCGTACTCTCATGCTCTACCGTCGTCTCTCTTACACAATAAAAACGGTAGAACAACATTCGAGCAAAAAGAAAATTATCAAATAACTATCATATGACATGTGTTATTTCGTTCTAATTCCTCAATTTGGTATAAATCAAACCATTTCTGATCAGAAATGTTGTTACTAGGACATCGCTGCTTGCATTTTCAGAATTCACCCAAGCACATCATCAGCAACTCTTATTACGGAATAATCTAAAATACATACATTTGTGACGGTCTTCGGCGACAGTGTCGTTTGACAGAGCCTGTCGTATGACATTTTAGTTTGGTACTGTAATTTGATAGCTTGTTTTGCAAGTGTCTGAAGCAAAGGCAGTCGATTATCACAGAAAATGTGTCAACTGCGGTGACCGCTTACAAGACTGCTGCCCTTATTCTTAACATGCAATTTATTTTTAACGTTTTCAAATGGGATTTTTTTCAATCTACTCATTGAGATCGTCATATACTGAATGATTTTATCAAATTATCCTTTATTTTTAAAGATATTATGATGCTGGATTATCATTAAAGCCTTCATTAGCATTCAGTAGAGGTCCATTCTTTAGGTGTCGTTTATATTTTTGTCGTAAATTAATAAATACTCTCAAGCCTCCAATAGTACTCAAAAGTACTTTTCTAAAATCAGAGTAAACTTGATCCCCGCATAGGGATTGATTCCGTTTTGAAGACATGCATTTCGATACACATTCTGGGTTTAAGTGCGTCCAAACTTTCGGGGATCAAGTCTCTCTAAATTGAGTGTTCACATTTTCACACTACGCATACATTTCGAAATCTTTCGTGGTGGACATTTTCTCGACTTCTCTAGACATAGCGTATCAATTGCTTACAAATTCATGCATTGATTGGCATATAATGCTTGCAATTAATAACTATGGAAGTTCTTCAAAACGCTAGCGGAAGCCAAGTAGACGAATACATGTTCGCTTACATTCCGAGATCTAATGTAATCAAACCAATCAATCCTCCCTATTTGAATTTACAACTTCAAATCTACATCAACAGAAGATCAAAAGAAACAGCACCAAACCAATCCTTATAATTGGATATACTTATTCAAAGCATTGTATTGGATCAATACACAATACACACACACAATACACATATTCTGGCTAAAAACGTTTAAGGTAGTGGAAAAACTGCTCTCAAAAATATATGTGTTGATCAAACTGATGGAAATGTTATAGTTTAGTAGAAAAATATCGGAGTACAAGTGCAATGGAGTTTACGCATACACGATGGTGTAGAATTGTTCAATGTGCTATGTGAATACCTTTAATATGTGTAGCTGGCAAACCAATTCCATTGCAATGAGAGTAGCTCTGTGACGAAATAATCTATTAATGTATTTATTTATCTGTATGAGGATGGTGTAAATTTGTGTCTCATTGGAAATTTTCGCATTTGAGTGTATAATTTGATTTAATACCAACAGTGATATCTCAAACTAATGTTTATGTAAAAGTACAAAATGTAATTCTTGGGCATAACTTGTTTTTATTCTTGTATTAATAAGTTCTATAATCGTTCATCTCGTTTGTAATTTGATGAACGGTGATTACCCTTTACAACTTTAGGTAATGCCAGCTATTTTACTGGTCGCCATTGAGATGTATCGAATAGTCAAGAGTGGATTAATATTAAATATTCTATAAGACTTTTTATACCGCTCTACTTAGGGCCAAATGATGGTTAAAACTCTATAATAAATTTAAATTTTTCTATAAAATCCTTTCAAGGACAG